CCCGGCGCCGTCGCACCCTGCCCGGCCCGTCGCGCTCGCCCGGCCCCGTCGCAGCCGCCCGGCCCCGTCGCAGCCTTCGCAGCAGCCGCAGCAGCCGTCGCAGACGCGGCAGACGAGTGTTCTCCCGCCAGGGTGGCCCGGCGCTGGCGGTGGACGGGCGCGTGGTGGTGTGCCGCGTGGTGGCTCTGCCGGCGGACGTTGTCAGTACCAGATCCAGACCGGTCCTCGCCGCGGTTTCGTTTGCGGTAAGATCGGTCACTCCACTCCCCGCTGCTTTCGTCGCCTGGACGACCTCTTTCGTCAGCGTTTCGGCCCGTCGCCAGACCTCCCGGACTGGCACAGTTTGCTTAGTCGTAAGATTCAGATCTTTGATATGGACATGGATGCCATTGTTTCTGCTCTGCATGTGATGTATGCTGATGACTCTAGTGTGCTTCCGACTTATTACTCACTGTTGCCTAGTGTAGGTGTGCCTAGCTTAGCCTCCCCTGCTGCGTCAGGCGTAGGATCCTCTGCTTTGTGTAGTCTTGGTGCTTCTGCCGTCGTTCCGTCGCCAGACCCCTCGGCTTCGCTTTCCTTCACCTTGGACTCTGGCGCCTCTCGGTGTTTCTTCCGCGACTCCACCACCCTGACGCCGCTTCCTGTTCCTGCTGCCGTTTCTCTTGCTGACCCCTCCGGCGGCCCGGTAGTCGCCCCCAGTTCCACCACCCTTCCCTGTCCGGCGGTTCCTTCGGGCTCTCTTACAGGTCTGCATATCCCCTCGTTCTCCAGGAACCTAGTTGGTGTCGGCTGCCTCCAGGACCTTGGCGTCACCACTACGTTCCCTGGTCACGAGCGGTATGCTGTCTGTACCGAGGCCGCCACTGGTGCCCCCCTGTCCACGTTCCCCCGGGACCCGGTGTCCGGCCTGTTCACTCTGGACACCGTGCCCCCCCCGGCTGGAGCGCCCCCTCAGGTGGCTGTGTCTACCCAGGTTGCTGCTGCCTGCTCCTGTCGCTCCCTCACTCACCCGACCCTCCTGTGGCACCACCGCCTAGGTCACCCTGCGCTCCCGCGTCTGCGTCACATGTCCCAGCACGGTCTTGTCCTTGGTCTCCCAGGTTCACTCCCCGCGTTTCCCTCCTCCCCAGCTCCACCTTGCACGCCTTGTGTCGAGGGTCGGCTTCGCCGTGCCCCTCACTCCTCCTCGTTCCCCCCTACCGCCGCGCCGCTGCAGACCCTGCACCTGGACGTCTGGGGCCCCGCCCCCGTCCCTGGGCCGCGTCGCGAGCGCTACTTCCTTGTGCTTGTTGACGATTTCACTCGTTACACCACAGTCTTTCCCCTGGAGCGCAAGGCCGACGTGCCTGGCGCCCTCATCCCCTGGCTTGTCTCTGCGCGTGTCCACCGCGGTCTCCCTGTCTTGCGTCTTCACTCAGACCGTGGTGGCGAGTTTGCCTCAGGTGTCCTTGGTCGCTTTTGTCGTGCGGAGGGCATCACCCAGACGTTCACCCTACCGGACTCCCCACAGCAGAATGGGGTCGCTGAGCGACGCATCGGCTTGGTCATGGAGGTCGCTCGCACCTCCATGATCCATGCCGGTGCACCCCATTTTCTGTGGCCGTTCGCTGTGCGCTATGCTTCTCACCAGCTTAACCTGTGGCCGCACCCTCAGCAGCCGCAGGTTTCGCCGACCCGTCTGTGGACTGGGTCTCCTGGTGACGCGTCTGCGTTCCACGTCTGGGGCTGCCTTGCTCACGTCCGTGCCTCCGGCACGGACAAGCTCACTGCCCGCACCCTTCCCTGCGTCTTCCTCGGTTTTCCCCTTGACGCGTCCGACTGGCACTTTTACCACCCGCCGTCTCACCGCTTCTTTCACTCTCGTGACGTCACCTTTGACGAGTCCGTCTCCTACTACCGCCGCTTCCCCCACCGTGGTCCCCCGGTTACCCCCCCCTTGTTCCTGGTCACCCCTTCCCCGGTAGTCCCTGCCCCTCCTCCTCCTCCTCCCCGTCCCGCCCCCTCTGGTGTCTCCCATGTCACCCCCCTTTCGTCCGTGGACCCGGTTGAGGAGTCTTCTGACTCTGGTGGCCCTCCGGTGCAGTCCTCGCCGGCCGCCCCTCCCCAGGTGTCCCCTCCCCAGTCCCCTCCTCCGCCGTCCCTGCCGTCACTGCAGCCGTCGCCGTCGCCGCCGCCGCCGCCGCCGCCGCCGTCGCAGCCCCTGTTCGCTGCCTCTGGGGGTGCTCGTTCCGGTCGCCTTGAGGGTGGTCCCTCTGGGGGTGCGGGTGTGGAGAGTGCCGGTGGTAGCCGAGGAGCAGCTTGCGGTCCAGGTGTCGCCGTTGTGCCGCCGCAGCAGCAGTCCCCGCCGGTGTCCGCCCTTCGCCTGCTCGGCCTTCCGTCCCCCGACCCTGCGTCGGTTCCTCCCCGACCGTCTCCTCCTCTTCCTGTCTACGGCCCTGTTTTCCCTCCGCCGGACTCGTCCCCAGCCCGTCTCCCCCCTCGTTCCCCTCCTGTGTCCCCTCCCCTGTCTCCTGACCCGACTCCTCCATCGCACGTCTGGTCTCACCGTCCCTCCCGTGCTCGTCCTGCCTCGCCTGTCCTGCGCTCCCACCCTATGTTGCTTCGTTCACACGCGTCTCGTCCTCCCCTTCTGCCGTCACCTCCTCCGTCCTCCCTTGTTGTTGCGCCCCCCCCGCTGTCCGACTACCTTCGTGCCGCTCGTCCTCTCGTTCCTCGGGTCCTTGCCTCTCTCGTTACCGACCCGTCTGTTCCAGTCTCGTGCCTTGACGCTCTTGTCGCTGCTGTCGCTGACTTCGCCTCTACCCGCCGCCTTGACTACGCCACCGCTCTGGTCTCTGACCCTGCCTGTCCTCCGTCTGTCGGGGGTGCTCCTGCCCTTGGCAGTGACGTCCTGGAGGACCGCCAGTTCGAGCTTGCTTTCCTCTCCGAGGCTGCTCCCCATCTCTGTTCCATGCTGCTAGTCCCTGAGGGTGACCCAGACGCTTTCGACATCCCGACCCCTCGCACTTACGCTGAGGCGACTTCGGGACCCTGGGCCTCGCAGTGGATAGCTGCCATGGAGCAGGAGATGGCATCTTGGAGATCCACCGGCACCTTCGTCGACGCAGTTCCCCCACCTGGGGTGAACGTAGTCGATGGCCGCTGGCTCTTCAAGGTGAAGCGCCCTCCTGGAGAGCCGCCTGTCTTCAAGGCGCGCTATGTGGCTAGAGGCTTCAGTCAGCGCGAGGGGGTGGACTTCTTCCAGACTTTCGCTCCGACCCCGAAGATGACTACTCTTCGGGTTCTGTTACACCTAGCTGCTCAGCGTGACTACGAGCTTCACTCCCTAGACTTCTCCACTGCCTTCCTTCAGGGCAGCCTACACGAGCAGGTCTACCTGCGCCGTCCTCCGGGCTTTACTGGCACCTTCCCTTCTGGGACCCAGTGGCTCCTGCGGCGCCCCGTCTACGGCTTGCGCCAGGCTCCCCGTGAGTGGCACGACACTCTGCGTGCTACGCTTGCTGACCTGCAGTTCTTTCCGTCTTCTGCAGACCCTTCACTCTTCGTTCGTGCTGGCCAGACTCCGTTCTACATCCTCGTTTACGTCGACGACCTGGTCTTTGCCACAGCAGACAGGGACGCGCTGGCCTCCGTGAAGGCAGAGCTGCTGAAGAGACACACCTGCACTGACCTTGGAGAACTGCGCCGTTACCTTGGCTTGCAGATCTCCAGGGACAGAGCTGCGCGCACCATCACCCTGACTTAGTCACACTTGGTGCGCCAGGTCCTTCAGAGGTTCAGCCTTCAGTTCTCCTCTGCACAGCCCACCCCTCTGCCTGTAGACCACAGGCTCTCCGCTCCAGTGCCTGAGGAGTTGGTAGAGCCCAGCGGCCCCTACGCAGAGTTGGTGGGTTGCCTCATGTACCTGATGACTTGCACTCGCCCAGATCTCGCATACCCTCTCAGCATCCTGGCTCGCTTTGTGGCCACAGGCAGACACCGACCGCAGCACTGGTCTGCCGCTAAGAGGGTTCTGCATTATCTTGCTAGTACATCGGGCATGGGGTTAGTGCTAGGAGGACGCAGGCCAGCGGTCCTTACTGGGCACACAGACGCTTCGTGGGCAGACGACGCTGAGACACTCCGGTCTACCCAGGGCTACTGCTTCAGCCTTGGCTCAGGTGCCGTCTCGTGGAGAGCTACTCGCTCCTCGTCTGTTGCACAGTCCAGCTGTGAGGCTGAGATCTACGCCGGTGCCATGGCGGCACAGGAGCTCCGCTGGCTGACCTTCTTGCTCACTGACTTAGGTGAGCGGCCTAGCTCTGCCCCGGTCCTGTTCGCTGACAACAGGGCCATGATCCTCCTGTGTCAGGAGCCTCGACTCGAGGGCAGAGCGAAGCACATTCAGCTGCGGTACTTCCTCCTGCGTGAGCTACAGCAGCGACGTCAGGCTCGCGTAGTACACTTGGCCTCAGGTGCCAACACGGCTGATATCTTTACGAAGGCGCTTGCGCCTAAAGATCATCAGCGGCACTGTGTACAGCTTGGTCTAGTTCCTGTAGCCTCTCACTTGCTAGGACCTTGACTTTGTACTGTCCTTTATATGTATACTCAGACTGGACTTGTGTCCTCTCCCAGTGGCTGGACTAGTAGTGCCGCCCTGCTCTTGTGCTTGCCTTGTCTGTACTCCTTCTGACCGGTCGCTCAGACCCTTGTCTCAGAGGTTGGACTAGTAGTGCCGCCCTGAGCTGCTTGTTTAGGGTATTCCCCTATGCAGTCTAGGGGGTGTGTCAAACATGTGTATTTGTCATGTTTGTATAGACTGTATAGAGTCACCTCTTAGAGGATACAAAACTTAGATATATTTGTGTGTACTCTCACTTTACCAATTATTCAATTATTCTGATAAAAGGGGCTTGTTGAGTAGCGGGTAAGTGCGCACATAGCCCCCCAGGCTCTGTACCTGTGGCCCTTCTCCGAGGATCTTTTCAAGGGTAACTCAGCGGGTCACTCGACACAAATATCTCCAGGATTTGCCAAGGTTCTCTGTGCATGCGAAAAGTGAAAACTGCACAAGTAGAGCGTTTGCCACCATGCAGGCAACCTACGTACGTAAAATGCTCCTACGGAGCACTGCACATCAAAATCGTACACGGTAAGAACTGCAATTGCAGAGCGAGGGAGAGAGAGAGTGAGCTACAGGTCACCCTTAGTACATATGGGAGGATGATCAACTACATACAATGCGCTACAGTCCCATTATATAACGCAGTTCAAAACCCTTGATCTTGTGTGCCGTCCATCCAAACCATTGTGCGTTTTCCCTCACGTGCAGCGCCATCCCCTGTATTCGTCACGCCCTCCCTGCGCCCCCTAAACCACGCCCCCCCCCCCAGAATGCGCGACCGCACCATCACGTTGGTCATGGTGGTCGACAGGTCTGCCAGCTCAGAGGTGACTTTTAAGTAAATTTCAGGAAGCCATCCCTTCCCTGCGCCCCTTAAACCACGTTCCCTCGCAGCATGCGCGATTGCACCATCACGTTGGTCATGGTGGTCGACATGTCCGCCAGCTCAGCCGCCAGCGTGCGCTTCTTCTCCCCGCCCGACATGTCCGGATCCGTCATGCACGTATTTGGCACCGAGATAAAATCCTCGGAGATCCTCGGCCGGCGCGGGCTGTCGCTATCTGCCCTGTCGTCGTCGTCTTCCCCAGAGCTCTCCGCGCCGTCCCCTGTTGCGTCAAGAGGCTGGGTTCCCTCTCTTCCGCTTCGGCTGCTGTCTCCCAGCGGCTGCTGGCTGCTCCGGGATTTGCGGTTGGAGCGGACGACAGGAGGGCCTAGATCCAGCTCGGCGGCTCCGTCGCCACCGTCGTGGATCTGACAAGGTGATTGTGGGAAAGGGGGGGAAGTGGGGAGTGGGGGGGAGTGGCCAAGAAGGGCAGGGGTGTAAGGTGATTGCGAGATGGATGGAGTGTGCGAGAGGGGGGTCATTTCTCGACATGGTGAGGGCTGGGATTCCTTTCATTGCACTGCTATTCTTTCTGTTTTTTTCCCAAAGAATAGTGCCATCTCTGACCCCCCCAAAGCGGAATGTACAAAAAGGGGAAGCGGCGGGGGGGAAGGGGGGGAAGGGGTTGTTGCGCCTTGAACGTAGCTTACCTCCGCCATGAGTCGCAGGAACCCATCTCGTTGCGTCACACCCGCCCCTCCCGCACTCCCAGTTAGCATCATCGCCGCCGCCGTCGCCGCCATCCCCGCCCGCGCGCCGTCGTCGTCGCCGGCGGAACCACCGCCGCGACTTGCGCGAAGCGGCGGCACCGCGTCCTCCCCCTCCCCCTCCGCGTTGTCGCCGGCGACAACGGCGTCCTTGCCGTCTCGTACAGGTGGGATAGCGCAGCCATCCGAGCCGGCGCTGCTACTGACGCCGCTTCCGGCGGCGCCTCTGACGGGGAAATCCACCGGCGTTCGCGGGCGGAGACTCTTTCCCTCGGCGGGAGCGCCTCCAGCGGCGCCGGCGCTACTCGCGGAGACGACGTGGTAGGTGCTGCCCGGCTCGAGGACCTTGTCCGCGGGGACGACGACGCGGCGCGCGCCGACGTGCAGCTGAAGCTGGTGCGCGGGGTACTCGCGGAGGAGCGCCGCCGCGGTGAGATCCCCGGGCTGGTCGAACAGCTGGAGCGAGTCGTCGGGGAGAAAGACGACGACCGACGAGAAGGCCATGGCGGAATGCGGAGACGCGGAGAGGCAGCGAGGCGTTTATCACGGATCGTGGGATGATGATTCAACGGCGAGAGAGTTAGAGGACGAGGAAAAGTAGGGGATGGGAGTTTGTTTGGCGCCTGGGAGCTTCTCGGGGGTGGTGAAGGCGCTAGTGGTATATGATTTCGGAAAGCTGCGCTTTCTGAGTTTAAGAAGGATGGCTTCCGTGGATGATGGCGCGGGTCGATGGCAGAGTGTCGGAACGGGCACAGCGGCAGAGTATAACTCAGTCAAGAAGACTGCGAGGGGATGCGGTGCGGCGGAGAGTGTTTCACGGGGATAAAGAACGCGTGTGAGCTCAGACGTAGGAGGTACTGTAACGCGATGGAATTGACACAGCGAGCAGCCTGAGTAGGCGTCGCGAAAGCGAGCAAGAGCGGGTTGGGATGGGATGGAATGGAACGGAGCAGCTGTGGGGGGGAGAAGTACAGTATGGGGGGGAGCGGATGCATCTGGCTAGATGTGTAGCTAGCCGAGTGAGGGCTGGGGTGGGATGAAGAAATCTGGTGGCATTTGGACCAAGGGGGGCTGCGACGCGGTTTGCGAAGATCGATTTGGAAGGAACAATCGCGGCGGGTGGTGTGAATTGAAACTGACTGGTCATGGGGGATGCTGCCGCGCCGTGTCGCTCTGCCCAATGCGCAGGTGTCGGTGGGTGGAGTGTAGCGACCACTTTCCGCTTGTCGCGCGCGCTCCTCCAATTTCCTGGGCAGTGAGTGACGGCAACTTGATGTTGCGCCAAGCAATGCAGTGGAGCCAGCGGCAGTCGTTTTCATTCCACAGATCGCTTACGCAAAAGCCAGGACAATACAGTTCAGTGCACAAGGCATGTGAGCTTTGCACAGTACCCGAGTCAGATTGTGTTGGACGCGGTAACGCGTAAAGTGTTGAACAGTCGCCAAGGATACAGTAAAATGAAGAGGCAGTGGGTTTCTTTTCGAGGTGACTGATTGGTGCGGGGACGGGCCGTATGACGTGTACAATGAGTGCATTTGGCTTCGCTTGAACAGTCGGTTCATCATTTCTGGTCCTCTCGTCCTTCGCAAATCGCGAAAACTTGGCGTTTTACGCTACACACGGAACGCAAGCACTCTGTTGAGTGTACGATTCGAAGTGCTCTTATGGAGAGTGAGCTAAAATGACGATCCTTTGACTGAGCAAAAACGGGATAAAGGCATTTACACCATTTCTCCTATTGGGTTTTACGGTTTTAAAACGCGACTCGATTCTGCAAGCGGGAAAACGCTCAAACCCGGGCAAACGGGATATTGAAGGGGAAATCCAACAGTAAATACTGTCATTCAGTTACAGAGTCTGTTTCGTCCACTTGGTAATTTGCATGTGCGACCTCCGGGCTCTGATTCTCACCATTGTCGAATACTTGACTGTTTGCTATCGTTAAGACTACAGCCAATCAGGCTCAGCGTCCACGCAAGTCATGCTGAGAACCTAGTAGGTGGGATTGCAATCTGAACTGTTCCCGGTGAGACAATCGAGGGGGACAGGTGTAACCGAAGGAGTTCTGTACTTGAAACCAGCCGGCGAGGTTTTGATGTTCCCCTGAAAGGCTGGATTTGTACATACACTTTTAATCAGAATGTAGACCGCGAACTCCCAATGGCAGACGAGTAACAAAGAGCACTAGAGCTGGTGTGACGGCTGTACTGTACCCAACCAGTGTTTCCAAACGCTAATAAACCGCTACAGTACAGTTGAAACAAAGGTCCTGTCCTTAGCTGTGCATCATGGGATGCACGGGACGGGATGCTGCAGGATTCTTGGTTGTGAAGGCAGGCAGCTTTCCCAAGACTGCAGCCATGATATCTTTGCTGATGTGGCTTGATCGCAGCCTCAATCTCGCTGAGTCGAAGCTGCTTCGTGGGGTACGGCACAGTGAGCTGGTCCTTAGCAATCACACCTCGGCCAGACCTGAAACAGATCGATATTGATTTGTTCAAGGTGTTTGTACAACTACTCCAAGCTAAGCATGTTACGGTAGCAAAATATAACATAGCCATATGTAAGGAATGCAGATTCCTTACTGGGGCTCGCAAAAGTGAGTACACACGAACAGTTCGGGTCCGCAGGCTCGGCCCTCAAGTCACGCGTCGACCTCGACGGCCCCAACCTCACCCCGAGTCGCCCCGAGCCCATTTTGACACCGTCACCTACTGTGTTATGAATTAATTTTGAGTAATAACAGGTGGTGTAATAAAGTAGTCGTGATTCAAGAGTGTCGATACAAATGAAGGCCTATGCATTTATAGTTACTAGCCAAGAACCACGCGAACAGGGTGGGGAGATTCGGTTGGCGAAAGCCACGGAGGCGCTACTCGTCGAGGTTTAGGTTCGCAAAATGGTTCGGGACCGAAAAAAGTGGCTGAGGCTAAACTTCCGAGAGACGAGGGCGTACGCGCTGTAGTCGAGCTCAATGAGGAAAAAAGAATTTTCCTTACACCACCCCCCCTTCCGGGATGAGGTTACCCACATCCGGGACATGTCGTCGGTGTAAATAGTCCCGAACGACTTTGTGTTCGCCGAGCATAGCTGCGGGGACCCAAAGATCGTCGTCGGTCGTGCGATCGACCCATCGTACAAGGAAATTGACGGCTGTTGTATCTCGATAGCCGCGTACGCGATGAGCGAGAATCTTCGAGGGCTCGATCGTCTGTTCGGGTACATGGTTGACCGTAGGATTGATGTGTTGACGGTCGAGATTAGTCGTACTCGGGACGAACGGTCGCAGAAGGCTGGCGTGGAATGAATCTTGAATTCGCCAGTCGTTCGGCAGTTGCAGTTGGGCGGTGACACGTGTCACCATGCGAATGATGCGGAAAGGCCCGCAAAATCGTGATCGTAGTTTATTTGGGAGGGGAACCCCCAAATTTGTGGTGTTGAGTAGGACCAATTGCGCAGGGGCAAGAGTTAAGTCACGCCGTCGTCGGTCAGCTTGCTGCTTAGCCCGTTGGTTGGCTTTGAGGATGGCATCAGCCGCTTTTTGCTGAGACTGTCAGAGATTTTCGACGAATTGTTGCGACCGTAGTTCCGGATTTTCTATCGATGGCGATAGAAGAGTTGTCGGGTCTATCCCGTAATTATGGAAGAACGGGGACTGAGAAGTCGTGGCTGATGGGGCGTTGTTACACGCAAACTCGATCAGGGGAAGAGAATCTTCCCACTGGGCCGGGTCTGTGCACGTCGTGCGAATCAGCTGCTCCATCGTCTGGTTTGTGCGCTCGGTCTGACAATCCGATTGCGGGTGGTATGCCGTGGACAGATGCAAACGTGTGCCGTACTGCTGCCAGGTTTTTGTCCAGAAGTTGGACGTGAACTGAGGGTCGCGGTCGCTGATGATTGCCGAAGGGATGCCGTGTAGCCGCACGATGTTCATGAGGAACAGCTTCGCTGTTTGCTCGGCAGTGATTGTCGTCTTGCAGGCGACGAAGTGGGCCATCTTGGTCAACCGGTCAACGACGACGAGAAACGCGTCGTTACCGCGTGGGCCAGCTGGCATACCAGTGACGAAATCCATCGTCACCTTTTGCCAGGGTCGGCTGGGTGGCTCGAGCGGCTGCAGTAATCTCGCAGGTCGAAGTCGTGATGACTTCATGCGTTGACACGTCGCGCAGGAGGTGACGTACTGCTACACGTCTGTCGACAAGTCCGGTCAGTAATTATTACGGCTCAGTAATTTGTCAGTTTTGTCGATGTCGTAGTGATCTGAGAAATTCGAGTCGTGTGCCTCTTGTATAAGTAGCTCGCGTAGGGTACGGTAGGCAGGAACCCAAATCCGATTGGTACCAAATTTTAGGTAATAGGCCCCCTGCTTGACCGTCAGTTGGGGATGGTTGTTAGTGGTGAAGAATGGGTCGGTACTCTATCCGTAGGTGAATAGACCAGTTAGCAACGGATAAGTGTGGGTGATTAGGACTGCGGCCGTATGGACTGAAGGGCGGATTAGTGCGTCGGCGATGTTGCTGGCCCCCCGTTTGTAGGTGACTATGTAGTGGATATTCGACTCGAGATAATCGAGCCAGCGAATCTGTTGGGGATTGAGTGTCGGTTGGGCGCGGATGAACTGTAGCGATTTGTGGTCTGTTCGAACTGTCCCGTCAACGACCGTCAGGTAGCAGCGCCACACTTTGAAAGCGTGGACGATGGCGAGTAACTCCTTGTCGTGGACAGGATAATTTCGCTCGGTCGGATTCAGCTTTCGTGACTCATAGGCGATGGGTTGAAGTCCTTCGCCGAAGTCTTGTAACAGTACCACGCAAACAGCCAGGTCGCTAGTGTCGGTGATGAGATCGAACGGACGGTAAGGATCTGCAATGCGAAGAACCATAGGTGTTGTTAGGAAAAGTTTGAGTTGGTCAAACGCAGCCTGTTGCTCTCCCCCCAACTCATAAAACTTGCCTTTCTTCAGCAAATCCGTGAGAGGGGAAGTTACCCCCGCCATGTTGGGAATTAACCGGCGAACGTAATTCACAGACCCCAGGAAACTCTGAAGTTCGCGGAGATGAGCCGACGGCTTCCAGTCTTGGATGGTCGCGATTTTCTTCGGGTCGGTTTTAACACCGTCGATGGAGATAACGTGGCCCAGAAACTCCAATTCTTGTTTCAGGAACTCGCACTTAGAACCCCTAGTGATGAGCCGATGCTGCTGCAGGAGAGAGAAGACTGCTTCCAAATCCTTCAAATGCTGCTCCCGGGTAGTACTGAAGATTAGGATATCGTCGAGGTACACAATGACACATTTATCCAGCAGCGGCCGAAAAATTTCGTTCATGGTCAACTGGAACGTCAAAGGCGCGTTTGTTAAGCCAAAAGGCATAACCGTGTACTCGTAACTCCCGTAGCGAGTTCGGAAAGTCGTCTTGTAGCAGTCAGCTTCATTGACGCGGATTTTATCGTAACCGCCTCGCATGTCAATTTTCGAGAATAACTGTGCCCCACGAAGTTGGTCGATGAGTTCGTCGGCACGCGGGATAGGATAGCGGGATTAGATGGTAACCCGGTTCAACGCGCGGTAGTCGATGCACATTCGTAGACCGCCGTCTTTCTTTGGGGTGAACAGGATCGGAGCTGCAAACGGTGATGTACTGGTTCGAACAAAGCCTTTCTCGAGCAGGTAGTCTAGCTGGCGTCAAAGTTCATCCAGCTCTGGCTGAGTCAGCCTGCATTGCGTACGAACAGTCGGCTGCGCGCCAGGCTCCAACTCGATTTTGTGGTCGTGGGCTCGCTCATGTGGCAAACCTAGCTGTAGGTCGTCTCGAAAAATATCGGCGTGCCCGCAGATCAATGCCGCCAAGCCGCCGGGGACAGCTGCGCAGAGTTTGTCGATGTCGGCCGGTGCGTCGACTGCCGTGGATGTGATCCATCGGACGGCGTACAATTGTGCGTCGCGGATCATCGCTCACTTGATGGTAACCGCGCTGACTGTCGAGGTCGCGGAGTCTTGACTGCTCCGTTTCGGAAGTCGTCGCCACTCGCCATTCCATTTAATGCGACAGGCACGCGTCCGCCAGTCGATACTCGGGTTGTATTCGCGCAGCCAATCGCATCCCAGCAACATGTCGCAGCCGTCCAGCGTCGTCGCCAGCATCTTCGTTGTGAAGGTAAAATTTTCGCTACATGTAACTCGCACGTGAGGTACTCGCTCTCAAATTGCCAGTGGGGTTCCGTCGACCAATCGCGCGTCGATCTCCGGCATGCAGTGTTCCAGTTGCTGTCGTATTTTTTTCGCCTCTGTCACATCCATCAAACTGTGGCTCGCCCCGTCATCAACGAATATTTTTATGCGGGTGTCGCCAGCTCTCCCTTCGACCAGCACAGGGTGATCAATCGGTTCACCCCCCTTATTCAGCCAGGAATGGTCGATAGCCCAAATCGGCACTATAACCTGGTGGGGGTGGTGGCGTTTGGGCGACGCAGTGAAGTCAGTAGGTGGCCCATCTGCTACTGACGATCTCCATTTCCCAACTACTTCTTGTCGTTAGGTAAGTTCTTCTTCAGCTGCGAGCAGTCCCTCACCATGTGACCCGGCTGGTTGCAGTGGAAGCAGGTCCCCGAAAATACTCGGGCTGCAAACACGTCCACGCCGTTGATTGATGTGTGTTGTGGCTGGACTCGAAAGCGATTTCCCTCTCGGAAACCCGCCCTCGCGAGTCCACGTTACGCGTCCAGCGCATCTGCCATGCGAACAATCTCGTTGAAGGTCGTCGGGGCTCGTAGGACAATTTTTTTTTGAATCTCCGGCTTGAGTCCTCCCACGTAGCGATCGATAAGATGGAACCAATTGGCTAATGGCATCTTTGGTCATAACCCAGTGTGGCTAGCCTCATACATAACATTCAAACAGAAATCGTGCACAAAACTCTTGCAGACGCTCAAATCCTTCGAATTTTCCTAGTGCTCACCCCCTTATGCAAAAGGGAGGGTCCAAGAAGAGTGCGAGAAGATCTCTCCAACGGTTTGCACTAACCTCGTAGATAACATGCCTAGGAGGGTGCGGGTGGTGATCAAGGCTAAGGGTCGGTGTACTAGGTACTAGAAACCTGTTCGGAAGTTTGCGCTTTGTCCCGGGAAAAAACTGTCCGCATGACCCCCTTGTATAACTTTTGGCACTATGTTAGATCCAATGTACTACTATGGACTTAAGTGCTGTGAACGCATCCACTATGTGCCCCTCCCAAAGTGTACCACCATTAAACATTAAGACTTTATGTACCGTGATCGGAAAGCCCAAAAACCTTAATTAGTGCCAAACATCCGGACAGTATTTTCCGTCAGTGTACAAACGGACTACTCTACGGAAGACTAAGTGGGCAGGAACGGGGCTCTGATACCAACTGTTTTGAATTCATTAGAGTAATAACAGGTAGTGTAATAAAGAAGTCGTGATTCAAGAGTGTCGATACAAATGAAGGCCTATGCATTTATAGGCACGAACAGAGCTAGCTGAGAACGACGCGAACAGGTTGGGGCGATTCGGTTTGCGAAAGCCACGGAAGCGCAGTGCGTTGAGGTTTGGGTTCGCGAAGTGGTTCGGGACCGAAGAAAGTGGCCGAGGCTGAACTTCATAGAGTCGATGGCTTTCATGCTGTAGTCGAGCCCAGTAAGGAAAAAGGAATTTTCCTTACACTCGGGTCGGGACTACTGAGCCCTTGATTGGTCCAACCCTCGACATTCAACCCTGGTCAATCGCCCTATATATTGCCTAGGCCTCATTTCTATCAAAACTCTGATATTTTTTTCCCTTATAGTATACTGCGCTATACTCGGAGTCATAATTTATAACAGATGATCTAGTGATTCTTTTGCACCAAACGATGCATAAAATTATAATAGTTTGATCATATGTCATAAAAAACAACTAAACCGTTAATATCAAATGTATATTTCATGATTATCTGGTAAAGAAATGTGAAAACATAGTGGACACATATATAGTAAGCAGCACATACCGTTAATAGGAATGTATGTACATATTGACATGATTCCGCTGTGTATGGAAACGAATTGAGGTGGACATCCAAAATCGGAGAGGAGAGGGTGACCCCCCTGGCCCTCCCTTCCCGCCAAGGCCTTTTGGCAAAGGCTCGGAAATGTGCGATACAACATTGCGAGCCGCGACTCGCTCTTTCCGCGCATCGACCTGGTCACCCCCGCGCATTGGAGAATCGATGTGATTAGTCCCGAATTTGCAGTGGGGCATCAAGTCTGGAAACCATGAGCTAATTATCTGTAAAAGCAGGTGTTAATGCTACAAGGAAAATATACGCCTGTCGCAACCGATACTAGAACGGAACTCCATCCCTGCCTTATGCTTATGCTTATGCATCGGGGTATTCTGGACAAACAGACCGGACCCCGTTACTGACCGTCAACCATTCTGCCTCGGTTGTGGTGCTCCCCCAAGCCGCATGTCGCTGAATATTGACGCGTGCGTCACTGACTGGGGCAGGCCTCGAGAACCCCACACACCCATTCGTGGTGATCCGTGCTGCATGGCTTGCCCTTGCGAAACGGAATTGGCGAAATGCTGATGGCGCTCCGCTGCCGTCGACACAAATGCTAGCAAAGCAGGAAATGCTAGATGGAGGACATCCAGTCCAACCCAACATGTGTTGGCGATCGCTGCGTGCTCATTTCGTCGCACGAATTTCCCTGCGGCATTTCGGCAGCAGCTGGCTGGATAACGAGCGTCACATGAACGGTTCCATTTCTTTCCACTTCGTAGCAGAGCACGCACACAGTTGGCGCATCTCTTACTGCCAGCGCCAGGAACACATCCACCTTGTGGCTTCCGTCTGCCGCGTCCCCGTGCGACGCTGCTTTGACTCAATCGTCCGAGGATCTTAGCCGGCTGTATGTCAATTATGTGGGGTCTTCTTTCGTGCGGGATTGCCACACCTACAGGCCGAAAGGCGTGGGCTTAGGCTTACTTAGTTGCGGAGCCCTGCTGATCCTCTTCTCTCTTGCTGATCCTCATAGCTTTCTAAGTTAAAATCGCATGCCGAGGCAAGCAATCAGCAATTCGCAAATCGATGGTTTGCTCGCGTCGGGTTTACGAGATGTCACCTGGACAGACTAGTTAACTGCGTCCGTTCGTCCTCCACACTTTACCGCAATACTCCCGCCCCTTCTCCCGTCACGGCATCGCCCTTAGCACGCCGCTAGTCACAACGCGAAACGAAGCTGGGTAGTCGGCGGGAGCGGGAAGCAGAATTATGGCTGTAGGTGGCGCAGCAGCGTTGACAGCGACGGATTTCCCCATCTTCCCCACTTCACAGAGCGCCTATTTTCCCGAGCAAGTATTGCCAGGGGGCTATGGCGGCGGTGATGGCGGCGGCAATGGTGGTGCGCCCATTGCCATGCCTGGAATCTCAGAATACGGTCGCGCTGCCGATGCGGGTGCTGGAATGCGATCGCCAGGAGACAGCGCGCTGTGGAAGCGACGAGCAGGCGACGAGGCGACGACGTCGCAGGCGAGTCTTGCGACGCCGTCGTCCGAGGAGCAGCTGTTCGCGTCCCCGTCGCCGTCCAAGCGTCGCTCGCCGCTGCGGCACACGCCTAGAGTAAATCTCTCGATCCCCCTTCCTCTGAGAGGGCTATCTGAGCGACCCGTGCCTGCCCGATCGTGTGTGCTATGTGTGCTCGATCTCACGTGCTCGTTTGGACGTGCGTGAGCTAAGGTATGATCATGCCTTGATCACACAACACCACCGCGCCAGTCGCGCCAGTCGCGCCAGTCGCGCCAGTCGCGCCAGTCGCGCCAGTCGCGCCAGTCGCGCCAGTCGCGCCAGTCGCGCCAGTAATCAACCAACATTCCCTTCCCTTTCGTCCTCTCCACTTCCCCTTCCCCGACACCCCCGCTCCCCCTCTCGCTCTTCCCCCTTCCTTCCCGCCCCTTCCCCCTTCCCCACCCCACCCCCACCCCCCCCCCGCGCCCTTTCCGCCGACCCATCAGTCCGCCCCGGCCAAGTCCCGCGGCGGGGATCGTTTCATCCCGAACCGCGGCGCCATGGACCTGGGCGTCGCGCACTTTCACCTCGTCGGCGAGCCGCGCTTGCAGCACCAGCAGCAGGGGCAGCAGGAGCAGTTCACTCCGCCGCCGCCGCAGCATCAGCAGCAGCAGCAGCAGTCGCCTTCCGCGGCGGCTTCGCCCGTTGTGTCGCCGCTTAAGGAGAACTATAAGAAGAAACTAGCAGAGAGTTTTTTGTCGCCTAGTCTGGGGAAGAGCCCGTCTCAGCGGATCAAGGGCCCGGGGGGCACTGGTAGAGGCGGGGGAGGTGACGGAGGGAGTGTGTGCAGAAGCGCAAGCGGCAGGGCTGTTGGCGGATGCGGAGGCGGAGGAGGCGCGGACGAGGACTCCTCCCCCGTTGGCGGAAAGATCTTTGCGTTCTACAGTTCGGATTCGGGCGGCGGAAGCAGCAGCAGCTTGCTCTCGGAACGCGCGACGAATCTTCCACTTCTGGGCCCCGTGCTGCTCCCCGAGTCGCCCTTCAGCGCGCCCGCGAGGAGACTACGGCAAATATCGCTGGTGAGTGGCGGCTGATCCGAGAGTGAGCAATTTAGCATCGCTGAGTCGACTCAAAACGAGATTAATATCGCTGGTGAGTGGCGGCTGATCCGAGAGCCGTCACTATTGGAGGCGCCTCAAAAAGGGCCGTCAAGTGATTCTCCGTTCTGTCCCATCCCGCGTCGTCCCAACCCTTTCCTCGCCTCCTCCCCTCCTCGTCTCGCCTCGTCCCTCCTCACCCCCCATTCTCAGGCCTCGGAGCGCATTCTCGATGCGCCCGAAATAGTCGACGACTACTACTTAAACCTGCTGGACTGGTCGTCGCAGAACCAGATCGCCGTGGCGCTGGGCACCACGGTGTACCTCTGGTCTGCGACGTCCGGCGACATCCACCAGCTGGTGCACGCGGACGGGCCCGACGACTACGTGACGAGCGTCGCGTGGGCCAAGGACGGGCGGCACTTAGCGGTGGGGCTGAATAGTAGCGAGCTGCAGATCTGGGACGCGAGCCGGCTGCGGCAGGTGCGGCGGCTGCAGGGCCACCGCGCGCGGGTGGGCAGCCTCGCGTGGAACGGACACATGCTGTCGTCCGGGAGCCGCGACAGCAGCATTCTCAACCACGACGGTGAGCCATGGAGCTGTCTCGAAGGGATGTTGCTTCATGGGATCTCTTGGAGTGACGCATCGAGTGTCTCGAAGGGCGGAGTGCTTTCCTGGTTGCGCGCACTTCCTTCCTTTCCCTTCCATCCGTTCTCCTCTCCGCATTCCTTCACCCCCACCTCGTTCCCCATCCCCTCCCCTCTCCGCCTTGCCCCACCCGCCCGTCCATGCGCGCGCGGCAGTGCGCGTGCGCGACCATGTGGTGAGCGCGCTGCGCGCGCACGAGCAGGAGGTGTGCGGGCTCAAGTGGTCGCCGTCGGGGCAGCACCTAGCGAGCGGTGGCAACGACAACCTGCTCTACATCTGGGACAACGCCGCCATCTCCTCCTCCTCCTCCTCCTCCCTCTCCTCCTCCTCCTTCTCCTCCCACCCCTCCTCCTCCTCCGCCTTCGCCTCGGGACACTCGTCCTTCCACTCATCCCTCTCCTCCTCGCTCTCCTCTCTCTCCGCCTCCTCCTCCTCCCCGCTGCCTCCGCTGCTCGCCTCTTCCTCCGCCTCTTCCTCCGCCTCTTCCTCCCCCTTCACCGCCTCATCGCTCATCGCGTCACTCACCTCCTCCCTCTCCTCCTCTCTCCCTTCGGCCTCATCTCTCGCCTCTCTCCTCGCCTCCTCCCCCTCGCCCTTCTCCTCTCCCTTCGCCTCCCCCCACTCCTCTCTCTCCTTCGCGCCATCCCCCGTGCTCGTACCCCCACCGTCCCATGCCAGTGCGCCTGCCGCTGCGGCTGGCTCTGCTTCTGCTGCTGCTGCTGATGCAAGTGGTGGTGACGGTGATGGCTCGGCGGGCCGTTCGTTCTTGCATCTTGCCACCTCCTCCTCGCCCCCCCCTCCATCTCTCTCCTCCTCCCCCTCCACTTCCCCCTCCCGCCCATCCTCGTCCCTCTCCGCCCACAGGCGGAGATTGTCCCCCAACCATGGTACGCGCGCAACCTCTTGCTCACCATGCCATCATGCTGCCATGCCGCCATGCCGCCATGCCGCCATGCCGCCATGCCGCCATGCTGCCATGCCGCCATGCCGCCATGCGGCACCCTTTCACATTGTGCCATCTTGCTTGCCGCCTGTCGCATAGTGCCAATTACCCCGCGCCTTCCTCGCCATCCGCGCTCCCTTTTTCCCACATTCGCACCCGTCTCCCCGCTGCATTTCCCTCAACTCTCCCCTCTTCCACGCACATCGTCTCACGCCTCTTCCGTCCCTCCTGCTCCCTCCTGCTCCCCCCTGGCCTCTCATGCCCACCCGCCTGCTCTCTCTTGCTCCCTCCTGCCTCCCCCCCCCCACCCCCAGCGCGCTACCTGCATCGGCTGACGGCGCACCAGGCGGCGGTGAAGGCCCTGGCGTGGTGCCCCTTCCAGAGCCACCTGCTGGCGTCAGGGGGCGGCACCGCAGACCGCTGCATCAAGTTCTGGAACACACAGACGGGCGTGCTCATGCACTCCATCGACACACACTCGCAGGTGACAGCCCCCCCCCCCTTCCTCCCCCCTCCCCCCCTCCGCCCATGAGATGAGCTGGATTGTGAGCCTAAACCCAAAGCCATCTCCCCTCCACCCATGCTGCTCTCCCCTACCCTCCCCCTTCCCCCCCCCCTCTTCTCTCTTTCCCACAGTCCACTGCCATGCTACCTTGCCTGTCCCTCACTCTCCACCTCCTTTCCCTCTGCATCCTTCTCTGTCTACTCTCCCCCTCCCCTCCCCTGCTTCCCCCCCCCTTCCCCACCCCCAAACCCCTCATCCCTCACTCTACATCGTCCCTCCCCACCACTCGCCCCACTGACTCAAGTATCCTCTGCGCTCTTGTGTGCGCCCCCGTTGTTGACCCCCGCTGGCAGGTGTGTGCGCTGGAGTGGAGTCGGCACGAGAGGGAGATCCTGTCGTCACACGGGTACAGCCTGAACCAGCTGTGCCTGTGGCGCTACCCCTCCATGGCCAAGCTCGCTGAGTTCACCGGCCACACCGCCCGCGTGCTGCACCTCGCCCAGGTACTCACTGCTCACTGCTCGCCCACGTCGCCCAGGCAGGTTACCACTACCCTGTCCCCATGGTCTGCACTCTCATCAGCTAGCTGCACACTCTCCAAATTCCGACTAGTTTCCATTCCATCCAGGCTAACGGTATTATATTCTCCCCTCGTCTTTTCCCCGTTCACATCACCCTGTCCCCCCCCTCCCCCCTCCCTCCCCCATCAGAGCCCGGATGGCTACACGGTGGTGTCAGCAGCAGCAGATGAAACCCTGCGGTTCTGGAATGCGTTTGGGGATCCGGATGGGGATAAGAGAAAGGGAGGAAAGGGGGGAGGCAAGGGATGTGAGAGGCGGGTTGGCGGGGGAGGGGGAGCTGTAGCATGTGCCGATGATGGTGTTGCATCTGCTAGGTGCTCTTTGCTGCGCTCTCACATCCGGTAGTGGGGTGGATGGCTGCTGTGATGAGGGGGGGGGAGAAGGGGGGGTGCCTGCTGGAGTTCGCTGCTGCACTCATCAAGCATGCTGCTACCTATACAACCATTGAGCATACCGCGGGATTCATATACTGCTGAGGGCGGCCTGCAGCTCCAGGATTTTTTCGTCCATTACACATGGATGCATGGCTGGTCACACACATGCCTCTGACAAGCACAGGCAGGTTGTGCAGTGTGACGCCCTCATCATCGCATGGTAGTGTGGCCGTAGTACGCCATGCTCCATTTACACACAAATATTTGCTTCGGCTGTATGTGCCATGTAGTTCATATGTAGTACCTTCCAACGATTAAAGAAAAAATGTCCGTGACACATGTATAATATTATGTTACAAGCTATTTTTATAGCGAGCCACAGCCTTGTTGACGTGGATGCCCCTGGAGCTGATGCGATGGTGACACATTCAGGCGAGGCACATCCCGCTGCAGCAGGGGCACAAGCCAAAACAGTACAGCATCACCCGTACCTGCAATGCATTCTGGATTCTGATTGGTTCGTCGATGTGTCTCTGTACACTCCACCCTCACCTCATCTCCAAACCAGAAGTTCTAGCCCTCCCCCAAGGCCCACAAGCCCACAATAACGCGTACATCCTCTCCCTGCTCTCTGCCTTTCTTATGCAGCATTTTCTAGGTAGGTGAGAGCGACACAGAAGGAAATACAGAAGTTAGGGCGTGTACGTTTGATTCTTGTCGGGTAAGATGTTTTGCGATTTTAAAAGTGATTATCGCTACCTGTAACGGTTGGGTAGAGTTTTGAGCGACAAACATACGCGGGGGACACGCCCTTAGTATCACAGTGCTCTCTGAGCCGAGTGTATTTCTTGCGTCCATCAATTTTGCCCACCAATCTGCTGTGCATGCTTGGGAATTGCTTTCAGTGGCGCTAGACTAAGCGTGTTTGTGCTAATTGAAATAGTTCGAGCTCGTCTGCTTTCATTGCTGTTTCTCCTCATTAGCCCGGCATTCTAGTCCGTCAAGAGCCTCCGCTACCCGGCGCCGTCACGTCGTATTTTAGGTTGAATAGCTTAGCGACCCGAAGAACGCGACTCAGAGCAGAATCAGCTTTCTCGCCGGCGACAGCCGTGTGCGACTCTAACAAGTGGCAGGGAGTTCATGCGACAGCTGGCTGGCTGATGGCGATATCGTCATCCGTCGAGCGACTGCTCACCGTCCAGCACTGTACGAAGCCCGAAACGCTCCTGTCGCACACCCTTCCTGTTCTGGCTGCGACTGCACGATCTTATTTTTTTACGGAATTGTTAATGCTTACGAATTATTTTTCAGGGCCCCATGTTCAGCCCATGGGGTTGTGTCGCCCTTCTCTCCTTTCTCGAGCGTTTTCCCCTGTCTCTCTTATCCACCATCCGGTCTCTTAGCTCACTTAATCTTTCCTGCTAGCATTACTTTCTGCCCCGCTTGTCAGAGTCTTTGCCCTCTTCTCCCCCCCAGCTGTTATTCCGTTACTCTGTCTTCTCCTCTGCCAATCTCAAATCTATTCTTCCCTGCCTTGATTCCACTTCCCGCCTTCTCCTCCCTCGCGTGTGTCGCATGGCTCCTCCGTCGCACGCTGCGTCGCAGATGACTGGGCGGACGAGCTCTTTCTCATGGTGCGTCGCTCCCTTCCACGTCCGCCCTCCCGCCCTCCCTCCGCCCTGACTCCCTCCCGCCCTCCCTCCCGCCCTCCCGCCCTCCCTCCCTCCCTCCCTCCCTCCCTCCCTCCCTCCCTCCCTCCCACCCACCCTCCCTCCCGCCCTCCCGCCCTCCCTCCCTCCCTCCCTCCCTCCCTCCCTCCCTCCCTCCCTCCCTCCCTCCCTCCCACCCACCCTCCCTCCCTCCCTCCCTCCCTCCCTCCCTCCCTCCCTCCCTCCCTCCCTCCCTCCCTCCCTCCCTCCCTCCCTCCCTCCCCCCCTCCCTCCCCCCTCCCCCCTCCCCCCCCTCCCCCTCCCTCCCTCCCTCCCTCCCTCCCTCCCTCCCTCCCTCCCTCCCTCCCTCCCTCCCTCCCTCCCTCCCTCCCCCCCTCCCTCCCCCCCTCCCCCCCTCCCTCCCCCCTCCCCCCCTCCCTCCCTCCCTCCCTCCCTCCCTCCCTCCCTCCCTCCCTCCCTCCCTCCCTCCCTCCCTCCCTCCCTCCCTCCCTCCCTCCCTCCCTCCCTCCCTCCCTCCCTCCCTCCCTCCCCCCTGCCGTTTCCAAACCCCTTCTCCCTCTTGCCCCATTTCCTTGCTCCGCAATCCCGCCCTGAGCGCATTCTTGGGCTTGCCGTTCTGATCAGCGCAGTCAGCCCTGCCACTTCTGTGCCTGCCGTGCTCAAGTCAATGCGTGCGCCAATGCCGCCCACTCACTGCGTGTTACCTTGTGTCGATGGCATGGCGTGGCTTGGCGTGGCATGGCGTGATATGGCGTGGCGTGTCATGGCACGGCACGCCATTGGCGTGGGCGGCAGGGTCAGGAGCCGATAAAGTGGGACCTGGAGGAGATGGAGCGGCACCTGGCGGAACCCAACTTTAACGGCGAACCCTCCAAGGTCAGCTCACCTCGATGCTTGACTTGACGCGCCGAAATAACGGCGCGCGCGCCTGCTGTGGGGAGAGCAGGGAGGGTAGTGGTGGGGAGGGGAGATGCCTGGGAGGAGGAGTGGAGCAAGGGGAGTGGAGGGAAGGTTATGTGCAGTGGTTGACGCGAAGGGGAGAGGAGTGCACGGGGACGACGAGGAGAGGGTATGGATGGAAGAGTAAGGGGGGAATGAGGGGCGAATGGCATGGGAAGCAGAGTAGGAATGAAGCACAATCTCACTCTCTAGGATACCCCACCTGAGTGTCAATTCAACAGCCACTCCCATCATGACACGTCGATCTGTGCCAGGTGGCGATCTTCTATTCGTGGTTCGATGGCTGCTTCTACCCACTGGTGCGGTCGCATCTGGAGCACCGGGACAAGCTGCTCCTGCCCGCACTCACAGAGCGCATCAAAGGTGTGCTGCGCTCTCCTCACCGTGTGATGGATGTAAGGTCGCTATGTGATTGATCCAAGGTCTGACTCCTGAGTGCAAGCCAATTCCAAGGTGAACTTCCAAGGTGCGCAATTGTAGTCTTAGTGCCCCGCAGGTCCAAGCTGCAGCAACTACACGGACGGACCCTCCTCTGTCTCCCATCCCTTCCGCATCCCCCTCTCCCTTCCGCGTCCTCCCCCCTCTTCTCTCCCCTCCCTTCCCTCCCTTCCCTCCCCTCCCCCGCCCGTCCCCCTCAGAGTGTAATGAGTCGATTTTTGAGTCGACTCAAAAATCCTCCCCCGCCCGTCCCCCTCAGAGCCTTTTGAGTCGACTCAAAAGTCCCCCGCCCGTCCCCTCCCCTCCGCCCGCCGGTCCCCCTCAGAGCCTGCCCCGAACGAGGTGTCGGCGCCCTTATTCCAGGCGATAGAGCTGATGGACGAGGTCAAGGACATGCGCGCCACCTTCGACAGAGCGCAGATGGACGACCGACCCAACGTCGCTGGTGGGTTTAGAGCCCACTCAAGAGCCGAGACGAGGGCGGTTTAGAGTTGACTCAAACGTAGAGCTCATGGGGAGGATGACAAGACGTGTGGTCTGCCTTTGACAAAGAAGATTGAATGGGTGACCGACCCAATGTGGCTTGTACGTGGGTGGCCGCTTGAGAGGAAGGTGGGGCGAAGGGGGGTTCCAGTAGCGGTGAAAGTGACTGGCATGCAGGCACACGGGGGGGAGGGTGGGGGAGTGGGGAGTGGCGAGAGGGGAGCGTGAAGGGAAAAATGAAGGGGGGAGGGTGGGGTCTGTGCCGTGCACCCTTCACCTTCCTTCACTCCCCTCATTTCATCCTGGCCCTCGCACGCACCTGAGCCGGTTTAACAACACTCACACACTCACACACACGAACACATGCACAGTCAAATGCAGTTTCTCCTCCCTCTCCCCTCTGCTCCCACTTACACACCTCAGACCCCCCCTCCCCCCCCCCCCCCCCCCCCCCCCTTAACCCACCCTTCCTCCCTCACCCCCTCACCCCGGCCCTCCCTCCCTCTTCCTCTCCCCCCGCTCACTCCCTCCCTCTTCTTCCCCCCCCGCCCTCACTCCCCCCCTCTCTCAGAGGTGCTGCGGCAGAAGCTGACTCAGCTGTCGCGCATCTTCCACCGCCAATTCGACGCCGAAATGGACTTCTTCCCAGGTGAGGGGGGGGGGCGTAGCTGGGAAGGGGAGGGGGATGAAAGGGGGGGGGGGGGGGTGTGGTAGGGGAAGGGAAGCAAGAAGCATACAGTGAAGGGAGTGGATAGAGCTGGTAGAAACAATTCAGATAGGAAGGGTGTACAGGGTAGACTTGAAGTATGGTGGGGAGGTGAGTGCATTATGGTGACTCAACCTCTCTTTTGCCTTCCCCCACTCCTCCGCCGCACGCACATGGACCAATGCGCGTGCAGCATGCACTCAGTCACACCCAAAGAGGCTCCTTAGAGTCAACTCGGAGCCTTCCCCCTCTCCTCTCTCCCTGCTTCCCTTCGCCTCCGGCACCAGCACACAGCATTCTACCGACTGAGGCACGTTTGAGCAAACTTACACCCCCCCCCCCCCCCTCTCCTCTTGGCTGGGCACCAGCGCGTGTGCGGCATGCGTTCATGCCGACGGAGGCGGAGGGCATTCTGATAGAGGCGGAAAGCCACGTGGGTTTCTTCCTTGCGTCCGCACGCCTGCCATGGATCTTCCATGGCCTCGAGAGGTGCGCTGCCGCGCCATACTTTGTGCTGGCTGAATGGGGATGGGGTGGACAGGGGAACTGGGTGGGTTGTCGGTGTGTTCTTTCTCTTGTCAACACTCCTTTCCAATGCCTCGTGTGCATCCGTGCTACCCTTGCCTGCTGTTGTCTCTTCCAGTGCCAGTGCAATTACCCTCCCCCCCCCCAGAGCAACCACCTGTCCTCTTCCCATCTCCCCATCCCCAATGCCTTCCCTCCAGGTGGGCGAGTCCGGGCAAGCCAGAAAAGTTTCTAGAGCGGTTGCCGTGGGTGCACCGGCTATTATTGGAGTACTGGTGGGAGCCCGTGTACCTGCGGTGCAACTGGCTGCTGCTGCAGTCCCTGGCTGACCCGGTGGAGGGGGATACACTGTAAGCTGTAACTCAGCGAACTATTCCAGCAATGGGTGACGTTGCCGTGGGGCGGTTGCCGTGGGTGCACCGGCTGTCGTTGGAGTATTGGGGGGTTAATGAGTCTATTTTTGAGTCGACTCAAAAATAGACTCATTACTCACTGGTGGGAGCCTGTGTACCTCCGGTGCAACTGGCTGCTGCTGCATTCGCTGGCTGACCCAGTGGAGGGGGATACACTGTAAGCTGCAATGTTGCGGTCTGTACTGTACCAGTAAGGGGTGTAGTCTGCTGAATCTAGGTGTAAAGAGAGCAGCTGTTCTGTTGGGGAGCTGCCTTGTCAGTGAGGGGGTGAGGGGATGAGGAGGAATCATGGGGCGGATACATGTGGAAGTAGACGGTAGGAAGGAAAAGGTGTGAGAAAACACGTGTGGGGGATACATGAAGGGGATGCTGTGTGGATGGGTGCCTTACAGCAGTAGTAGGCACTAGTAGCTGCCATGCCAACTTGGGGCTACATGTAGAGTTTGCCATGCCATCACGGAGCTCCATGTTGTACACGGAGGGCTGCTATGCTGTACAGAGTACACCAGGATATGTGCTATAGTGGTGCTTCACCCGGTCTAGAATGTGATATATTCTGATTGCAAGCAATGGAATGTCATGAAGTGTTACTCTTCCAAACAACAGTGTTGCTAAGCTCTTTATACTGAACACACGCATATATATATATATGGTATATCATAAGCTCTACATACAAATACGGTAAGGGACGACTGCACTTGTACTCACATGGCAAAACGGCATGCTTTCACGTCCCACGAGATGTGGGGTGGAGGATAGTCTGCTGCATCAAAAGAAATGCTTGGCTTGATGCCATGTACAGTACCCATGCTGCCGAGGAAGAGGAAGAGGAGGAGGAGGAATAAGGGTGGTGAGGGAATGAGGGTGGAGGGGGAATACAGTTATACTCTAGCGGTGCAGGCACATGGAGGCACAGGTGATTCATTGATTGTCGGTAGGGCGAGGTCAGGGGCAGGTTTGTCGGAAGATGAGGACGGGGCAGGGGCTGTGGTGCGCGCAGTAGTCGGAGACGCTGCCCATCATGTGCTTCAGCCGGCTCACCGCGCCCCCCTTGCGGTTGCCCACCACCACCAGATCCGCATGGCTCTCCTTTGCCACGTGCACGATCTTCTCCCTGCGCACCCATGCCGCACAGGCACGGCACGCAGGCACGGCACACAGACAGCGGCAAGCACAAGTACAAGTGGGACAGGAGTTGGTGCGGATCCGAGCATGCACGGGATGCACGGACGCATACTTCGTCCTCTGAACGTGCGGATCTGTTTTCTGGATTGGAGCGAGGCGGGAGCGATGAGCCAATGACGGATGACGGATCCGATGAGCGTATGTGACGAGAGAGAGGCATTTGGGATATTCTCTACTGCTGCATTTATGGTAGAATTGCGCAGGCAAGTCGGCTGATCAGCGCATGGGCACCCAAAAAAAATTGGCGCCCTGACATCGCAGGCTTCCAGCAACGAGGGAGTTTCCGGCGTTGCAATGCGTCCGCATAGCAGTGCGACTGTATTAGGCATCGGAAATCACGTGCGTTTAGAGTCGTTATCCGACACGTGTCGGTACGTACACTCCACACCACTCCGTGTTCCGCTCACGCTCACGCACCTGGGGTCGCCGTCGGTGGAGACGAGCGACACGGACGCGACGCCCGCCTTGTGCGCCTTGGCCTCGAGATCCGCCAGCAGTTGCCGGCTCTGCTCGCGCGCCCGCCGCTCCCACAGGTTCGCCTCGTGCGCCGACGAAAACACGCGCTCCGTGCCGGGAACTGCGGGGGGGAGGGGGCGGGGAAGCGGCGGAGAGGAGGCAGGACAGGACTCTTGTGAGTAGTTAGGAAAGCGGTTAAGCACCAACAGAAATGCCGCATAAGTTCAATGTTGGCGGGAGGGAATAGCACCGCAGGAGCGACAGAACTGCAGCAGGGAATAACATTGTTGCTAGTAGCAATGCTGGCTGATAGAACCGGCGAAAAACGGCTGAGAAGGTGCTAAGATCAGCGCGATGGACGGAGATCGTACATGGCTGCGCGTGGCGCACGTTGAGGATGACGAGTCGGTCCCGGTCCTTGCGCATGAGCTGCGACATGGCGAACTCCAGCATCTGCTCCGTGATCTTCCCCTCGTCGATCGCCACCAGCACCTTCCGCGGCGCCTCCGCCTCAACGTCGTTGCTCGCCATGGGGGGAATGCACGTCTCGTCTGCCTGGTGAAATACTCTTTGGTCAGCGTGCAAGCGTGCTGAGCAGAGTGAACGTCCTCGGTGCAGAATTCGTTTCTAGAATGTCGTGGTAGAGTGTGGCCAAATGTGGGATTTGTTGTCACTCGAGGAAAAGGGCGCCTGCCTTCTGTAAACTGTGGATTTTCCAGTCACTGTAAACTCGAAAGTGGGGAGGTCAGAGTGCGGTGCCAGGGGAAGGGGGTCAGTTGGTTGGTTGGTTGGGGGTGAAGAAAACGGAACGTGCCCCGCCGCCAAACTGCAGAACAGAAAGCGTTTCTTTTCCCTTGCCCTTCCACCAGCCAGCGCAGCACAGCTCCTTTCTTATTGGCATTGCTGAAATTTCTATCGGGGCAGTTGAAACGCACATCATGTCGCGGCAGTCGAGTTTGACAGCCTCATGCCTTCTGTGAGGGACTGGGCCAGCTCTGCCCCGAGGAAAAACATTCGTGCAATTTTTTTTCCTGGTTACAGCATTGACAGAAAAGCAGCATCTCTGGTTGATCGCGTTCGCCCTTATCCGCGAATGGGAGGGGGATGAACCAGGGGCAGGGCCGTCAATTGACGTGGAAAGCTCCGAGTGCGTTCATTCGTTAGGTCTCTACAGCAGAGCAAGAACACCTCCAGAATCCCCGTCAGAGCACGTGCTGCATCGCTGTGCAGCATCCAACCTGGTTCAGTTCCCACCCTGCAGCTGGAATGACGTGTCACAGTATTTCTGTGTCTGTTCTACGGCAAAAATAAATCCTCGTCAGTATAAAGGCCACTCTCAACTGATGATATGCTACTACATCTGAATACACTACCTGATTACGGATACAGAGCTACAAGATGTAAGCCCTGAAAAATATCCACGAGGGCGGAGCGAACACCTCTGCACACAAAGAAAACATGGTGGACTGCCATACGCCTCTAAGCAGCACAAAGACAAACATTCCCCAGTTTCCACGTCGTCCCTTGATCTCTTTGACCCCTTTAGCGAGTAGCAGCCATTCACCTTGTTGTGTTGCACAGGCAGGCTGACCTGCTGTGGTCTAGTCATACTGCACACGACGCATAGTACAACGGTCAGGATGGCACGTTTCAAAGAGACGCCAGACGAGAGACGATTTGTGTGCACACCCAACCACGCACCTTGAGGATGACGAACACCGCGTAGATAATTCCTGGTATGTATCCAAGCAGCGTCAAGAGCACGCATATCCAGAACTCAATCTGGCACTCTCGTTTCAAGAATACGCCCACTGGCGGCAGAAGGATGGCACACAATACTGAGCAAATGTCTATTGCTCTCTCGGATCGACCCATCCTATCCATAATACGAGAGAGGTTCGGATTTTCGACCCAAAGTTGTGGAAACTAAATGCCAGAGTGCCTTAAAAAAGAGACCAACTACCCTGAGCAGGAATCGGCAGGTGTTAAATCCCGAAGATGAGTTACGAAGGCCCAGTCAATGGAACAAGTCCAACAGGTCGATGTAGTCGCTTTCCCACACAACCAGTCTGGGCCAACACGAAAGAGGACTACGCGACTACGCTTTCTCACGCAGGAGCGTGGCCGACATTGGGAAACGGGCTCATGGTGGTGATGCCTCCTAATCTGCCAAAGAGCAGCAGCAAACTTGCTCTGAAGCGCGAGCTGGTGCCCGCCAGCTGGCTGATGCGTCATGGCAGGAAGGCTCGGCGTCATCTGCGGAATAAGAGCAGCAACCGCATGCAAGGACAGATGTCCTCCAACATCTCGGCTGTCGGTGTGGGCGTTCACCAGAGGTCAAGCATGCAAGGCCGACAGAGGAGACCAGAATCAACGTTGAAATAAGGCTACATTGAGTGAAATGCGATTCAAGTACAGTACAAGTTACCCTCTGCACTGTACTTGACTACACCCATACTACAACAAACACACTTTAGTGGAGGGTGAACGAACCGCTGCATAGGAGGATGGTGTGGTCTCCCCTTGTCCACATTCCTGGGGTGTGCAGAGCAGAAGCCACGTGTCGGAGAGTTTGTTTGGCACCGACAGCGAGGCGCTTTGCAGCACCCCAAAATGGGGCAAGCCACTCGTTCCTGGACACGTAGCCCAAGACCCGAGTCGCACTCACACTCCCACACTTACACCTCTCATTTCAGTTTTGGTGCAATTCCTGAAACCCCACTCCCCCACCCCCCCAATACTTCCCCACGGACAAGGAATTTCACTGAACTTCCCGATGTCACTTACAATGGATGTCACTGAGTTTCCCGTCCTTCGTCACGAACCTGTTCGGATGTTTGGTTCGAAATTGCTACGTGGAGCAGGCTGAGCACAGTTGTCTCTTTCCATCCCCACAGAACCACAGCTGAACAACACGCCCCATCAGACCCCCTCGGTATTACCCAGTCACAAAAGCTGGGCCCCGTTCGCCAGCCCAGCCGTCCCTACGAAAAAACCCAGTCACAAAAGCTGGGCCCTGTTCGCCAGCCCAGCCGTCCCTCGGAACGAACCCAGTCACAAAAGCTGGGCCCCGTTCGCTAGCCCAGCCATCCCTCTGAACAAATAAGGGACATGCAGGCGAAACAGAAGTCACTGTAGCTGATGGAAAACTAACCTAGGATAAATCAGGACTAATCTGCCACGTGAACGTTGGCATCGTAATGTCAACGAGAAACAGTAGCATGAAAGGGCCACGCGCAGTTTCCATACGCTGACGAGGAAACTGGCGCAACGGATTTGAGGTGTTCCAAAATGCGGAGGGAACACTTTTAACACCTTGACTTTGGTTGCCTATTGGCTCTTCCGAGCTTGGGTTTGCATAACACCCCTTGGATTTACGTGGGTTGAGGAGGGTATCAGGGTCTAGTGTTCTAGGGCCTTGTTCCTTGCTAGTTCCATCAAAGGATTCTTTGCCGCAACTGGGACGTTAGGTTGGGTTTAGGCTCGTGTAACCAAGTTGAGGCTTGTTTTGAGGGAACCAGCCAGCGAGGTATGGGTCGAACCAGAGGACATCGTTCGGGCGCAAATGCTGTAGTTACGTTCCCTCGTGCTCACTTAAAGCCTGACTGGCAGGTTGCACATTGGCACTGTTGAGGTAGGTGGGCTGGCAGATTGCGATTGGCTGACGAGATAGATAGGGGGCGAAATGTTTTTGCCAAACTTTGCATTTGTCCAGTTTCTCAATACCGCGGGAGCCCCAGGGGCCTATGAAACCTGGCAGAGGTGTCAGGTTTGAGCCCTGTCGACTGGCAGGGGATTCTCCTCTGCCTCTCTGCCATATTGCAAGGGCGTTTTCATGCCTACGTTTTCGCGCAAACAACCATTTTGTTTGATTTGTTAGGGCAAGTTGGAAACAGAACCAAAGTCCAACTTATTCTCTCGGCGATTCCGCATTTGCGCAATCAAAACATTTTTTTCGCTCGCACGAAACTACCCGAAATTCAAACTCGAAAAGGGTGATTACATTTCATGCAAACTCTATGTTTCTTTACCTCGATACTTGGCAGGGATGCAAACCTACTAAGTTTGTCAAGGCAGAGAGTTTGAGGTCTTTGATTATCGTCAATTGCTGCTGCAGGTTGAGTGGGTTACAGGTCCTCAAGTTGCAGCATCTTGAGAAAATGGAGTTGCAACCTGCTGGTCGGGCTTTAATCTCACCTAGGGAACAGAAAGAGGGAAGGGAACTGTGGCACGTTCGCCCGAACGAGGTCCTCTGGTTCGACCCATACCTCGCTGGCTGGTTCCCTCAAAACGAGCCTCGACTTGGTTGCGCGAGCCTAAACCCAACCTAATGTCCCAGTTGCGGCGAAAAATCCCTGGCTGGTACTAGCAGGGAACAAGGCCCCAGCGAACCGGGCCCTGGTGTTTGCTACGGGTAGAGAGTATTTTGCTAACCCCCCCCTGGCCCTAATATCTCTCCACTCACCTGATCACCTCCTCTCCTCTTCCCCCCTCACCACCACCTCCGCACCATCCATGCCGGTTCTCGTCCTCCCACAGCCCTGTGCGCGCGCCACGTTGCTCCACGCACGCGCCGCTACCGCAGCACGCGTTGCGCGCCGAGCATCCAGCGGCATTCCAGCGTGTAGCAGGCGAAGAACAACTGTCGCCGCGACGCCAGCATTCTCAGCATCGACCTCCTCCTCCCCGTCACGATCAGTCTCCGCAGCGTCAGCATCGTCGTCAGCGTCAGCGTCAGCCGCTCCTCCGACGTCGATCGGCAACATGAAGCGAGTTACGCTGGGCAGCTCGGATCTGTCCGTTTCCCAGGTGGGTCGTTCGGGACACAGTCCGCGATGTCGCCTCGCTTGGTTACCACTGGCATTTTCGCCATCCACTCGCGATGTGCTTGACTTAGCCTCGGATCAGGATGTTCGCTCTCTCACAGGCATCGCCTCGCCTCGCCTCGCGTGTCGGCTCCAACGCTTCCTATGAACGACGTCGCCTTGCTTGAATGCTGAAGCTGCTGTGCCTCGCCTCACCGCGTTTCACGTCCCTCTTCCTTCCTTACCCTACCACAATTCTCGCTCCCCCTCCCTCTCCCTGACCTCTCACCCTCCCCCTGTGACTCGTCTCGGAACCCCTCCCGCTCCCTGGCCCCTCACCTCCACGCAGGCGTGCTACGGGCTGATGACGTTCGGGCAGCAGAACTCGGAGGCGGAGGGCCACGCGCTGCTGGACTACGCCGTGTCGCGCGGAGTTAACTTCGTGGATGCCGCTGAGGTGTACCCTGTGCCCATGCGCAGGTGAGACTGGTGGGAGTGCTGGTTGGTTTAAGTGCCGGATCTATGTGAGCTTATGTGTGCATTGTTCGCCACGCTACACCTAGTCCAGGTGCCCGTGCTCGCGGTGCTGAAGTACGAGACAAGACCAGAGCGCGTGTCGTGTGCGGTTGCAGCGCACGACTACAGGGTGGATGGAGAATTGCCATCGAGCAAAATGCGAGACGCATGATCCATGATGCATGATCCATGATGCATGATCCATGATCCATGATCCATGATCCATGATCCATGATCCATGATCCATGATCCATGATCCATGATCCATGATCCATGATCCATGATCCATGATCCATGATGTATGATGCATGGCCCATGATGTATGACGCGGGATGCATGATCCATTTTTATGCATGATCCATGATCCATGATCCATGATACATGATGCATGACCCATGATCCATGATCCATGATCCATGATGCATGATGCATGATGCATGATGCATGATGCATGATGCATGATCCACGATGCATGATGCATGAAGCATGAAGCATGGAGTATAGAGAACGGAGTATGGAGCACGCACCTCTTATTTCAACAAGCCCTCAACCCTGAACCCCGAATCCCCCAATGTTCTCTCATCCTCTTCACTCTCCCCTCCCTCCCCTTCCTTCCCCTCGCGCCCCATCTTCCCCCCCTCCCTCCGCACGCCCCTCCCCACCAGCGAGACAGCGGGGCGAACGGAGGAGATCCTAGGCACGTGGCTCAAGAACAAGGACCGCTCCTCCATCGTCGTCGCCACCAAGGTACCTTTTGAGTCGGCTCGAGTCAAGAGATTTTACAGGGTGGCACGTGGCTCTCAAGAACAAGGAACGCTCCGCCAAGGGCTTAACTTTGGCGACGCGACCAAGGTTGGTTGGTACCATGGACACTAGATTAGGCTGGTCCTCTGGTGGCAGAAATTACGCCATGCTCACACCACTGAGGGCTTGACTTGGACAATCTGGAGGGAGGGAGTTCTGAAGTCTCAAGCTTTTTGTGTTTGGGGTGATGTGATGGGTATGTAAGGTGTAGGCGGTTGGTTGCGCATGCATCGGTGGCTGTCAAAGCTGCTCCCGCTGACTGCCATCGCTCTCCCACTTGCACCCATCCATCCGCATTCCTGACTCCCTCTCTCGTCCCCATCCCTCTCTGGTCTCCCCTCCCCCCTACATCTGCTTCCCAGGTGGCAGGGTACAATCTCGGGAGCCACACCACACTCTGGGCGGCAGGGAGTATTGAGACGTCTCAAAACTTCTCCCTCCCTCCCCCCCTCCCCCCTCCCCTCTCCCCCTCCCCGTCCCCAATGTTTGCTCTCTCCCCTGTCCCCTGTCCCCTGTCCCTCTCCCCTCTCCCCTCTCCCCTCTGTCCTCTCCCCTCTCCCCTCTCCCCTCTCCCCTCTCCCCATCTGTGCGGCCCAGGTGGCAGGGTACAACCCGGGGAGCTACACCCCGGGCAACAGGGAGGAGCCGCGCAGCCTCGAGCTGGCGGACTGCCGCCTGGACAGGGCCAGCATCCGCAAGGCGTGTGCTGCCAGCCTGCGACGCCTGCAGACCGACTACATCGACCTGTATCAGATCCACTGGTGAGGGGGGGCTTCATCCACTGGAGCTGTCTTGCTGTCTGTCTTGCTGTGTATCTCCCAAGCGGTCCTTGGGAGGTATGGCAGTTAGGAACCTGAGTACCTGAGTAGAAGTTAGGCAGTTACGCAAGAACTCTCCGTCTCACTCTCTCTCCCTCCGTCGGTCCGTATCGAATCTCAAACGCATGCAGCAGACTGGCGACATGGACCTGTACCAGATCCACTGGTGAGGGGCTTGCTCCAGTGGATCGGTCTTGCTGTTTGTGTGTCGGTGCGTCTCTCTCTGTCCCTCTCTGTCGCTCTGTCTCTCCGTCTGTCCCTATCGAGCCTCTAGCACCTGCAGAAGACCGACAACATTGAACTCTACCAGATCTACCTTCCACCATACCACACACCCTTCTAGATCCTATTCCCACCCCAACTCATCCCAACCAACCCCACGTCAACCCATCTCATCCCACTCGACCCCGCGTTCTCCCTCCCCCCCCCCCACCTTCTCCCCTTCCCCCGCCAGGCCTGATCGCTACGTGCCCAAGTTTGGTGTGACGCAGTACCGGCCAGAGAAGGAGTACCCGTCCATCCCCATCGAGGAGACCGTGGCCGCCATGGCGGAACTCATCAAGGGTGAGACGGGGGGGAGAGAGGGGGGGGAAGGTTTGCCGGGGGCGACTGGTAATGAAGGGCTGTGGGGTGAGTGAGAGCGCAGTCCCGGCCAGAGAAGGAGTACCCATCCATCCCCACCACCCCCTCCCCCCCCCCCCGCTGCCTCAGAGGGCAAGATCCGGCACTACGGGCTGAGCAACGAGACCACGTTCGGCGTGTGCGAGTACGTGCACGCGGCGCGGCGGCTGGGCGTGCCGCCGCCAGTGTCGATCCAGAACAGCTTCTCCGTCGTGCACCGCTCCTTCGAGACCGAGCTTGCTGAGGCCTGCGCGCCCAGCAACTACAACATCGGGCTGCTGCCCTGGAGCCCCATGGGCGGTGGTGAGTGTGTGCGGGGCGTGAGAGACACGCAGCAGCATCGGTTCTGGTCTGTTGGGGCAAGTTCTCTCGCTTGTGTGTGCGAAAACGAGCTGCTGACGCCACAGTAACAGTAATTATGGCAGCTTGTCCAGTGAGACAAAAGCACTCTAATGAGACGGACATGCTTTAGTGAGACGAGCGGCCTCTAGTGAGACGAGCACGCTCTAGTGCGGCGAGCATGCTCTTGTGAGTGAGACGGCCGCACTCTAGTGACACGTGCACGCTCTAGTGAGACGCGCGCGCTCTAGTGAGACGGGAGCGCTCTAGTGAGATGAGCGTGCCCTAGTGAGACGAGCGGCCTCTAGTGCGACGGGCGCGCTCTAGTGTGGCGGGAGCGCTCAAGTGCGGCGGGCGTGCTCTAGTGAGACGGCCGCGCTCTAGTGAGACGAGCGTGTCCTAGTTAGACGAGCGTGGCCTAGAGGGACGAGAGTGCCCTAGTGAGTCGAGCACGCCTGAGTGAGATGAGCGTGCCCCAGTGAGATGAGCGCTCCCTAGTGAGACGAGAGTGCCCTAGTGAGACGAGCGCGTTCTAGTGAGACGAGCGCGTTCTAGTGAGACGAGCGCGCCCTAGTGAGACGAGCGTGCCCTAGTGGGACGAGCGTGCCCTTAGTGAGACGAGCATGCCCTAGTGAGACGAGCGTGCCTTTGGTGAGATGAGCGAGCCCTAGTGAGACGAGCGTGTGCTAGTGAAACGAGTGTGCACTAGTGAGACGAGCATGCTCTTGTTAGAGCAGCGTGCGCTAGTGGGACGAGCGTGCCATAGTGAGACGAGCATGCCCTAGTGAGATGAGCGTGCCCTAGTGAGACGACGGTGCCCTAGTGAGACGACGGTGCCCTAGTGAGACGACGGTGCCCTAGTGAGACGACGGTGCCCTAGTGAGACGACGGTGCCCTAGTGAGACGACGGTGCCCTAGTGAGACGACGGTGCCCTAGTGAGACGACGGTGCCCTAGTGAGACGACGGTGCCCTAGTGAGACGACGGTGCCCTAGTGAGACGACGGTGCCCTAGTGAGACGACGGTGCCCTAGTGAGACGACGGTGCCCTAGTGAGACGACGGTGCCCTAGTGAGACGACGGTGCCCTAGTGAGACGACGGTGCCCTAGTGAGACGACGGTGCCCTAGTGAGACGACGGTGCCCTAGTGAGACGACGGTGCCCTAGTGAGACGACGGTGCCCTAGTGAGACGACGGTGCCCTAGTGAGACGACGGTGCCCTAGTGAGACGACGGTGCCCTAGTGAGACGACGGTGCCCTAGTGAGACGACGGTGCCCTAGTGAGACGACGGTGCCCTAGTGAGACGACGGTGCCCTAGTGAGACGACGGTGCCCTAGTGAGACGACGGTGCCCTAGTGAGACGACGGTGCCCTAGTGAGACGACGGTGCCCTAGTGAGACGACGGTGCCCTAGTGAGACGACGGTGCCCTAGTGAGACGACGGTGCCCTAGTGAGACGACGGTGCCCTAGTGAGACGACGGTGCCCTAGTGAGACGACGGTGCCCTAGTGAGACGAACATGCCCTAGTGAGACGAACATGCCCTAGTGAGACGAGCATGCCCTAGTGAGACAAGCGTGCCCTTGTGAGACGACCGGGCCCCAGTGAGAGGAGCGCGCCCTAGTGAGACGAGCGTGCCCTAGTGAGACGAGCATGCCCTAGTGAGACGAGCACGCTTTAGTCAGACGAGCGTGCACTAGTGGGACGAGCGTGCCTTAGTGAGACGAGCATGCCCTAGTGAGACGAGCGTGCCCTAGTGAGACGAGCGTGCCCTAGTGAGACGAGCATGCCCTAGTGAGACGAGCACGCTTTAGTCAGACGAGCGTGCACTAGTGGGACGAGCGGGCCTTAGTGAGACGAGCATGCCCTAGTGAGACGAGCGTGCCCTAGTGAGGAGAGGGTGCCCTAGTGAGGCGAGCGTGCCCTCGTGAGGCAAGCGTGCACTAGTGAGACGAGCGTGCCGTAGTGAGACGAAGGTGCTCTAGTGAGACGAGTATGAGTAGAATTTTCCAGAATTCACCATCACTCAACCTGTCCACCGTCCTTCTCTCCCTGTTCCCATCCCCCCCTTCCTCCCCCCTTCCCACGATTGAGCAGGAATGCTGTCGGGCAAGTACAACGGGGGCAAGCGGCCGGAGGGAGCGCGCTTCTCTCTGTTTGAGCAGTACCAGGAGCGCTTCACCACGGGGGCCATGGCTGACGCCACGCAGATCTACACCGACTATGCGGAGAGCGTTGGTGAGATGGGAGAGGGCTTGGTGAGATGGGAGAGGGGTTGGTGAATAAGGGGAGAGGGGCGAGCAAGGCGAGGGCGCATGCACCAGCAACTAAGCCAGGCTGGGTTTCACTCGCATATTCCCTCTTCCATCCCTCATCCCACATCCCTCATCCCGCTCTTCCTCGCGCTGCCTCTTCCATCTCTACGCGTCCGATCCGCGGCCTTGCACAGCCTGGTGGCCACAGCTTCCTCTACTGCCGGCACATCCATCCATCAATGAACCACCCTCATCTCCTCCTCAATCACTCCGGCCTCCATGTTGCCCCCTCCACGCCCATCCCCCTCTCCTCACCATCCCCCATCCCCCTTTCCTCCTCACATCCGCCTATCCCCCCCTCTCTTCTCTTCCCTGTGAGCAGGCATATCCCCGGCGCAGCTAGCGCTGGCGTGGTGCAAGTCGCGGTGGTACGTGACGTCCACCATCTTTGGCGCCACTAATCTGGAGCAGCTCAAGGAGAACCTCGGTCAGTGCCTGTGCCGTGGGGAGAAGGGGAGGGGGGGGGACTTGGCGGGTGGTTGGTTTTGTGTTTGTCTTGGTTTTGCTCGGTGCATCTTTGGTGGTGAGTTCCTGCTGCTTTTCTGAGCGTGTGTGTACGTGAGTGCGTGTGTGCGTGCGTGAGAGCGTGCGTGCGTGCATGAGAGCGTGCGTGCGTGCGCGCGAGCATGCTGTGTAAGAGGAAGGGGCGGATTACCCTACTGTGCTCTCAACCGTGCTTCCAACCCTCCTTCGTGCCTGTTCAGATGCGTTTGAGATTGATCTCTCTCCTGAGGTGCTGGAAGGCATTGATAAGATCCATCTGCAGAAGAAGGACCCTGCAATGCTCCTTTAAGAACAGCCTCACACTTTGCTTTGCATTGGGTGGGCTCATCTAAGGCCCTTGCTGGTTGGATCTTTTTGTTTCATACTCAAGACTCTCCTTGGCCAGTTTTCAGCTGATTTACGATAAACATATGGCCACAGACATACGGTAACATATGGTATGTAAGATGTGCTTGTGAAAATACTCAACAGCAAGGCAAGGCAAGAGCTTTTGGCTGGTCTATGCAAGATCGACGCATTTGGACGACTGCGTTGTGAATTGGGAAGAGCAGGGGAAGGAGGAGGCAAACTGGCGGTACCAATTGTGTTGGGCTGCCAGCCAGCCATGCAACACAAAATTGCGATTTGGAGGGCATGGCCTGAGTTGAGTACGTGCTTTGACCAATGGACAGAAATATATGTAGTTTGAAAGAGTGTAGATTGTTCGAACTCTTGGGATTACCGTTGCGGAATCTTGGGAGTGTGTGGCGAGGCAAACAGCGTATTGGGTGTGCACGGATGGATCCCATCAGAACAGCAGCCATAGATTCCTAGACCTGAATTCCGCATTTGCATGATCTGCGTGCTTGGCCCATTCTCCCGCATTCCTCGGCTCGGAACTAATCGCCTCCTCTCTACCACCACGACGCGGTCCCACAGGAACGTGTAAAAGTACTTCATCTGTGTATCCTGATCCCGGGCCGTCAGATCAGGCTAGGCTGAAGCGTTCCAAATTCTGGTCCGGACACCTCGTCACGAGCTAAGTTTTTACCGTAATCTCGAGGCCATGCGGCTTGATTGATCTACGCCGTCGATCACGATGATCGGGAGATCTAACCAGCCAAGGTGGTCCACGGCCCTTGGCCCAGTAGGCGATCCTCCATTGGTAGCAGTACCAGGGTCTGTGCTTCGCATGTAGCTTACGATTACCGGCTTCTTTTAGTAGAGTACTCGGCCCGCATTCAGCAGGTCAGCTGGGGAGCGTTACTTTCGCGGCTGACCGATTTGTTCTAACCTCTGACCTATTCCCCGTCGTGAGTGCCGGCCATGGCGGCTGGTCCGTTAACTCCAACCGCTAGCGGCTCCCAATCCCAACTCCCCAACGGCACCGCTGCATCCGCCACCACCCCGACTTCCGCGTCCGCATCCGCCGCCGCGTCTGCCGCTGCGCCGTCGCTCGCGGAGATCCGGTCGCTGACGGACATCGGCGCCATGACGCGGCTGCTGCACGAGACGGTGGCGAGGGAGCGTGACATCGACAACGAGCTCGCCGCGCTTCTCGCCGCGAGAGGCGGGCTGGAGCGGCGCCTTCTAGGCCTGCATAAAGCGGCAGCCGACGTCCTTGAATTAGTCCGTACAGACGCTGACGCCGTTCTCGCGTCGGTGTCGGGAACCAGCCAGCTCGCCTCACGGGTCAGCGGGAGCGTCCGGGAGCGCGACGCGGCGCAGTCCCGCGTCGCGATCACCATAGCGCGGATCGACGCGATCGTGGACCGCAGCAACTGCATCACCGGCGCGCGGAACGCGCTCGAGGCGTCGGACTACGAGGCGGCGGCGCGGTTCATAGAGACCTTTCTGCAGCTTGACGAGGAGTTACTCCATCCCACCACGCCGCGCTCGCCGATCGCCGCGGCGGATGCGGCGGCGGCGGCGGCGGCGCTGCTCGGGCAGGCCCCTCCGCAAGCGGCGGCGGCGGTTTCGCCGCATGCGATGGATTCGCAGGCGGCGGAGACGGCGCGGGAGCAGCGGAGACAGCTCGTGGAGTCAAAGGTCAAGCTCGAAGGGGTTATCCGCAAGCGCTTCGCGGCGGCGGCGGACGAAATGGACCAGGCGGGGGTGGAGCGTTTCGTGCGCCTGTTCCCCCCGCTCGGGCTGCAGGCGGAAGGCTTGCGCGCGCTCGTGGGGTACCTCCGCAAGGTCGTGGCGGTGCGCGCGCGCGAGCAATTCGCGGCGCTGCTTTCGTCCCTAGATGTTGTCGCCAGCAACGCCGGCGGCGGCGGCGCAGCGGCCGCTATGCTTGCCGTCTCCCAGCAGGCGGATTTCGCGGAGGCGCTGACGGCGCTGCTCCGTGACGTGGCGCTCGCTGTAGAGAGCAACGAGGAGCTCCTTAAAGCGGTCGCCGGCGAGGACGGCGTGGTGGCGGCGATTAAAGAGCTGCAAGCGGAGTGCGACGCGCGATCCGCCGCCATTCTCCGCAAGTACGTCGAGCACCGCCGCCTGCCCCGCCTCGCGAAAGAAGCAGCGGCGGCCGCCGCCGCGGCAGGGTACACACTCGGCAGCACGGGCGGCGGCGGGCACGGAACGGGATTCAGGGCAGCGGCAGCGATGGGTGCGTCGGACGGGTCAGTGGTAGGGCCGAACCCGCAAGAGGTGGAGGCGTGTCTAGAAGAGGCGCTGCTGCTGTCCCAGCGCAGCCACGAGTACGCGCGGTTCATCGCCGCGAAGCTCAGAGACGCGGAAGCCGCCGGCGCAGGCGTCTCCCCGCGCACCCTCACCACCTTCGCTAGCTTCGCCGCGCCCAGCGGAACCGGCGGAGGTGGCGGCGGAGGCGGGGGGAGTGGTGTGGGCGGCGGCGCGTTCGGGAAGATCCTAGTAGACGTGATGGGGTTCTATGTGACTTTAGAGGAGTATTTTATGGTGGAGAACGTTGGAAAGGCGGTTAGGATAGACGAGCCCGTTCCCGACTCGTTCACCTCCTCTATGGTCGACGACGTGTTCTTTATTCTCCAGAACGGCACGCGCCGCGCCGTCGCCACGTCGTTCCTCCCCGCCGCCGCCGCCGTGCTAGCCGCCACTGCCGCCGTCCTTCGCGCGGACCTCCGCGACGCGCTGCAGAGGAGATTAAGAGAGCCCAACCTCGCGGCGCGGCTGCTGGCCTCTGTGGCGGCAAGCGCGGCGGCAGGCGCGGGCGGGGTGGCGGGAGTGGCGGGAGGAGTCGGTGGGGGGGCGGGCGGGGTGGGTGGCGGCGGGGGAGGGGGAGGCGCGGGGGGGATGGGCGGAGGAGGTGGCGGGTCGGAAGCTACGCTGGCGCTGGCGCTGAACAATGCGGATGTGAGCGCGGAGTATGCGATGAAGCTGAAGCAGGAGGCGGAGGAGTACAGCCTCGAGGTGAGGGGAAACACAGCCTGGAGGTGAGTGGGGTGGGGCTTGCAGAATGGGATGGAAGGGGCAGGCTAGCCATTGATGATGTTGTGCGTGTATGTGATGTTGTGTGCTCTTGTGTGTGCGTGTTCGTGGAGCGCTGATCCTGGTTCCTCAATTTGTTGACCTGTGGTGGAGTCAAGGCCAGCTTGTGCTGCCATCCCAGTGTCCTCTCTCCATTGGCTAAGATTAGGTGAGGGTGGGGGTGGGGGTGGGAGTGAAGGTGAGGGTGAGGGTGAGGGTGAGGGTGAGGGTGAGGGTGGGGCAGTTGCAAAGCCAAGCGCACATGCGCTGCTCTGGTTCCTGGCGCTGCTTGGTAAGCTCCAGGGGCGGATGTGAGCGTGACAGGTGTGTGGAACTCCTGGCTGCGGCGCTCGCGAAAGGATTCTATCCGCCAAAAAGAGATCCGGGGGCGTTCAGCATGAGGAAATTCACAGCATGCTGCTCCCAGCTACCCACACAGCAGCACGCACTCCCTCCCCTCCCCCCTCCCTCCCACCCCTCCCGACTTGCGCTCATTCCTCATCCCTTGCTGCGCCTGCAGATCCCCTATATCATTGTTGGCCTGGCAGCAGATGCAGGCCCCATCCCAGCCCATTCCAGCGCTGTGGATGCCTCCTGCTCACTCTCCCGTCAAGTACGCCCCATTACCCCCTCCCCCAACCCCTACCCGTTCCTGCCTCCCGCCCACCAGGTGTTCCCCACGCCAGCGGACAGGGAGCGGTTGAAGCCCATTCTTGCCGACCTAGGCGAGACCAGCGCTGTCTTCCGCCAGGTGGCGGCCACGGGCCTGGAGCAGCTTGCCAATGGCATCGCCCCACGCCTGCGCCCTGTCCTCGACCTCCTCGCCTCCTCCATCTCCTATGAGCTTTCCGAGGCGGAGTACGAGGAGAGGGAAGCCACTGACCCCTGGGTGCAGCGCTTGCTGCTCGCGCTCGAGGCGTGCCTCGCCCCACTGCAGCCGCTGCTGACAGCCGCCAATCATGACGGGCTGGTGGGGCTCGTCACGGACATGGTAGCACGGCGGGTCGAGGCGGCGGTGGCACAGAAGCGGTTCAACCAGCTGGGGGGGCTGCAGCTGGACAGAGAGGTGAGAACCCTCGTGGGGCACCTGTCGGCGTTGACATCGCGGTCCGTGCGGGATAAGTTTGCAAGGCTCACGCAGATCGCGACGGTGCTGAATCTTGAGAAGGTGGCGGAGATCTTGGATTATTGGGGGGATAATGCAGGGCCCATGACGTGGCGGCTGAGTCCCGCGGAGGTGAAGAGGGTGCTTGGGCAGAGAGTGGACTTCCGGCCCGAGGCCATCGCCAACCTGCAGCTGTAGCCGCCAGCTGTAGACGTCGGCATGGTGATTTCCTTAGGCGCCTCACAAGCAGAGTGTGGACTTGAGGCCAGACGCCATCGCCAACCTGCAGCTGCAGCAGCCAGTGGGGCAAGGGTGATGCGGGTGGCGGTCAGGTGTAGTGGGCAGATGTGGCACATCTAGGGGCTGGTTGATGCAGGAGCGGGCGATGGTGCATGTATGGATGACTGACCTCTGGAATGCGGCTGGGGGGGGGTTCGGGGTGGTGGTTGGAATGGGCTGGGGGTGACTCTACCCCAGAACATGCGAGCTGCGGAGCACAATGCTCGGGCGGGACAGGTATTATGAGATCAAGAGGGGGGATGGGTATTGGACTTGGTTGAATCGAATGGCAGTCGAGGTTGAGGTGGTTGGCAGTGCAGTGCAGACAAATACCGTTGGAATTTCAATGGATGCAGAGCTTGGTATGCTGCGTACTGTCCCCCTCGAGTCGAGATGCCACCACAATGCATGTCAACTGCGTGTTTGGGTGAGAATGTACCCACTGCAGAGGATATATGTCAACGAAACTGCACTTCTGGCGTGCATTGCGGCATGTGAATTGTGCGCTGTACACTCAGCATTGTTGCATGACCTGGATTAGATAACTCTTCTCTTCTTTGTCATGATTGTGCACACTAGCCAAGGGACAACAGCACAACTGTGGCGCTAGAGAAGGAGCGACAGCCAAGCATATGATTCTGTGAAGCAGAACCTCACACCGAGCCCGGTGGTAGGAACTACGATACCAGAAACTAAGCCCATTCAGTGATCATCTACCAAAGGCCATTGGGCGTCTGCCCAACCAACCACATGGTGTTGCAGTGCCACCAACACCGGGTACTGCTCTTCGTCCGTCCGGCTGGCAGGTCCTTCAGCCAGTAGCGTTCAGCATGGACAACAGGCAAGCTAGCTCCTCCTCCTCCTCGCCTCCCGCCTCCCCTGCTGGTTCACCACCTCTCATACCCATGGCTGCTGGTTCTCTCCTCTCGTTACCCGCAGCTGCTGGCTGTGTTGCCCCTGCCAAGGGGCCTGCTGCTGCTGCCAGCACATGCGCGGGTGCGCGTGCAGACACTGCTGCAGGTAACGAGAAGCCTGGCGGGGTGAATGCGTGTGCTGTGGCAAGCCCAAGCCCAGGGATGGGCAAGTGAGCCCCTGGGAAGACGGAGGCAGAGGATGGCAGTTGTGCTGCTCTGTGCGCGGTAGGTGTTGACGATGGTAGCAGCGTGGGGAGCAGAGTGGTGGTGGGAGAGGGGGTGGGGAAAGAAGTGGAGGGGTGGGAGGGAGGGGGTGTGGCGAGGTGTTGCTGGCTTAGGAGGATCTGCTGCTGGAGGGCTAGCAGCTGTTGTTGTAGGTCGTGCTGCTGCTGCAGCAACTGCTGTTGCTGTTGCTGCCACTGTGATTCGAAAGGCTGAGTCTGCTGCTGCTGCTGTTGCAGGTGGTGCTGGTGATGGTGGTGGTGGTGCTGCTGCTGCAGCTGCTGTTGCCGTTGCTGCTGCTGCTGCTGCTGCTGCTTCTGCTGCTGCTGCTGCTGCTGCTGCAGGTGTTGCTGGTGTTGCTGTTGCTGCTGCTGCACCTGCTCCTCCTGCACCCGCTGTTGCTGCAGCTGAAGGAGCTGTTGGGCCTGCAGCTGCTGCACTCCCCACGCCCCCATCCCACTCCGTGCCTCCTCCTGTGCCGTCTGCCGCATCGCTGCTTCCACTTCACCCACCGACAGCACCTCCTCCCCGTGCGCTGCTGATGCCACCGCTTTCCCATGCGCCTTGAAATGCACTGCGGCAACAGGAGCAGCAGCGCTGGGGGTGCCGGGAGCAGCAGCAGTGCTGCTGCCCCAGGAGTCTGGGTGCGTCTGTGTGGAGCCTTGGTACGAGTCCCCAGCAGTGGCAGAAGGGAATCGGGGGGGGGGCTGGGCCTGAGCTGTGGCATTGTGGGGCTCATGGGGCTGATGGGGTTGATGGGGCTGATGGGTTTGATGGGGCTGATGGGGTTGATCGGGCTGATGGGGCTGATGGGGCTGATGGGGTTGATGGGGTTGATTGGGTTGATGGGGTTGATGGGGTTGATAAGGTTGATGGGGTTGATAAGGTTGATGGGGTTGATAAGGTTGATGGGGTTGATAAGGTTGATGGGGTTGATGGTCCGGATTGAGAGGGGCAGATGGGTTGGGGGGTGAGGCACTGGAGGAGAAAGAGGAGTTGGAGGGAAGGTCGGGGGAAGGCTGCGGGGGTAGGCGCTTCTGCTTATGACCGGGAGAAGGGTGGGGTGAGGGGTGGGAGGAGGGATGTGGGGAGGCGTGGGGGGAAGGATGGGGCGAGGGGTGAGGGGAAGCGTGCGTGGAGGGATGGGGGGAAGCGTGCGCGGAGGGGTGCGGGGACGGATGAGCCTTGGGCTTTGGTGCCTTGGCAGTGCTTTCGGTGGTGGTGCTGTGAGTGGCAGCAGGAGGGGCGGCAGCATTAGAGGCAGGCACAGCGCCGCGCATGGAAGCAGTCCTTATCTGTGGAAACGTCTCACAGCATCAAAGGGGAGACACACGCATCAAAGGGGGTCACCGGGGGGGGGGATCAAGGACGCACAGGCACTGCGATTCGAGAATGGGACGGGGGAGAAAAAGTCTAGGCAGATAAGGCTGAAGAGCAGGCTTATCTTCAAACAAGAAACTGGCTTCACCAGTGCTACTCAGCCATGCATCCTCCCCTCCCCCCATCCCTCCTCACCTCCCCATCCCTCCTCACCTCGACCATGCGGCCCCCCAGCGGCACGAAGTGTTTCTGCAGCAGCCACGCCACGATCTCCCTTGACTCCAGCACCACGAACCCAAACCCCCGCGACCGCATCGCCCCCGGCTCCGAGGCCGCCGGGTCGGACGCCTGCAGCACTGCGGCGTCCACCACGCCCCCGTACACCGTCTCGAAGTGCTCTGCTAGGTCGTCTGACGTCACATCGTAGGGCAGCCCGCCCACGAATATCTTGCTGCAGGGATAAGAAGATGGGGATGGGGATGGCGATGGGGATGGGGAGGGGGGAGAAGGGGGAGTGGGTAAACAACAGCTGGGTTCATTTTTGAGTCGACTAAAAAATCACCAACAGCTGGGTTCGGCATTGACCACAGCAACACAGGCGTCCACCACGCCACCGTACGGCGACTCAAAGTGCTCTGCTAAGTCGTCTGAAGTCACGTCGTAGGGCAGCCCCCCCACGAATATCTTGCTTCGGGGATTTGGGGGGGGGGAGAGGGGGGAAGGGGAGTGGGTCTATGCGTGCTGGTTCGGGCGCGTGCAGCACTGCAGTGTCCACCACGCGGAGGAGGGCACAGAGGAGGGGGAGCGAGACGTGAGGAGCGAGACATGAGAAGCGAGAAGCAAGAGCTACGCAGAAAGGGCAAAGGTGGGCTCACTAGGGGATGAAGGCAGGATCTTCTGTCAGTGCAAGTGACTTCTTTCCTCGTGCTGCTGCCACCCCACCAGAAAAACCACCATTGGCAGCACCGCCACCCCCACCACCGCGAGCAGCTGCACTCATGCTGCCACTGCTGTTGCTGCCACCCCCCCAGCTGGCAGCGCCGGTGCTCCTGGCGTCCTCTGACTGGTCGCCCCACTCCCACGACGCTGCCTCTGCTGCTGCGCCCCCCCTCTCACTGCCCCCCCACCCACTCGAGCTGCTCTCCCACGGCACGAAGCTGGCACTCTCCCTGCTCTCCCCACCACCAGACGCAGCAGAAGATTCCCAACCAACACCAGCACCAGCACCAGCAGCACCAGGAGCAGCAGCAGCATCCCACCCAGCAGCAACATCCCAGCCAGGAGCAGCACCAGCAACAGCACTGTCCCATCCTGCCGCCCCTCTACTCGCTGGCTTCTCCCTCTTGACTTCCTTGCCTGGCTTCGCCTCTTTAAACTCCTTGGGAGGGGGTTTCGCCTCCTGGAGCTCCTTCTTCCCGTGGGCGAACGTGCAGTGCGCGCCTAGGCTGCAATTGCCCATCTGCACCCACCGCCGGCACATCTGCGTCTTGTACTTGTACTTGGGGTCAAATCCCGCCTTCTGCTGCTGCTGCTGCTTCTGCTGCTGTTGCTGCTGCTGCTGCTGCTCCTGCTGCTGCTGCTGCTTCTGCTGCTTCTGCCGCTGCTGCTCCGTCTCCTTCCACCCCAGCCGCAGCTGATGCAGCGAGTCAGCCCAAGGGGGGGCAGCAGGCCCAGACCCACCACCACCCCCACCAACCCCACCACCAGCACCAGCTGCAGACGCATCCCACGGACGATCCCCGCCAGAAGAGGAATCCTGCCCATCCCCCCCCGCCATGGGGGGGCCTGTCTCCCCCAGCATCTGCCGCAGCTCCGTGGACGAGGTGAGCTGGCCTGGCCGCCACCCTCCGGCGTTCTCCACGCTGTTTGACGCGCCGAAGGACAGCAGCACGGCCGCACATGCCACGTGGTTGTGCTGGTGACAGGGGAAGAGGGGGAAGCAGGGGGCTTTTGAGTCCACTCAAAAGCAGGTGAAGGGGGGTGCGTACGCGTTCAGGGCAGGCAAGGGTTGTCCAGATGTATTTTGAGTCGACTCAAAATACACCAGGCAAGGGTTGTGTGTGTGTGTGAGTAATTCGAGGGATGGTTTTGAAACAGGGTGCACTGAGCGCAGCAGGCAGTGCAGTAGCTGGCTGGCAGTTGGCTCGATCGATCTAAACCAAACACAACCCCATGCCGACGTGCCTCATAGCACAAGCAACCAGCACGGTGACTGCTCATTGGCTCTCAAACCACACGCCTGGTCTACCAATCACGCCATCCCCTCCCGTGCGCCCCCCCCCCCCCCCACACACGCTACCCCCACCAACCCCCACCACCCCCCACATCTCTCACCCGAGCAGCGTAGTGCAGTGGCGTCTCGCGCCTGTCCGTGACCACGTTAGCGGCAGCGGCCTCCCTCCCCAGCAGTACCTGCAGCGCCTCCGAGTGCCCGTGCCCCGCTGCTGTGTGCACGGGGGTCGCCCCCACGTGGTTGCCTGCCAGCACACTCGCCCCCGCTGATATCAGCCGCTGCAGTATTGCTGTGTTCACTGGCCGCCCGTTCCAAGGGGTGGCCTGAGATCGATGGATGGCGAGGAAGGAAGCAGGGAGGCCAGGATTATAGGAGGAGGTTTTTCGAGGGGACATGGCCAAGGGATTTGAACGAAGGGAAAGTAGGGGGAGGGGGCGAAAGGGAGGGGGTTGAGTTGATGGCCCAAACCGAAAGATCATGCTGCAGCAAGCACTTATCTAACCCCAGCTACCTCACTGTCCTCCTTGCATCTCCCCCCCCCCCCCCCCACAACCCCACTTGTCACACCCCCCAAACCCCACCTATCCCCACCCCGCGGCACCTGTCGGAGCACCCAGTGCAGCGCAGTGTTGCCATCACCATCGCTGTCCGCCACAGCAGCGCCTGCGTCCAGCAGCAGCCCCACCACCATGCCGTCGTTCCCTGCCGCAGCACGCGCCAGCGGCACCTGGTGCACGCTGGGCCCGTGGCCGGACAGAGGCGGGTTGAAGAGAAGCAACGCCTCCAGCACCTTCAGTCCCCTCATCCTCAACTCGCTCAACCGGACCTCTGATTGGTTCCTGCCTCCTCCATCTTCCCCTCCTCCCCCTCCCCCCAACTCACCTCCTCCCCCTCCTCCTGCTGTGGCCGCTGCCTCCGCCCCTCGCTTCCCTTTCGTCTTCCCTCCCTTGGTCTCGTCCACGCCGCTCCCATGCCTGTCGCCCTCCTGCGACGGCTGCAGCAGCAGCTTGAGCTGCTGCTGGTCGCGCTCCTGCTGCTCCTTCTCCTGCTCGCCGATCAGCACCTCCTGCCACGGCTCCACCACCATCAGCCCTATCGCCGCCAGCCACGTGGTGCGCTTTGACAGCCGCACCCTCCTGCTGCGCTCGCTCCTATCAGTCCTGTCGCCGGCAGTGGATGACGCCGGGGAGGAGGCTGCTCCGTCCCCATCCTCGCGTGCATCCCAGAACGTATCGTCGTCGTCGTCATCTCCATCAGGATGGTTATGGTGATGGTTCTGGTGATGCTGGTGATGCTGGTGGTAGTGTTGGTGTTGGTGGTGGTTGTGGTTGTGGCTGTGATGCTGGCTGTGAGCCATGCTGGGCCGAGACAAGGGCACCCGGGAGAGGTCAAGGAGGTTGGCGAGAATGACATCCAGCATGGTGAGGGACGGGTGGCCGTGCATCCACTCGCAGCCGCCCAGGGAGGCGGCGCCCAGCCACGGGTGGTGCAAGGGGGCCACCGTGGTGTTGAGGAGGGGTGAGCCCCCCGACAGGAGCAGCGCCACGAGCGGCACCAGGCGGAAGCACCCGGCAAGAGTGAAGGCCACGCGGAGGCCGTCAGAGGCGTGCTGCGAGGTTGGGGGGGGAAGGATTGGGGAGGGTTGCTTTTGAGTCGACTCACGACCAGCGGCACCAGGCGGAAGCACCCGGCGAGGGTGAAGGACACACGGAGGCCGTCAGAGGCGTGCTGCAGAGGGGAGGGGAGGGGGGGTGAGGGGTTTAAGGGGGGGAAGGAGGTAGGAGGCGGGTAAAGCTTCTGTAGTAGACATCATGCGTGCTAGGGAAGTGGCAGCACTGCAGGTGCATCTACAAAGCAGCAGCAGCAGCAGCAGCGGGACCAGCAGCGAGCGAGAACGGAATGCAGCCCCATGACAGAATAGAGCTGTGCGTCGGTACCTACCTGGTGCAGCATTTGTACGGTGTCGAGGTTGCGCTCGTGCCTGAGCGTGTTCACCACTCGCAGCGGGGCTGTCTGTGGTCCCCAGTCCAACTGCACCAGGGGGGGAGGATGGGGGGAGAGGAGAGGAGAGGAGAAGAGAAGATGGGAATAGGCAGACGACAAGAGAGCAGTACAATACCTGAAGAACGAAACAGCAGCCCAAGTAGGAGTGCGGCCAAATGTCCAGGCAAAATGCTACATGTGGGAGAGCCTGCCTGCCCACTACGTCACCACTCCCACCACCCACACCACCCCCACCAGTCCCACCACCCCCACCACCCCCGCCACCCCCCCACCCCATCACCCCAGCACCCCATCACCCCAGCACGCACGTGCAGCTTCTTGGACAGCAGTGCTTCCTCCAGCGCTGTGAGCCCCAGCGGCCCGGCAGGCAGACTCGCGTCCGCACCCGCTGCCAGCAGCGCGGATATACACCGCGCACTGCACGGATGGTGGGGGGGAAGGGAGGAGAACAAGAGGTGCGGTGATTGGATAGGGAGGGGGGCTGTTCCGGCCTGATCTCCCTCCGCGGCGTTCCAGAGTCAAGGTGAGAGGTTTAGGTTCGGAAGGGAGTGGGCTTGGTGAAGTAGAGTGCGTCCATGCATCCATGCATATGCCCCGCCATGCAACCATGCATCCATGCATATGCCCCGCCATGCATCCATGGACATGCCCCACCATGCATCCATGCACATGCCCCACCATGCATCCATGCACATGCCCCACCATGCATCCATGCACATGCCCCGCCATGCAGCAGCCAGCACGCATGCCCGTGCCCGTGCCGGTGCGCTCACCGGTGGAATCTGGCGGCCATGTGCAGCGCTGTGAGCGCCGCGACGTGGCGCGCGCAGTGCGGTGAGCGCGCCACCGCCTCGTCCGCCTGCACCGCCCAGCACGGCTGCGGCGCACAGAGGGGAAGAGGGCGGGAGAGGGGGGGCCCAGCGAGGCAGTCAGGAAAAGGTGGGGGAAGAGGAGATCACAGGGATGGGGGAGAAGGGGAGAAGGGGAGAAGGGAGTATCTGAGGAGGAGAAGGCATGGCGAGACGAGCAGATACTTGGACCTTCATGCTTGGACCAGCAGGCCCACCCATGCTTCCATTCCCACTTGCGTGCACGCACCCTCCCATGCGCACATGCAATCCTTCCTGCCTGCCTGCCTGCCTGCCTGCATGCATGCATGCACGCATGTATCAACCCATCCCGTCCAGTGCTTTCAAGGGGGACAGACTGACAGACAGACAGACAGACTCACGTGACCGGGCTCCACGTCAGCAGGCGTCAAGGCGATGACAGCCTGGCAGCACTCCACGGCGTCGCAGACACAAGCGCACGCCAGCGCCTGGCGCACCACCTCCCCAACGCGCTCCAACATCAACTCTCTCTCCGCCCTCTCCGCCCGCTTCTCCTCCGCTCCCTCCCCCTCCCCTGCACCCTTATCCCCTCTCCCTTTCTCGCCCTTCCCCTTCCCCGTCCCTTTAACTCCTTTCCCCTTGCCCTTCCCCTTCCCCTTTTCGCCCTTCCCCCCCTTCCCGTCCTTCCCCACCCATCCACTATGAGCCATCTCCACCTCTCTCCACTCCCTAGCACCCTCCTCCTCCTCCTCCTCCTTCTCATCCCTCTCTCCCTCGTCCTCCTCCCCCACCTCCACTACTAAAATCTCTGCTAGTTCTAGCGCCTCCAGCGACTGCCGGATAACGCGCCGCAATTCGCGCCGGTCGTCGCGGACCACGCAGCGCGCGAGCGGCGAGTCTATAGGAACCATAAGCGCCGCGAGCGCCGCCGCCACGTCAGGGTCTAACGAGTCCGCCACGCGCTCCGTCTCCTTCTCCTCCTGCTGCCGCTGCTGCTTCTCCTGCTGCTCCTGCTGCTTCTTCGCTTCCGCCTGAGCCGCGGATTTGGCGGCTTTTCCGCCTTTCCTCTTTCCGCCGGCCATCTCTTCTGCGCAGCCTTCTCGTCCCCCTCCCGCGCCGATTTCCTCTAAACAGACTCCGTCAGCCGCGGGGTAACGCGTGTCTCGGCTGCGCGATCAGCTCATGCGAGTGCTGCGAGATGACTTTTGAGTCGACTCAAAAGTCATCTCGTGCTGCAGGTGCTGGAATGGCACAGGGCGGAAAACAGAAACGGCGCACTATCGGTCCTGTGCCGGAGAGCCTTCCGGAGAGTTTTTCGGACTAACCTTTCGGAGACACCTCCCTGACAGACACGGAGGAGGAAGGAAATGATCGGCATACGACGCTAGGCTTGGCGCGCTTCCCTCACACCTCCCAGGGCGCGACCGCCAGCATTCCATTCATGTGGCGGCGTGAAAGAGAGAGGGATCACTTCATGTCACATCAGCCAGCAATCACAATTCACGGAGAGATAAGATGGGACTTCCACCAAGACATGCACCGCAGGATTCTCCTCGGGATCGCCGTGGGTGGCAAATACATTAGTCTGAATCTGGTTCCGATAATATTACAGTGCGTCCATTTTACATTACGTCCGGAGTAATATCTCAACACATAGGTACTTTTTATTATACCAACCAGTGACGTCCAATCTTCTGCATCTCCATCTAAACTAGACAGTCCCATCCACGCGAAACTAGTGTACTTACTCACATTGCTCCACACGCACTGCCCCCGAGAAGCGCAGCACAGGAGCCACCTACATCACTAGCATTATAGAGCGGCGAGTCGTGCCACATCAGCATGCGTGACATGAACCAATCGTAGAGAGGCGGGTCCGCTGACATGGCGCCGGCGGGAGAGGGATTAACAACCACCGAACCTGGGATTGGATAGAGAGGGGAATGGGATGAGGACGGTGGGCATGTGACATTTGCATGCATTACAATAGACAGTCATGCACCCGAACACCTCTCAGTCTCTTCATGTTCCTTCCCCACTCCTCTCCCCCCCCCCGCCCCCCTCCCCCCTCCCTCCCCCTTTCTAATCATTTACTCGCACATGCACACGCACCAAACCTCCTCCGCGCCCCCCCCTATCCCCTCCTCTCACACACTAGCACACCCGCCTTTGACTATGCCCATTCACACCCCAGCAGCCCACCCCCCCAGCGTACCCCATCGGTCATCCTTGCCCACAGAGGCAGCGTGCCGCGGCAGCTTGGACGGCGTGATCTTAGAGGGCGTGCTCTTAACAGGAGTGGCAGCTTTCTTCTTGGCAACAGCAGAAGTGCTGGCAGCAAGGTGCAGGTCGTGCCATGACTGTGCCACGGCCACCGCCATCAGCACCACCACATCCAACCGCTCGTGCGGCTGCACCTGGGGTGGGGGGGGGGAAGATGGATGGGGGACGAGAGAGAAGGGAAAGGAGGAGGGGAGGGATGTGGCCAAAAATGCCAAAGGGACTGGCTTATCCAGTATGGGGTTGTGGGTTTACGTGGTTGCAGGGCTGTGGTCTCTATCATGATCAGCCATCACATTGCACATCCTCACACTAACCCTCTCCTCACTCTACAAGCACACACACACAGCACCTACACTCTGCTAACTCAACCGCCTACCTCTATCCCCCCTGTGCGCCAGTTAAAGAGCGCGGTGGCTACGCCCCCAGGGCAGTCCTCTGGATACCGCACCACCGTCACATACCCCGCCTCCTCGCCCTCTGCGTCCTCCCCATCCTCCCCCTCGCCCCCCATGCACGCCCCGTCCGCTCTGGCCCTCCCCCTGCTGCCATGCGCTGCCGCTGCTGCTGCTGCAGCGGTGCTGGACGAGCGCAGGAGCGCGGAGGCGGAGGAGGAGGAGGGGAGGGAGGAGAGGGAGGAGGGAGAGCGATAGTAGGCGAGCCGGCGGCCGGGAGCAAGTGCCATCTGGAGGGATAAAAAGGGGAAAGGTTGTGGGCAGAGGGGATGGGAGGGAGGGGAGGGGGAGGAGGAGTGTGTGGGAGGAAGAGGGATGAGCACAGGGAAGGAAGAACTGCAGATAGAGAGAGGTTGCCGGGAAAACGCAGTAGACTGGCAGGTGAAGAAAATAACCAGGTGAAGCACGGACAACCCCCAGGTGTACTGCGCAAACACACACCCCCCTGGTGGCTTTCACGGCCTGTCAACGAACTTACCGGTGGGCCTGGCATCTTGGCTACTTGGAATCTAAGGCCGGGAAAGGGCAAGGACGAAGAGGCGGAGGAGGAGGAGGAGGAGGAGGAAAGGGAGGAAGAGGAGGGGAAGGAGACGGTGGAGGGGAGGGAGGAGGAGGAGGGGAGGTGGGGATGGCGCAGGGTGACTTGGAGCGTCCAGCCGGAGTAGGCCATCCAGGTGCGCTGAGACGCCATATGGTGTGACTTGAGCTGACACACCTCGTCCACACGCTCGCCTGCACGCAGAGGGCAAGAGGGGAGGCGAAGCGATGGGGGTGGAGAGTGATGAGAGAGAAGACCGGCGAGAGAGGTAGGGGGAGCAAGAGATGGAGTGATGGTAGACGGGACGGCAACTTGTGAAGTGAAGCTCAGACCGCGAAAGACACGGATGTCTGTCAGAAGAGGGAGGTGGTAGGACACGGATGGGTCAGTAACAGCACGCGTTCCATCTGTGTTTCCCAACATGGTGCGTCGCGAAACAGAGACAGATGCAGGGGAGGAGGATGCACTGCAGATGCGATGCCAATGCTGGAGGGCGCACCAGCAGCGACGAGCCCGCCCTTAACCTTAGGAGAGGGCGACCAGCCTCCCCGATGCAGCAGCACTCGCTTGGACTCCGCTGGTACCTCCACCTGCTGTGACCCGTGCCCCTTGGCCACCCTGGACGGAAGGGAGGGGAAGGGAGGGGAGGAGAGAGGGGAGGAGAGGGGAGGGGAGGGGAAGCGAGGGGAGCAATGGCATGCGGGGTGAGCTATTCAGGTTGATTGCAACTTCATTGTGTCACTCTCTCCCCTCTGACGCGCCCTCTGTGAATGGATAGAACGGCCAGAACAGTCCTCTTGAAACCACCTGCCCCCCAAACCCCTCCTGCCCTCCGTGTGTGCCCCGCCGGATGCGCAGAACAAACAGTGGGCGAAGACGTTTGGACTTGCGCCGGTCCAAACGTCCAAACGTCTTCGCCCACTCACGGATGCGCAGAACAAACCGTTCACCGAGGGTGCGGTCTCTCGAGCACAGTGATTTTCGAGGCCCCTTAGGAAAAAAAAAACCGTTCACTCTCACCGGATGCGCAGCACGAAGCGCTCGGCGAGAGTGTGGTCCAGCACGGTGCGCGCCATCCACCGCCCCTCCTGCTGCTGCTTCAGCGCCGCCACTGCCGCTGCTGTCAGCTGCAGCCCGCTGTCGTCCGTGCCCACTGCTGGGTGCAGCAGCAGCAGCGCAGGGGCCGGCTGGACAGAGAGAAAGAACAGGGCGGAGAGAGGAGAGGAAAGGCAAGGGCAGTGCCGCATTGGGGTTGGGTTGGGTTGGAGTGGGATGGCATCAGGTACAGAATACAGAGCAGTGCACTTTGCTGTCGTCTGTGCCCACTGCCTGCCGGGTGCAGCAGTAGAAGCGTAGGGGCCGGCTGGGGTACCGTACCAACCAGGGGAGGCGGGATGGAGAGAGAAGGGCAGGAAGGAAGTGGAAGCATCGGATGGGTGGAGGGAGTGAGAAAGAATCCAAGGACGAGGCGGAGGGAGAGAAGGAGACACGGGATGGACTGGTGCTGGAAAATGAGGCAGGGGAGGCTGGGGAGGAGTGTGCGGGGAGAAGGGGAGGAGAGGGGGGGGGAAGGGGGGGAGAGAGGGGAAGGGAGAAGACGCTTACCTGAGGCGGTGTGACGGTGACATGAATGCGCACGTGGGGATGGTCAGGGGCACCCTGTGAGAGGAGGATGAGAAGACAAACAACATGCACACATGAATGCACAACATATGCGAAAGGTTTTTGAGAAATTCTTTAAAAAACATATCAAAGTGTGCATGGGGATGGTCAGAGGAACCTTTCGAGGGAAGGATGAGAAGACAACAAAATGCAGGCATGAATACACAACAGAGATGCAGGCATGAATATGTGAGACAAATGTGCAACAGAGATGCACAACAAATGTGTGAGAGAGGACGCGCCGAGCATGACAGTCGAATCAAAGGCGAATGTGTACTGTCAAACAGAGGATACCTACGACAAAACAGCACTACTTTTCCCACACACACTCATCCAGCCCCCTTCCTCATCCGCATGTCCCCTTACGCACTCCACTCCACTCCACTCCACTCCACTCCACTCCACCACCGATCCCCTTACTCAATAGCCTCTCCACTCAACAGCCTCACCACCCCACCTGCCCGCCTCACCTTCCCACTGCCTGCAGCCCCCAACGCCAGAGCCAGTGTCCCACGCCACGTGAGGTAGCTAGCCGCAAACACATCGCCCCACCTCTTCCTCCCTTCCTCCACCTAGCCCCTTACCCAAAAGCCTCACCCGCCCCCCTCACCTTCCCACTCCCTGCAGCCCCCAACGCCAGAGCCACTGTCCCGTGCCACGTGAGGTCCCTGGCAGCAAACACGTCCCCCCACAGCACCGTGGCCTCGCCCAGACTCCTCGCCTTGTGCGCGCCCGTCATCCCCGCCATGCCCGCTATGCCCGACAGCCGCCCCTTGGGGGGCTCCAGAAACAATTGCAGCACCACGCCCTTGGTCTCTGCATCTAGGGTTAACCACCACGTGGGGTTGTTGGGCCACGGGTGCTCGTTTGGGGGGAGAGCGGGGGTGGACGCGGACGGGGAGGAGGAGGAGGGGGAGGGGGAGGAGGAGAGAGGAAGTGGGAGTTTGAGGGAGCGGAGGCGGAGGGAGGGGCAGGCAGAGAGGGAGGAGATTTGGAGAGAGAGGTCGCCTTTGAGGGATGAAGGGAGGGAGGAGACGGAAAGAAGGGAGAGGCACGCGTCAAACACGTGCCGGGGGGGGATGCCCCCACGCAGGTCGCCCCGCATGTCTTGTATGGGGGATGCTCCTGGCGAGGATACAGGAGAGGTTATCTTGGACGTGCCTCGGGAGCTGCTTCCTGAGGGGATGAGGCTCCCCGGCCCGCTGCTCGCCCCACTTGCTATGCTTCCCGACCCGCTCCCTCCCGCTCCTCCTCCTCCTCCCACGGATTTGGATTTCAGGGGAGGGGGGAACGGGAATGGAGGAGGAGGGGGGTCTTTCCGGATGGTGCCTGCTCGTGCGTAGGGACGGCCGTAGAATTGCAGCCACGTGGCGGCTGTGGATTGGAGGGCGGAAGAGAGGGATGAGGAGGAGGGGGGGGTGTCGGATGTGGTGGGTGGCTCATGGTGGTCTGGGAGGGAGTCATGGTGGGAGAGCAGGCGGCCAAGAAGGGCGTTGCAGTCATGGGCATAGGCCAGAGGAGCGAGCTGCGAGGGGGGGAAAAAGAGAAACAGGTGCGGGGGTGGAGGGGAGACGCATGAGTTGTAGAGATCACAAGGTGAAGGTAGCAGTGAGAGGGAGAGGCGGAGAGAAATGCAGACATGATGCTTCCCCGGGACACTACGCCTATATTCCCTGGGACACTATGCTTCCTCGGGACACTATATTCCCCGGGACACAACGCTTCCCTGAGACACTACGCTTCCCCGGGACACTACCCTTCCCCGGGACACTACCCTTCCCCGGGACACTATGCTCCATGGGACACTGCACGGACACTACGCTTCCCCGGGGCACTATGCCTCCCCGGGACACTGCCCTTCCCCGGGACACTACCCTTCCCCGGGACACAATGCTTCGGCAATGTGCTCTTCAGCTCAGCACAAGGCTGCTGCTTCTCTTGATCCCGAGCTCGTCCCAGTTGAAGAGCCACCCCTCTCACTTGGTGCGCGTGCCACACAAAGTCAATGTCCAGAGCAGGGACAAACATGCCGCTCGCACCACTGCCACCACCACCACCAGCAGAAGAAGCGTCCGCAGCACCAGCAGCAGCAGCAGCAGCGTTGTCGTGAGCAGCAGGGAGCTTGTGTTTGGCGAGCCAGAGGAATGCCTTGTAGCGCTCCACAGCTCCCAGCAGGTACTTGGCGTCCTGCATGTGTGGCCGCGCTATCTGGTGGAAAAACTGCGCCTGCCGCGCCACCGCTGCTTCCAGATCGTACGAAATCCTCTCCTGCACTGACGCTGTCTCTGCTCTCGCCGCTTCGTCGTCCCCCCTGCTCTCTGAACCACCAGGGCCCGCAGCAGCACCAGGAGAAGCAGGGAGGGGTGGGGAAGCCAAGGAGCGGAAGCTAGAGGATCCGAGCAGGCTGGGCGGGAGGTGCAGTGAGGCCAGCGACGCAGCAGCGCCGGCAGCAGCATTGCCGCTCTTCTGGAAGAAATGCAGGTCGTAGGGGTCCCCAGGCCACCGCTCGTTCCAAATGCGGCGACTCACAGCCACTGCTTCCATCTGCTGCTGGTCCGACGGCAGGAGGAACGGGTGCGAGTGCGCGGAAGAGGAGGAGGGGGAGAGTGTGGAGGGAGAGTGGGGGGAGTGTAGGGAGGAGGGGGTGGTGGAGGAGAAGGAGGACGAGAAGGAGGACGAGGCGGCGGCGGCGGAGGGGTCGAGGAGAGGGAGAGGGCAGTTGAGGACCCTAGAGAACATTGCTGTGCAGTCACGCGCATAGGCGTCCTGGGGGGAGGAGAGAGAGGGGGCAGCGATGAGGGATAGATGTATTCTTTTTGGGGGGGAGGGGGAGGCTGAGGGGTGGGAGAACGGAGGAAGGAAATATGGATGAAAAATTGATCTTTATACAGTTGTTGACAGCCAATGCAACATCACCCTCCAGCAGCAGCAGCAGCAGCAGCAGCACAATTTCGGCACTGCGAATCGAAGGCCGGAGAACGTACAGGGGCGAGTCGATGGCAGAGCCATATCCAGTGCACGTCTAGCGGCGGCACGAGAAACGACGGCAGCTCCGCCTCTCCACTCCTATTGCTATTGCTGCTGCTGCTTGCCCCTGCTAACTGCCTTCCCCCTTGCAGCTCGTCCAGGAGTGGGAGCCAGCAGCGCTCGTATCTGGACCCATGCGGGAGAGGGGGAAGGGGGCGAGGGAGGAGGGCAGATAGAGTGATGGAGGGGGGGAGAGTGAAGGAGAGGGAGGGGGGGATTACAGGGGGTAGAGGAGGCGACGCACAACAGCATGAACCAGACCAGACCAGACCAGACCAGACCAGACCAGACCTCGATCGAAGAAAGTTACCCACAACCCTCCAATGCCTCTCCCCCACTCCTCCACAGTCCACCCCTCCCCGCCCCCCCCGCGTCCACCTCCCTGTTCACCCTCCATTTCTTCCCCACATTCCGTCTCGTTCCTTCCCCTTTCCCCCCACCTCCCCCCTTCTCCCCCCCAATTTCCCCCTCCCAACCCCCCCACTCCCCCCAACTCGCCTGCGGATGGCGCGGCGCACGGCGGGGCCGGAGTAGAGCCCCGCGCAGCAGTCGACGGCGTGCAGCAGGCGCAGCTGCTGCTGCGCCGCCGCCACCAGGTCCACGCTCACGCGCACGCCCTGCTGCGCGCGCTGCCACTCGCTGCCACCGCCACTGCTGCTCGACTCCGCCATCTTCGCGCGGGGGACGCGCGCTGGGGGTTGATGCGCGGACGGACGGTCGGATGGATGGGAGGTGGACGGTCGGATGGCGGGAGGGTGGACGGGCGAGCGGGGCGGGGTGGTGGAAGCCCTAGCGGTGTACGGCGGCCTTGAGAGGCCGTGCTGTGTGAGAATACTTAGAATGCACAGACGATGCGGATGGTGGATTAGTCCTTGGCTTGAAGTGCCGGATGACGGAGACTGCAACGCGCTGCGCCGATATAAACCGATAAAGAGGTATTTATCATACTAGCGACGATGGGAATCGCGCGCTGCTTGGGGCGGGTACCGCATTTCGAACCAATTTCAAGATGATTGGTCCTCGAAGTCCTCAGCTGACGAGAATGACGACTAAGGGGGACAGCGGAGAGAACGCCTGAACGGAAGGAGCTCAGACAATCGTAAAACAGCCGGAAAGGCGATCGCCTTAAAAAATGTCGCGTGAACGAGGCTCCGATGGCGCAAAGGCGCGTCGCAAAAACGCGAATTTTGATCAAACTTGTGAGGCAGTGCGATCAGCGGAGATTTTAGCAGTGAGACACGTGGCGGATTACGCGAGGCCCGCCTGGAGACGAAGCCACAATCTGGATGCGGCGACCTCCTCACTCACAGCAGAACCTCTTGGAGTTCATCAGAGTGCTTCTCTGGGTTCCCTCCAAACAATTTTGTCTCAACTCGACTGCCTGGGTCTCTGGACTCTGGTCTGGCTGGACTGGAGTCTGTAGAGGTGCGATTGTGCCTGCCTCGTGGCACACTGGCAGGCACTACAGTACCTAGTGGCGCTGGCGGCAGCCCGAGTCTTGCTTCGTGCAATGAACTGTACTTCCGACCACACGCTTTGTGATTCACCGAGCTGGGTGGGTGATTTACTGCAAGAAGTGAACTAATCGAGTAAAATAGAAATTGACGTACGTTATCTTGTGATTTACATGTATGTTGCCATGCAAAAATCAGCATTGGGAAAATACAGTTGTAAATTAATTCTAAAAATATATAACTGCGAAAATGATGTAGAAATGATAGGCAAGGGCTTATTCACATTCGCTACAAGGCCAAGTTCAATGTGTCATGGCTGCAGCACGCGCTCCCGCCAGCCGCACTCCCCCAGCTGCACTCCCAGCAGAATCATAGCATGATATTTTGTTTTGCTAGAAGTGTCCAAGTGTATGTTGGGGGAATTGTTCAACCCTCAACGTCGCAAGTTTCGATACAACGTTGCGGCGGGTGACTCAACCGACGTATATTTTCGCCTCATCAGGTAGGAGGTCCACGCATCATTGTGTTCAGAAGTTCCCATCGGGATGTTCTCAGCTGTCCGATCGAGATGAAGAGCATTTACCACGCTTAGATGCTGGACATGTGGTGGTATTGCTGTCCGCAAGACTCATTCCGCCAATCATATTGCTGTCAGGTTCGTAAACTTCTCGGAGGCGGTCGCGCGCAAACGCCCAGGCTGCGGCTTCCGCGCTGTGGGAGATTCACGGAATCCCTTGCCTGTGGCTTTTCTCACTCTGTAACCTACTGGATCTCGTTCCACCACTCTGAATCTCTCTCGTTCTACTAACTGCTCCTGGCTGCACTGGCTCCCTTATCATTTCCTGAATTCCTTTCTCAAGCTTTCCTGAATACCTTCCTCCTCACCACCAGTAGATAGAGCTATTCGTGCAGAGACTCTACGACTTCAGGCTCGTTACCTCAGAGTCCATGGCTGTCGCCTGACGTGCCATCATCAACCACTAATCTCAGTTGGATTTTTTTTAGCTCTAATTTTACGTCTAGTATATCTTCACATCTTTATTTCGGAGCAGCTCTCTTCCACTCTGACGGACTCCTACGGCTCAGCTCGTTTCCTCGAAATCCATGGCTGACGTCTGCGATTCCCTCACCGATCAGTAACCTTATCCAAACGCTATTCCCGCTCTAAGTCTTAAATTTTCATCTATATCTTCATATCTGCTCAGGTCATACGGAGCATCTCTACTCTAGACATGTAGAGCTTCTAGAGCAGCGCTATCATCATACTTATTCGGCGGCGTTTCCTGACGGTGACTATTGCAACGGCGTTTTCTGAGGGTGATGGCCGCGACGGTTTTCGAGGAAACCATGGATTTTGTAGCCCGCCATACCATCACTGACTGGTGCAAGATCTTCCGAACAATCCTATATAGTCACTCCGAACAGCTGTAGTCGATACATTTCGAGAGTCTATTCTAGTCCCTTCGAAGTTTGGAGTTAATATTCTGTAGTCCGGCGCAACTCATTTCCAGGCATGTGGAGTAGGAATATTCTAGTGAGCTGGAGCAGCGCTACTCTAGTCGTTTCGAGCGGCCTCGTTTCGAGCAATCTTAAGACCGTGACGGACGACTTATCGAGATGGTTGGTCGTGGCACCAGATGGTTGGTTGTAGCGAGATTTCTCGTAGATTCGTCTCCCGCTTTCCTTCTAAAGCGAGTCACCGGACGGTTTGGCTTTCATGCGACCAAGATTGCGGGATTGGTCCCTGGTCACGGCCAAGGTGCAGACGACGGCGGCGACGGCAACGCTCGCGATCTCACCGGCGATCTGGCTGGCGGCTTCTAACGACGATTACTTGCGAGACGGCGACTTATCACGGTCATTCGCGAAACGGTGACTTCTGACGGTTTAGGGAGACGGCGACTTCTAACAGCCATTCTCGAAACTTCGATTTCTGAAGGTGATAAGCGGAACGTGCTTCTGACGGGCATTCTCAGAACGGTGGCTTCCTGGTCATTAGTTTGCGAAACGGCGACGATGTTGGTTGGAAACGGCGTCGTTTGGCGGTCGCTCACGAGACGGAGACTTCTGACAATCAGGCGTGAGACTGCGAAATCGGACGGCCACTCGCGAGACGACGATATCTGACTGTCATTAGCTGGATGGCGGGTTCTGCCGGTCATTCGCCAAATGGCAACTTCTGACGGTCACTCGCAAGACGGCGACTCCAGACGATCGTTCCCAACCTGGCGACTATTGACGGTCATCAGCGAGACGGCGGCTTCAACGGTCACTCGCGAGACGGCGATTTCGGACGATCGTTAGCGAGACAGCGGCTTCTGACGGTCACTTGCGAGACGGCGACGCGACTTCTCCCGGTAACTAGAGGAACGGCGACTTGTTTCGGTGATTGGAAACGGCGTCTTTCGACGGTCATTCGCAAGGCGGCGGCTCGTGACGGTCACTCGCGAAACGGCGACTTGTAACGGTCATTCGCAAGACGGCGACTAATGATGGTCATCAGCGAGACGGCGACGAATGGCGAAGGCGAAGGGCGAACGTGCTCGAAGGACCAAGGGCGAACGTGCTCGTCGAACGCGCGAGTACGTGCTCGGAGGACGCGCCAGTCACGCGACATGGGGTGTAAAGGCGAAGGACGACAGCCACCAGTGGCGCACGGTGACTGCTGGTGCGGGAGGTGCTGGCGCGGCTGCGGCTGGAGTGAAGCAGATGGTGTGGCTGGTGCTGGAGCAACCTACCTCTGCTGCTGCTGGCGCTCGCAACTGTCACCCGTGCAGCTAAGTGCACTTCCCAACCCCGCTCCTCGTCCTTTTCACTTATCTTTGCCTGCTTACGATGGCCCGTGACACTTTCGCATGGGAGGGGGTAAGATTTGAGTGAGATAGTACTGGTGTGTGGCGATGGTAGCCCGTGGCACTGGGGCAGTAGGGCTCATGCTAGAGTTGCAGGGGGTTAGAAACGCATTCATCCTCATGCCCGCGTCCCTCTCTTACCTAGTCCCCCTTGCTTGCTAGCTCGCTGCCCTGGTGCCGTGCTCCTTGCGCTGCGCCTCCCACGAAGCTCCCAACCCCTCCCATGCCGAGATGCCATGGGTTATGCTCAATTGCCTTTCCTCTTTTTGTACCCCGTACCCCGTTTCACATGGTGCACTTCCTCGCCTGCTTGCTCGCACTTCCTTCATGCGTTCGGTTTCGTGCATCTCTCCCCAACCCATTCCCTTGTCCCAGGCCCAACGGCAACAGAGCAGCAGAGAGTGCAAGCAGCGTCCTGCAAAGGAGAAGAGTGGGGCCCCAACCATCAGGAGAAGTTCATTTTGGGGTGATTGGCGCATAGCGATGGTAGCGCATGGCACTGGGGCGGAAGGGTTCATACTAGAGTTGTAGGGGGTAGAAACGCATACATCCTCATGCCCGCGTCCCTCTCTTCCCTAGTCCCCCTCGCGTGCTAGCTCCATGTCCTGGTGCTGTGCGCTACCATCGCCCTTTCTCTTTCAGTTGGGCTTTGCACCGTGTTTCATACACAAGATGCATTCTCGTTATCGCTTTTGCTTCTAGCAAACAGCCGTTTCTTTGAATCTTTCACGTTATATTCACGTATCTTTTCCTTAGTTTTAGCATGTTCATTTGGCTTGGCATGCCTTGACCTAACTTTTTGCAACTACTTCCCCAAGTGTTCTTTTCCCCTCACCATTCCGTTGTACCAGGCCCATGGGAGCGTGCGCTGCAGAGACGGAGTGGGAGGGAGGGCAGTGGGATGACGCACGGCAGGCAGCCACAACAGTGTGGCTGTCCCCTGCTCGCCCTGCTGACCACTGCACTCCCCCACGCGCTGAAGGCTTGCGGGTGCTGCTGTTGGGAGTGCAGCTGGAGGGGTTGCGGCTGGTGGGAGTGCTACTTGTGGAGCACCCACTGGGAGGAGGAGCGCCCTGCATTGACCCTTCCACACCCCTCCAGCTTTCCTCCTCCTCTCACCCGTCACTCCTCCTCCTCTGGCTGCCAGTGCTCTCACCTCGGGACCCTCCCCAGGTGATAGAGGCAAGCGCCATGATGTGAGCATGGTGGCTGCGAGGTGTGGTATGGTCCCTGGTGAGGCCTGCAGCTCCCAACAGACCCTCTCGCCTCATCCGCTCCTGCAACACTCCAACAACGGCAATGCAAGTCCGACTGTTGAAGACCAACCATCCAGCCACAACCAGGGGGGATAAAATTATTTCGCGCAAGACCATCCAAGCCCATCCAAGCCCATCCAAGCCCATCCAAGCCCATCCAAGCCCATCCACGCCCATCCACGCCCATCCAAGCCCATCAAAGCCATCCAAGCCCATCCAAGCCTATCCAAGCCCATCCACGCCCATCCACGCCCATCCAAGCCCATCAAAGCCATCCAAGCCCATCCAAGCCCATCCAAGCCCATCCACGCCCATCCACGCCCATCCAAGCCCATCCACACCCATCCAAGCCCATCCAAGCCCATCCAAGCCCATCCACGACGATCCAAGCCCATCCAAGCCCATCCAAGCCCATCCAAGCCCATCCAAGCCCATCCAAGCCCATCCAAGCCCATCCACGCCCATCCAAGCCCATCCAAGCCCATCCAAGCGCATCCAAGCCCATCCAAGCCCATCCATGCCCATCCAAGCCCATCCAAGCCCATCCAAGCCCATCCACGCCCATCCAATCCCATCCAAGCGCATCCAAGCCCATCCACGCCCATCCAATCCAAGCCCATCCAAGCCCATCCATGCCCATCCAAGCCCATCCAAGCCCATCCAAGCCCATCCACGCCCATCCAAGCACATCCACGCCCATCCAAGCCCATCCAATCCAAGCCCATCCAAGCCCATCCATGCCCATCCAAGCCCATCCAAGCCCATCCAAGCCCATCCAAGCCCATCCAAGCCCATCCAAGACCATCCACGCCAATCCAAGCCCATCCAAGCCCATCCACGCCCATACAAGCCCATCCAAGCCCATCCAAGCCCATCCACGCCCATCCAAGCCCATCCAAGCCCATCCAAGCCCATCCAAGCCCATCCACGCCCATCCAAGCCCATCCAAGCCCATCCAAGCCCATCCAAGCCCATCCAAGCCCATCCAAGCCCATCCACGCCCATCCAAGCCCATCCAAGCCCATCCAAGCCCATCCAAGCCCATCCAAGCCCATCCAAGCCCATCCAAGCCCATCCAATCCAAGCCCATCCAAGCCCATCCATGCCCATCCAAGCCCATCCAAGCCCATCCAAGCCCATCCAAGCCCATCCAAGCCCATCCAAGCCCATCCAAGACCATCCACGCCAATCCAAGCCCATCCAAGCCCATCCAAGCCCATCCAAGCCCATCCAAGCGCATCCAAGCCCATCCAAGCCCATCCAAGCCCATCCAAGCCCATCCAAGCCCATCCAAGCGCATCCAAGCCCATCCAAGCCCATCCAAGCCCATCCACGCCCATCCAAGCCCATCCAAGCCCATCCAAGCGCATCCAAGCCCACCCAAGCCCATCTAAGCCCATCCAAGCCCATCCAAGCCCATCCAAGCCCATCCAAGCGCATCCAAGCCCATCCAAGCCCATCCAAGCCCATCCAAGCCCATCCAAGCGCATCCAAGCGCATCCAAGCGCATCCAAGCCCATCCAAGCCCATCCAAGCCCATCCAAGCCCATCCAAGCCCATCCAAGCCCATCCAAGCCCATCCAATCGCATCCAAGCCCATCCAAGCTCATCCAAGCCCATCCAAGCCCATCCAAGCCCATCCAAGCCCATCCAAGCGCATCCAAGCCCATCCAAGCGCATCCACGCCCATCCAAGCGCATCCACGCCCATCCAAGCCCATCCACGCCCATCCACGCCCATCCACGCCCATCCACGCCCATCCACGCCCATCCAAGCCCATCCAAGCCCATCCAAGCGCATCCAAGCCCATCGAAGCCCGTCGAAGCCCATCCACGCCCATCCAAGCGCATCCAAGCCCATCCAAGCCCATCCAAGCCCATCCACGCCCATCCAAGCCCATCCAAGCCCATCCAAGCCCATCCAAGCCCATCCAAGACCATCCAAGCGTATCCAAGCCCATCCAAGCCCATCCAAGCCCATCCAAGCCCATCCAAGCCCATCCAAGCCCATCCAACCCATCCAAGCGCATCCAAGCCCATCCAAGCGCATCCAAGCCCATCCAAGCTCATCCAAGCCCATCCAAGCCCATCCAAGCCCATCCAAGCGCATCCAAGCCCATCCAAGCGCATCCACGCCCATCCAAGCGCATCCACGCCCATCCAAGCCCATCCACGCCCATCCACGCCCATCCACGCCCATCCACGCCCATCCACGCCCACTCCTGCTCCCTCTCTTTTTCACTTGTTCCTTCCCTCTCCCCCTCTGCCTACCGTCCTTCTGTCCCTCCCATGTAGCACCTGCACCTGTGGACCGGCCCTGCCAACCTAGTGGTGTGCCTCGTGAGTGCAGGGAGGGCCGCAGAGGGATGACGCACAGCAGGCGGTCACTGGGCTGTGTGTGACTGCCCTTCGCATGCCCTGCTGACCAATAATCCAGCCCCTTCCCCTTGCCCCTGACGAGCTACTGGGAGCGGGAGGGAGATGAGCTGCCGGTGTGATGGTACGTGACTCTCTCTTGCTCCCTCTGTTGTGTTTTGTTCTTTAGAATCCTCAAAAGCATGACACAGCCGTGCCGTGCCTCACGAGTGGAGCAGCAGGCATGATGGTACATGTCTCTCCGTGTCTCATTCTGCTGCCTCCTCGCCCCTCCCTGCCCCTTGCTTACCCCTCCCCTTCCTCTCCCCTTCCCCTCCCTTCCAGCTGCCCCCACACTCCCGTTCAGGTGAACGGGAGCAGAGGCGGATACAGAGGGAGCAGAGGCGGATACAGAGGGAGCAGAGGCGGATACAGAGGGAGCAGAGGCGGATACAGAGGGAGCAGAGGCGGATACAGAGGGAGCAGAGGCGGATACAGAGGGAGCAGAGGCGGATACAGAGGCAGCAGAGGCGGATACAGAGGGAGCGGAGGCGGATACAGAGGGAGCGGAGGCGGATACAGAGGGAGCAGAAGCGGATACAGAGGGAGCAGCAAAACAAGGTGGTAATGATGCCTTACTCCTCTCGTTTTCGTCCACACCCCATTCGGTAAGTTCCCTCGTGCCTCCAAACCCTTCGTTCCCCTCCTTGCTTTATAATGCCGTGCCACTTGTTTCCTTCCCCACCACGCATCTTGCTTTTCGTCAACACTTCTTCCTTCGCTCCCACTCCCTGTCTCTGTCACTTTCTCAGGTGAACCGGGAGCAGGGAGAGACGCAGGAGCAGCAGCAGCAGACAGGAGGGGGCAGTGACCCAATGAGGTGAGATGATATCCCTCTCACTCGTGCAAGATCCCTCTCACTCGTGTGAGTGACCTTGTCTATTTGTTCTCTCTATGTCGCTACATTCTGTCGTGCCACTCCAATTCCCCTTCCCCCTCGTCTTCCTTCCCTCCCCACTCACTGTGCTCCTTCTCTTCCGTGGAATTGTCGCCGTTGCCCCCTCAGGTGAACAGAGGGAGCAGAGGAGGCTAGAGGGAGCAACAATGCTCACGGAATACCAGCAATTTGGGCTGGTAAGACCCCTCTCGCTTTTCGTTATGTTACCCAGTCAAGCCTCCTGTTCCTCCCTGGCATACCACCACCGCTCCTCTCTCTTCTCGCATTATCTTCCCTGCATCCTCTCGTACAGGCATTGACTGCAGTGGTGGCTGTGAGGGGCAACAGGAAAGGGAAACAAGAAATCGAATGAGCCAGCTCTTCGTGGTAGGTTTCCTATCATCCCCTTCTTTGTCCCTCCTCAACATCGTTCTCAATACACTACTCGTTCCCCGTGTTTATCATTTGGTTGTAAATACCTTGCTGACGTTCTCATTCAGTTTCCTTCTTTCGCTCTTTCCCTGATCACGTTCTCCCTTCCCTGCTTTCCTCTCTGTCCCCTGCTCGCCTGTATGTTTTCTACAGACAAGGACAGCATGGCGTGGTGGCATGGGAGGGGCAATCAGAGAGGGTGGATTTAAAAACGCCCGCGTCTTGTGGTAAGAGCTCTGAAACCCCGTCACTTCTTGTTAGCTTTCCCTTGGTCGCTATTCAGCTCCATCCTGTCGCCCCTTCTCTCCTCTCACACCGTCCCTGGCTCCTCTCTGACCACTGACTCCTCCCCTGTGTATCCTTCCGCAGGCATGGGACAACTGCCGCAATGGCACCAAGGGGCCACAGGAAAGGCGAATCAATCGAGCCCTTGCCTCCTGGTAAGTCCTTTTTGTCCCTCGTTCTCTCCCCATTCAGTCGGTTTTGTCTCTTTTCTATCTGCGCTTTGCATCGTCCCTTTACTGCTGCCCCCCCTCACTGACTTCCCTTGTCACTGTTTCCCGATCCATCATTTCCAGGTGTGGGCAGCAATGGAGGTAGCAGCATGGAGGCAGCAGCATAGACCAGGGGATCACACGAAGAAGGGGAAAAGACCAGCCAATGGTAGAGTCCCTCTGTGTTTCTCTGATTCCCTCTGCCGCCACCCCGCCCACTCTCGCTGTGCGCCATTCTCGTCGCTGTGTTCCTCTCCAGGTTGGACAGCAATGGCGGGAGCAGCAAGGAGCAAGGGAGCGCGCAAGGAATGGGAGAAGACTGATTGATGGTGATATTCTCCTCCTCCTCCCTCGCCTCCTCTCCCCCAATGCACCTCATGCGCCCCATGCACCCCATGCACCCTATGCACCCCATGCACCCCATGCACCCCATGCACCCCATGCACCCCATGCATCCCATGCACCCCATGCACCCCATGCACCCATGCACCCCATGCACCCCATGCACTCCATGCACCCATGCACACCATGCACCCCATGCACCCATGCACCCCATGCACCCCATGCACCTCATGCAACCCATGCACCCCATGCACCCCATGCACCCATGCACCGGCTCCGTCCCCTCGGCCGTTGGCAAACTCACTAACTTAACTCAACTGTGAGTGGTGTTTGGCGGGTTGTTCGATCGCAGCACGTGTACAGGATGATGATGAGAGGTCTACGGAGGATCGGATAATTGGGGGGTCTACCATGTACAACACTATGGGTGCCCGCAAAGAGGCTCTACCTATCAAACACATCCGTTTGTTCCACTGCTCTGCCTGAATGCCCTCCCTCCCGTCCCCCTCTCTCGTCCCCTGCTCTCGCCTATCTCACAGTGACTTCCGAGGCAACATACTCGCAGTGACTTTTGAGTCGACTCAAAAGTCCCCCCCCATCCCCCTCCCGCCCCCCTCTCCCGCCCCTTGCTGTCGCGTGTCTCACAGTGACCTCCAGGGCACATCATTGCAGGGTCCATCCCCTCTCAGATCAGCAGCCTCTCGCTGCTCAACCGCCTGTGAGCCAGCACCGCACATCCCCAGCCCTCCTGCTGATTCCCATGCCTCCCTGCACATCCCCGTGTCCTCCTGCACATCCTCAACCACCGGTTTGCACTGCGCTTCCCTCTTGTCCCCCTCTCCCTCCACTTCCCATCTTGCCGTTCCAGCTATCTTTGATGCAGCACTCTCACATACCCGATCCCTGCTCCTGCTCCTGCTCCTGCTCTTCGGCTCGCCTTTTAAGGCACCTCAGTGACTGCTGGCTCGTCCTCCGTTTGTCTTTCGGCGCGCTTCATTTCATTGCGCTTAATTGATTGCTTCTTTCTTCCTACCAGTGCTCCGAGGAATGGGGGCGTGGATGCAGCGGAGGTGGAGAATAAGGCGAGCAAGGCGAGGTGCTGCTGGTGGGCACGTGGAGGTGGAGAGCAAGGTGAGGTGCTGCAGCTGGCGAAGCGGAGGTGGGAGTGGGGCTGAGATGGAGATGGCATGTTGGACACTGCTGGAGACAGAGATCGCATGGTGGACCCCACTGCATGGCCAAGCGCTTGTCGTTGTCAATGGAGGTGAGTCAAACCACACAGAAGAAGGAGACTAGCCCAAGCCAAAACATTAGGTGCGCACAGCGCCCTACAAAGCCAATACTGTGATGCCAAGACCCTTTGTCAACCTCAACCAAAGCAAACACACAAGCTATAACATTAGGTACGCATGAAGCCAGCTGACCCCAACAAGCCAAAGAAGCGAACCAAATGCAAACTTAAACAGACTTTTAACATACACGATGTAAGCCGAAAAGAACACAGAGCCCTGATTCTGACCGCCAGAGCTCTGACTCTGACTGCCAGAACTCTGACTCTTTCTGCCAGAGCTCTGACTCTGACCGCCAGAGCTCTGACTCTTACCGCCAGTGCTCTGACTCTTACCACCTGAGCCCTGCCTCTGACCGCCAGAGCTCTGACTCTGACCTCCCCTGCCTCTCTAGGACCGCCCCCAAAGGGAGGGGGCTGAAACCCCAACCCAGGGTAAGTTGAGTGAAGGGCAAAGGGAGGAGCTGCTCTAGGAGGGGGTTTCAACCACCGATGTAAGTTGAGGGAGTGGAGAAAGGGGGACCTGCAACCGCGTCGTTGAGAAGGGAACGGTGCTGCAGCCACAAGAGTTTTTGAAGCACTCTACGAAACTAAATTTCACAGGTGTCACTACATAGCTGCTGCCACGTATTGACAACATGGCACCTAACTGGTGTTCCGTTGAGATCTGTGAGCGGCAAGGGAACGGTGCTGCAGCCACAAGGGTAAGTTGAGAGAGAGGGGGGTAGAATGGGGGCCTGAAACCCCCAGGGTGAGTTGATTGATGGGCGAAGGAGAGCGGCTGCAATTATCAGAGTAGGTTGAGGGAGAGGAGAGAAAGAGGAGAACGGGAGCCTGAAACCCTGAAGATTGTTAAGTGAGGGCGAGGGAGAGGACAATGACGGCCTCACTCCCCTGAGTAAGTGCAGTGAGGGGCAGTGGAGTAGCGGTGATAACCCCACTGTACCTTGAGTGCAAGGCAGGGGAGGAGGGTCGGAACCCCCATGGGTCGGAAGGCTAGCGAGGGGAAGGGGGGGAGCGGGGGGGTTGGAATTTCCAGGTTTGGGCAATTAAGGGACAGAGGACCCCTCCGTCTTCTGCCTTTTGTTTGCCTTAACCTGAGTCCCCTAAGGTGGAAAATGGAAGTTCAGAGGGCCGAACGCATGAGAGTTGGGTGGAGGGGGAGAGGGGGGGGAGGGGAGACGAGAGTGGCTGGTGAGGGGGGTTCAGACCCCAACGATAGAGGTGAGTCGGGTGAGGGGGTTTCAGAACCCAACTATAAGGCATGTGAGGGGGTTTCAGAACCCAACTAAAAGGCATGTGAGGGGGGGATTCAGACTGTGGTGCTGTGGGGGATGATGCACGGTGGGTGTGGTGCTGGCAGGTGCTGTGAGGAATGTGGGAGGTCAGGACTGGAACTTATCATGCTGTATGGAGTATTCAGCCCTTCCTTAAGCCCCAAATCCTGACACCACCACCTCCCTGCCCCTCTGCCAGGCTTGCCTGGCTGCAACCTCTACGAGTAGTGTGCTGTGATGCAGTCAGCTCAGCAGCTCAGCAGCTGCCCTTCCCACACACACACTCTCCTTCCTCGACCTGGGGCTCGGACAGTTGCTGCTTGTGCCCAGTTGAGGAGGGTCATCATCTCAAGGGCATGCTCCTCTTGTTTCATGAAGTCACCTGGTTATTTTTGGTTAGTGTTTCTCACCATCTCGTCGTGCTGCTGCCTGCGGATTTTATTTTCCCGTGACATTTCTGGCCAAACTTTCGTGACCTATCATGAGCTTTGTTGTGCGACCAGGATCTTTTTTTTTTTTTTTTTTTTTTTTTTTTTTTTTTTTTTTTTTGTAAGTTGGTACTCATGAGCAAGCTGAATGTTGAACAACGGATTGTTGGTGTACCCTTGATTAGCCTGAGTTTGGGTGATTCCATAGTGAAACCCAGATCTCTGAGCTTAGGGGATGCCACGGGTGCTTGGTGTGCGCTGGCAACAACTGGGTTTGTTTGTGGGCCTCTATTGGTTGGCGAGGTGGGGGAAATCTACTTTCATCCATCACGCGATTCACAGCCGAGCCATAGAATTTCGAAGAATGCTTCTCCCCGCGGGCTGGACCTGATGGAAGCAAAACTTTTCGAAGGCATTCGTGTAGGGCTGCGAAAGGAATCAAACAGCCATAAGCAACAATTTTCCGCAGCTGCCCCTGTGCGACGAAACAAAATCTAGCCCTTTTCAGTGCGCACCGCGTTGATGCTTTGCAAAGGCTGGATGCTTCTCGCAGACGCAGGTCAACTCACCTCGCCAAAATCGCCGCCATCTTCGGTCGAGCGACTCGCTTCCCAACAGAACTTCTGGTTTATCTGGGCTCTACGATAGTTAGTGCTGCTGAGCTTTCTTACTAATTAGGTGTTTTGGTGTATCCCACTTCTGCCCCACCTTTCTTTCGTTGGGTGATCCTGGACGTTTGTTTACGCCCTTACGTAGCTGGACCACTCCTTCTTACAATGGCTGCCACCGCCGAGAGCGGGGTGTCAGAGCAGATCCAGCGAGCCCTGGACGCGCTGCGAGCCGGGCAATGCGTCGCGATTCTGGACGACGAGAGCCGCGAGGCGGAGACGGATCTCTTCTTCCCCGCGTCCGCTATCCAACCCGCGGACTTGCGCCGCCTGCGCGTCGACGCCGGCGGCGAGCTGTACATAGCCGTAGGCCACGAGGTCGCGGAGACGTTCGGGATACCCTACATTTCCGCCGCCCTAGAAGCCGCTGTCCTCCCGAAAGCTCCACTTACGGAACCAGATACCGGATCCGCGAGTTGTAATGGCGTTAGCGGAAAGAGTGATAAGGGGTACCCGGTGTTGAAATACCTAGGGAAGGGGGTGGACGGCATGTGCCAGGGCTCCTGCTCCGTGGGCTTATCTCTGGACCACCGCTCCACGCACACGGGCGCGCCGGACTCGGAGCGCAGCCTCACGTGCCGGCGACTGGCGCTGCTGTGGGAGGAGATCCGCGGGGAGCGCGCGGAGTCTTCCGTGGAAGCGGGGAAGGCGGAAGGGGAGGGGGAAGCGGAGCGGGAGGACGCAATGCGGCGGCTGGGGAAGGAGTTCCACACGCCCGGGCACATCTTCCTGTGCATCGAGAACCCCCGGGGACTCCGCACAAGGCAAGGGCACACGGAGCTCTCGGTGGCCCTGGCGAAACTCGCCGGGATCACGCCCGTCATGGTGAGCCTCCCTGTGGGGCGAGAGGCGGAGGGAGGGGGGGAGGGGGCGAGATGCAGAGGGATCTTGAAACGGGAGTATACCTTTAGGTTGCCCTTCTGTCAAAGTTTTGGATTTTTTGTCAGGATATGGTTGGCTGCATGCTCTGCTGAGAGGTAGAGTAGCTTTGCTGCAAGGCAGCCAAGTGCAATATGTTGGTTCTAGGCCCCACAGTCCCTTAGTCCGTCCTCCAACTCCCACGTCAGCCTCCCCGTTGGCAGCCCTTACCCATCTGAATACGTCGATCCTGCACTCTGGGTGACTGGTTGACCAAGCACACACGCATTCGCATCGCATTAATAATTCACAGAACCGCAATTTTCATGCCCTTTTCTTTCCACGCCCAGGTTGGCTGTGTCATGCTGAGCAACAGCGGTGATGACTACGGTGCTCTCCCTGCTGCTTCTGCCCGCCAATGGGCAGCTGCCAACTCAGTTCCCTGCCTTACAGGCCCTGATGTGATCAAGGCCGTTCTGGGGCAAGACGCACCCTTGGTCAGCTAGACAGTGTTTTTTCCTTGAGATTGAGATGCCGGCGGTGCCGAGTTGGATGCTTGGAGTGGAAAGCACCAGGATCCTTATTATCACGTGCTGGTGGCCTCCACGTGTCTGATGCTGACAGTGCACAGGCATTGTTTTTTCTGTCGTCATAGGTGTTGGCTTTGCATAGATTACGCATCCCCTTCACATCAGCTAGTCAGGAAACACCTCGATGGAATCCAGCATTACCATAGAAGGGGTTAAATACATTTTAGATAGTGTATGTGTATTACCATATGGTACTTCATTGTGGGATATGCTTAGGAGGCGTTGATTATATTATGTATAATTCTTGTTTGAGGTCCATGTTACCATATTCATTTTCTTCCAAAATATTCCATTCGTTACATCTACAGCTTCTAGAAGGGGCAGCCCGGACTAGCCACCGGCGCAAGCCCCTTGGAATCATCCCGCGCATTATCCTCAAGTCTCCTCACGATTCCGCCTGCGCACTCGTAACTCATCCCCCCGCTCCGCCCCTCCCCCGGGGCCATCCTCCCACTCACGCGCTGCCACGTTGGGGTGGGCGGGATCCATCACCCTGGGGAGCACACCTCGGAAATCACTGCTGAGCTGAGTGGAGTGTTTTGCGGTGCAGCACGCAGTGGAGTGCTCCTCCCAATCCCAAGTGAATCCTCCCGTGAGTGCCCGTTGTTGCCTCTCGTTCCCCGCAAACGAACTTCTTCCCCAGAAGCTCCATGCGCTTCCTGGCCTAGTCAGTTGCCCAGGCACCCCCCTTCGCGCTATGGCGGCCACAGCGATGGTAGGGCTGCATTCGGCGGCCTCGCTCTCCCTCCCGCGCCACCACGGGCTGCGCTCTGCGCCGTCCCGTTCCGCCTCTCTCTCGGGAAGCGCAAAGCTACACGCGTTCGCGCGGCCGTCATGCCGCGCATCGCGGGCGATCCGAGCCTCCTCCGACCAATCGCCCCAGGGAAGCAGCGTGACTAACCAACCAGCCATTGCGGAAACCTCGGAGGCCTCGGAGGTTCTGACGGCGTCATGCACACGGCGATCGGCGATCCTCGCTGGGCTGGTCGCGACAACATGCGGGGAAGCCGGGGCCCAACTGCTCGCCTCCCCGCTCTCTGCAGCAGCAGCAGAAGCAGCAGCAGCAGCCATAGCCGCCGATTCCCAATCCGTAATCTTTTCCACGCAGCAGGACGTGATCAACGCGTGCGCGTACGACTACCCGTTGAAACTCGCGGATCCTGTGGGCAGTATAGTCTGGATCGAGACGCGCAAGCCGGAGCGCTACTCCTCCGCCGCGCCGCTCTCCCCCGACGCGCGCCTGCGCATCGTGTCGGAGCGCCTCGTCCCGATCCGCTCGCTCGTCATCACCGTCTCCGTCTCGCCGCCGAATCCGGCGTTCCTCCCGTCGCCGCCGCCGCCAGCGACGGATCTCGAGGCCGGCAAGGCCTCAGGCTGGACAGCCGTGAACGTTGCTCGGTCGATCCTGGCCGATCGTACGTCGCCCCGCATGACGTCGATCCAACGGCTGCAGGAGACGATCCTGGGCGACGCGTACGAGGAGCTCCGGACCGCGGACGGCGCGACGCAGCCGATTAAGTACTACCTGTTCGAGTACGTGAACCAGAAGTCGCCGACTATGCTGACCGGCCGCTCGAAGGACGTGTTCCGGCGGTCCTTATCGGTGGCGGCGGAGCGCGAGGGGTACATCTACTGCCTGACGGTGTCGACCGTGGACTCGGAGTGGCCGCAGCTGGAGGACGCGCTACGGACGACCGTTGAGTCGTTCAGACTGACGGAGCCCACTGGGGAGTACGTGCCTCCGTGGAAGGACCCCTGGTGGTTCTGGTAGGTGGGGAGCTCGGTGAGAGAGGCGAGAGAGGAGGGAGATAGGAGGTGGACGGATCTAAGGAACGGGTTTGGGCGGGGGGAAGTGCAGAGGAGTGGATGGGTGCAGGGGTTTCGGGTTTTTACAGGAGAAGGGGAGGCAGCAGCAGCAGTCACAGCTGGGTGGAAGTCTCAAGCATGAAGCTCAAAAGGTTGAAGCTTGGGTGTGCAGCTGAAACCATGATGCGGGCTGTGGCAAGGTTGTGCTCATTTTTTGCCCCCATTTTTGTTTTGACAGTATGTGTGTTGGGTTAAATTAGGGCAAAGAATTACTGGAAAAGTTTAATTAGGGCAAGACACTTTTTGGAACGGGTTATCTTAGCCAATGAGCCACGATCCACTAACTACCGTGCGTTGCTCATAAGGATGGTTTCAATCTCCAGCCATAAGTGTGCTGGTATCTTGATATGAGGTCCTGGTAGATGGCACGGCATGGGCCAGGGCCCAGGAGGACTCTTAATAGATCCTGTACTGCTGCAACACGAGACACTTGGCCTTCATGGAAAATGTTGGTTGCTTGAAAAGGCTATGCCTCTCTAAGACGCTTGGTTGCGGGAGGAATAGTACCGTATGGTACCTACAACGAATCATCTAGTGAACCAGAGTCACACCTACTTATGTTAGTGCTGCCGGTAGTATCTGCTGCTTCCTCCATGACAACAATCAACCCGTCTGAAAGGACGTCCCGTGCAGAGATTCCCATATCTGCAGCGCCTGCCGCTGGAGGGGACACAGTTGAAGCTCCTTCTGCTGGTACTCTTTCTAATGGCACTGCTGCAGCAGCTGCAGCTCCTGCTGATGCTGCTGCTTCTGCTGCCGGTGGTGTTGGTGCTGCTGCTCCTTTTGTGGCAATAGGGAGGGTACCAGCGAGAACTGCAACTGAGCCCTCTGGTTGCATGCCACTAGCACCCCATTGCCGCACTGCTGCCCGCGACCCAAGTACTACCTGCTCTACTGCATCATTTCTAGCTGCCGAAGTCACACCTGGGATGGCAGTCGCACCAATATTGCCAGCAGTTGACACTCCTCCTTCACTTCCTCTCGCCCCTCCTTCACTTCCTCTCTGTAACAGCATCCCTACTGAGCCCTCTTGTAGGAGCACATGTGTGTTGCCAAACTCCCTCAGTTTCTCCTCTACACCTGCCCCTCCTCCTGCTTCACTTGGCCCTGCTGCTGCTGCTGTTGCTGCCAGTGCTGCACGGAATGGCTGTGCTGACACTGCCACAGCACCCACTCCATCTTCCCACTTGCTATCCAATGCTGCTCGTGCTATGCTGGTGTGTCCTTCCGCAGCTGCTTCTTCTTCTGCTGCTGCTGCTCCTGCAGCTCGTGCTACTGGTTGTGGGGCCGCTGCCTGTCGTGCCTCATGATCGCTGAGGTGCATGCTGCTCCTGCCGTTGCTGCCTCTGGCGCCCATAGAGACGCTACTGGCACGAGCAGCAGGCAGGCCAACCCCATTATCGCCAGGAGTGGTGCTTGTGACTGAGCCGCTTCCGCTGAAAACAGGTGCCCGTGCTGCTCCTGCTGCTCCTGCTGATACTGTGCCAACAGACTCCTCCCTCACACCCCTCCATGCATACGGACTGCTGCTCACACTCCCATCACTCTCCCCTGCACCCGTCTCTGCAGCAGCAGCAGCAGCAGCAGGCAGTGGGGATCCGCTGGGAGAAGCCCATACAGCAGAGGGCACGGGAGAATAGGGGGCTTGAGAGGGCGGGGTGCTCGGAGGAGAGGAGGGGAAGGTGGGGCCTGCGGGGGTGGGAGGCATGTTGGGAGGGGCGGGGATGGCAAAGGTGGTGGGTGCAGAGGGGATGGGACGGGAAGGGGTGGTGGGGTAGGAAGGAGACAAGGGAGCCCTTGTTGTGTGTGCGAGGGGAGGTGGTCTGGCTTGTTGGGGGGAGCGCAAAGGAGAATAGTGGGAGGGGTCAGGGGAGGAGAAGTGAGGCGGAGTAGCAGTGGTTGCTGTAGTGGCGAGGAACTCGTGTGCTGATGGTGTTCTGACGGTGCCGCTGCTGCTGCTGTTGCTGCTGGGTGTGGCTGCAATAGTCCCGGCAGTCACAGAGGAAGGAGCGGTTGCAGCAGCAGTGGACGCAGCAGCAGCCGAGGTAGTGGTACCTGCATCTCTGCTGCTGCTGCTGCTTGTTGGTGCCTCAGGGGAGGCAGCAGCTGTGGCAGGTGCAGCAGGTGGGGTAAGGGTGCTGCTGTACATGCCATGGCTGCTGTATACGCTAGGCGGTGTGCTACGGGTAGTGCGTATGCCATGTGCACTATGGGTGCCGTCTGTGCTGTTTTTGCTGTACATGCTGTGTGTACGGTAGATGGCGTGTGGTTCGTACCAAGAAGGGGTGTGCGAGGAGGGGAGAGCGGTGGGATGGGAAGGAGAGGAGGCAGAAGATGACAAAAGGGGTGAGGGGGAGAGCGTAGAAGCAGGGAGGGAGGAGGCAGGGAGAAAAGAAGGGAGAAAGGATGCAGAGGAATGCGGAAACGACAGGGAGGGGAGGTAGATGGAAGATGAGATGGAGGAGGAGGAGGAGGAGGAAGTGGAGGAGACAAAAGGGCCAGGTGCGTGACCTGAAGAGAGCAGAGTAGAGATGCCATAGGGGAGGTGCGAGGATGGGAAGGACGAAGGGGGGGAAGATGAGGACACGAATGGGGAGGAGGAGCGGGAGGAGGCATGGCAAGCGGAGGGAGGAGACGAGGGGGAGAAGGTGGAGGACCAGAAGGAAGGCGATGTGAGAAGACTGTTGGTGTTGAATGGATAGGTAATGGGGACGGTCTGAGAGTCCACAACAGGCAGGCTTTGTGTTTCCAAAGAGGTCCCAGGTCGCTGGTCTGACTGCAGCAGGGTGGAGAGCCGTGCTGGTGATGCTGATGATGCTGATGGTGCCGGTGCCGGTGCCGGTGCCGGTGCCGGTGCTGGTGCTGGTGCTGGCGCTGGCGCTGGTGCTGGTGCTGGTGCTGGTGCTGGTGATACGGTTGCTGGTGCCCTTGCTGGCGATGGTGCAGGGTTACTTGAACTAGCAGAGCCGATGGTGCTGCTTGCACGGCTTGGGGGGGCATGAGGGGGAGAGTAGGAGGAAGAGGAGGGGGGGGAGGAGGAGGATAAGTAGGAGGAGAAGGCGGCAGGTGGAGGTTGAGGACTAGCATTGGCCGCGAGAGAAAGGAAGGGCATGGTGAGGGAGGAGGAGGGAAGAGTGTGGGAGGGGGGCGACACCACAAGGGCTGTGTGAGCGAGGGTGGGCGGATCGCGAGGAGAGACGGTGGACACGGTGGAGTAGCGGCGCTGCAGGGACTGTTGCCGCGACAGCAGGTGCTGCCATGAACGGCTCTCAGCCAACGGACCCGAGGCTACACCTCCCCCTTCTTCCCGTGGAGAGGTTTGCTCCTCCCATTCCCCTTCCCTTCGCCCTTGCCCGTCCCCTTGCCATTCCCCTTCCCCTTCCCCTTCCCCTTCCCGTCCCCCTTCCCCTCGCTCTCCTGCCTGCTTGCCTCTCACTCCCTGCCTGCGTGTCAGCTGACAAGTGCCGCTCGTAACAGAGGAGCCTGAAGCAGGAAGGTCCAGCCAGGCAGGACCACCAGAGGGCTCACCAGCGGGGCCGCCACCAAAGCCAGCACGACCGTTAGCACCAGCAGCAGCAGTGCCAGCAACAGCAGTACCCCCAGCAGCAGCCCCTGCAGCGGCAGCACCAGAACCGCCTGCACTACGGGCAGCAGAACCAGCAGCACTAGAAGCACCAGCAGCACCAGCAGCACCAGAAGCACCAGCAGCACCAGCAGAACCAGCAGCACCAGCAGCACCACCACCAGCAGCGGCAGCAGCGGCAGCAGCGCTCTTGAGCGTGAGGGAGCCCTGGGACTGCAGCTGTCGGCGCACGAGGCTGGCGTACATGCCCCCTGCGCCCACCAGCGCCTCGTGCGCACCCTGCTCCGCCACCTCGCCTCCCGCCACCACCGCCACTGCGCTGGCTCCCTTCACAGTGGTCAGGCGGTGCGCTATCACCAGCACTGTGCGCCCCTTCATCAGATCATCAAGGGCTGACTGGTGAGGGGAGGCGGCAGGGGGGTGGGGGGGTGGATGGGGGAGGGGGAGGGGGGAGGGGGAGGGGGATGGTGGGGTGGAAAAGGAGGGTGGGAGATTACACGAAGAGTCAGGGTGGTGCACGGGGGAGTTCTGAGTCGACTCAAAAGTCACCTTAAAAAGGGGGGTGGGAGATCACACGAAGAGTCAGGGTGGTGCACGGGAGAGGGCTGTTGAGAGGGGCTCAACTGGACACTGTGGCTCTGCTGGGCGGTGGAAGAGACCAGGTGACTGGGGAGGTGAGGATGAGGGGGAGAGAGAGGAAAACATAGGTTGCATGCTAGGGGGGCACGGCTGCGTAGTAGGGGGGCATGGTTGCATGCTAGGGGGGCATGTAAACACCACACCAGCTTTTGAGTCGACCCTGCACACTCCTACACGCACCATGTAAACACCTGCATTTGAGTCGACTCAGATGCACAACCCTACATGGACCATACGGCATGCGCCATGCACTGCAGCACAGGGTACCACTCACCCACCTGCACGAGGTACTCGCTGTCAGCATCGAGCGCGGCAGTGCTATGTCTCTTAGAATTCTTAAAAGCGTAGCACAACCTACCTGCATGGGGTACTTGCTCCCAGCATCGAGCACGGCAGAGCTATGTCTCTTGGGATTCTAACAAGCTACGGCACACCCCACCTGCACGAGGTACTCGCTGTCAGCATCGAGCGCGGCGGTGCCCTCGTCCAGCAAGAGCAGCTGCGGGTCTAGTAGCATCGCCCGCGCTATGGCTATGCGCTGCCGCTGCCCCGCTGACAATCGCACGCCCCTCTCCCCTACCTCCGTGTCATACCTGGCCAGGACCGGGGGGGCGTGGAGAAGTGGGGAGATGTTGGGTGTGCGGGAGGGGCTGCACAAGTGGGGAGGAGGGAGGGCACTGGTGCACACTGCAGACTGGTGCACAAGGACGCCAACGAGCATAGCCGCACAGCAGTTACCTCTCCTTCTTCCCAACCTAACCACGCCCTCGCCCACCCCCTCGTCCTTCCCCCCCCTCTCCAAAGTCCTACCCAAGCGGCCGGGCAGCGATGAAGTCATGGGCGTTGTCATGTGCGCAAAGCAGCCGAATCCCAACCACCCACGCACCCACCCACCCCCTCTTCCTCCCCCCCCCTCTCCGAAGTCCTACCCATGTGGCAGGGCGGTGATGAAGTCATGGGCGTTGGCCTGCATGGCAGCGCGGTGGATGGCAGCCAGGGGCACGGGGGTGGCCATGCCGTAGCTGATGTTGGCCGCCACTGAGCGGCTCACCAGGAGGGGGTCCTGGGATAACAGCGACACCTGGAAGGGGGGGGAGAGACGGAGAGAGGGGGGGGGGGGAGAAGAGAGTGAGTGAGGAGAGGAGATAGAGGTCAGTGGACGGCTCACAGGGAGTGGAATACCAGAGACACCTGGCGCGAGGAGGGGGTGGAAGGGGAAAACAAAAAGGGGGCACAAACCACTTTTGGAGGTGTGGAGGCTCGGATGTGGAAATGAGCTGGATTTCTCTTCTGGTCGATGCAAAAACCACTTGAAGGCAGTCAGCTTTGAGTGCAGGCAGGGATGTACCTTGGCGTGCAGGTAGTGGCTGTCGATGTCTGGCAGCGGCACCCCCGCCAGCAGAATGCGCCCCGCACACGGGTCGTACAGACGAAGGGCTAGCGACAGTAGGGTGGACTAGAGCGGGACGGGAAGGAGGGGGAGGAGGCACAGAGTGGGGGCAAGAGAGGGGGGAGGAGTGCAGAACGTGTGAGCAAGCAGCGCACACTTCAATCCCTAGAGCAACAAAGCACTCATACATGTGAGCAGCATTCAACATTCAAGCTACCAGAAGAAAATGCCACTGCTTACTACAACCGATTACACTCCATCCACACATAGTGGCACACATGGGCCCCCTCCACATAGCAGCTGCATACCTTGCCCCCGCCACTGGGCCCCACGAGAGCCAGTGTATGGCTCCATGGCAGTGCGAGTTGGACGCCCTGGGATGGCGAGGGTGGGAGGCAGGAGGCAGGAGGGTGGGAGGCAGTGGGAGAGAATGCGAATCATGAGGCGCCCCATGGCAGCGCAACTTGCTTACTCTGGGATGAAATAAGGGGCAGGCGGGAGGGGAGAGAAGGCAGTGGGCAAAGCAGGAAGAAGAGAAGGTCAATGTGAGAAAGACGGCAGCGCCCAGAGAACGGGAAGCGGAGGCATCACCTTCTGTAACGCGTCGATGTGAGGTGAAGTTGGGTGAAAGTATACTAGATATACTAGATACTAGATACTAGATTGCAAGGGATGTGCTAGCCAGCAAAGCCAACAGTAACGCAATATGATACTGCCTGCTTGGTGCGCTATGCAACAGCGCTGAAATCACCAAGAGTTGCCTTCCAATCCAGGTTGACTCATCCAGCCACCCTATCACTCGCCCTTCCCTCCTACCTCTCCCCTCTTCTCTGCTCCCTCCGCTCCCCTCACCTTGATGACCCACTGCTGTGGTCTCGATGGGTATGCAAACCACACCCCCTCAAACAGCAGGCATGTGCCCTCTCTGCTCCTGAGGGTGAGTGAGTGAGTGAGTGAGAATGAGGGACGAATTGAGGAGAGTTACAAGGGGACAAGCAGGCAAGCTGGGAGGGGCGAGTTGGCAGGAAGAAGCAGTGGCGGACGGGTGATGCTGGCATGGCGGCATGCTTCATGCTGGCATGGTGGCATGGGGTAATGATGGTGACATACATGGGCGGGCATCTGTTGCCATGGGGCGGCATGCTTGGGTGCATGTCGAGTATGTGCAGCACCCGCTCTGCTGCTCCCATGGCCCTCACTATCGTGCCGTAGATGCCACTCAGATTCGCCAGGGAAAACCCCACTGGTGCCACGGGTACGGGGAGGAGAGGAGGAGAGGGGGAGGACAGTGAGTGGGGAGGATGGGGGTGAGGAGCGGAGGTAAGGGGAATACGAGGAGGACGAGGTAGGTGGGGCCTGCAGATGGTAGTGGAGCAACGATCAACCAACGCTGGCCACAGCATGGCATGGCACGGCATGGCACGGCATGGCATGGCACGGCATGGCACGGCATGGCACGGCACGGCATGGCACGGCATGGCACGGCATGGCACGGCATGGCCCGGCATGGCACGGCATGGCATGGCATGGACGGCATGGCACGGCATGGCACGGCATGGCACAGCATGGCATCAATGTCACGGCATCGGGTGCCACTGGCATGGCATGGCATGGCATGGCACGGCAGTACCGGTGATAGCGATGAGTATGAAGGAGGAGAGAGCCCCCGGGTCCATGGCGCCAGAGGCTGAGAGGTACGCCCCATAGGCAAACACGGCCACCACACTCAGCCCTGCTCCCGCGTACACTGCTCCTGATAACAGCCCCACTCGGAACTGCAGGAGTGGGGAGGAGTGGGGAGGAGTGGGGAGGAGCAGGAGGAAAGGAGAGCAAGAAGATTTTTGGCAAAAAAGCACGAGAAGTTTAGACAAGAAGCCAACACGTAGCACGTGTGCCTGACATAGCAAGACCAACGAGACAGACAGGGCAATGGTCGAGGAGCGGAGGCAAGGGGTGCAATTCTGGGTGGGTGAGGGGTTTAGGAATAGACGTGGGTGTGGGTGTGGGTGTGGGTGTGTGGTACCGCGAGTGTGACCCCCATGTGCATGCAGTGCTTGCTGAGCAGTGCAAAGCGGTTGTGCTCCGACTCCTGCTGGGAGAAACAGCGCACCGTGCGCATGCCACGCAGCACCTCCTGGGGGGGGGTGGGACAAGACGGACAGGACCCCAACCGCACACATACAAACACACATGCAAACACACATGTACAGTATAGACACGGGCACACATGCACACACACGTATACAGATCCACAATTCGGTATAGATTTATCAGAATCGACAAGTGCTCCAACGCATTACAGAAGAAGCTGAAAACGCACACACACGTTGCTTCACTCTGTGTCAAGCCAACCATTCTCCACACAGTGTCACACGTTGCTTCACTCGGTGTCAAGCCAACCATTCTCCACACAGTGTCACACGTTGCTTCACTCGGTGTCAAGCCAACCATTCTCCACACAGTGTCACACGTTGCTTCACTCTGTGTCAAGCCAACCATTCTCCACACAGTGTCACACGTTGCTTCACTCTGTGTCAAGCCAACCATTCTCCACACAGTGTCACACGTTGCTTCACTCTGTGTCAAGCCAATCATTCTCCACACAGTGTCACACGTTGCTTCACTCTTTGTCAAGCCAACAATTCTCCACACAGTGTCACACGTTGCTTCACTCTGTGTCAAGCCAACCATTCTCCACAGTGTCACACGTTGCTTCACTCTGTGTTCAAGCCAACCATTCTCCACACAGTGTCACACGTTGCTTCACTCTGTGTTCAAGCCAACCATTCTCCACACAGTGTCACACGTTGCTTCACTCTGTGTCAAGCCAACCATTCTCCACACAGTGTCACACGTTGCTTCACTCTGTGTCAAGCCAACCATTCTCCACACAGTGTCAAACGTTGCTTCACTCTGTGTCAAGCCAACCATTCTCCACACAGTGTCACACGTTGCTTCACTCTGTGTCAAGCCAACTATTCTCCACACAGTGTCACACGTTGCTTCACTCTGTGTCAAGCCAACCATTCTCCACACAGTGTCACACGTTGCTTCACACCGGCTTTCCCAGCCCCATAGCTACTCCCCATCCTTTCCCTCACCTTGTTTCCCTCTCCCTCACAACATCCCCTTTCCACATCTCCCCTCTCTATCCACACTCCCCTCCCCCGTGCCTGACCTCTGCCACGGCATCAGCGCTGGCAGCAGCAGCCTGAGCATCCCTCGAGAGAGCCCTGATGGCGTTGCTGTAGTGGCGGATGGCGGCTGCCACGGGGATAAGCACGATGAGAGTCAGCGCTGGGGATGGAAGGAGGGAGAGTGGTGGGGGTGCATGGGAGGATGAGAGGGATGGAGGGCTCAAGTCAAGGAGAGTGTTGTGATGCTCTGATGGCGTGGCTGTAACGGCAGATGGCAACTGACACAGGCAGCAACACAAGACGTGCCAATGCTGGGGGGGAAGGGGGGGAGGGTGAGATCGTGCTGGAAGGGTGAGAGGATGGGATGTTTCGTTCAGAGGAGAGAGGAGAGTGGGATGATGGCGTGGCTAGGCTAGGGATAGGGACAGAGAGGTGAGAAGAGACGGAGGGATGAAGTGGGGAGAAGACAATAGGAGTGGGCATGAAATAACACCAGCATGTTGGTAGAACATTTGGAACCTCACAAGTAGCAGCATGCAGTCCGTAGCTGTGTGCCATTCCATAGACGTCACAGACCTCAAACCCTTATCATCCTCCCCAGTGGGGTGGGCGGCGGGCGGTGGGCGATGACAGATTTGACCCCAGGAGCTTTCCCTTCTAAAGGTTTTCTCTGACCCACTAGAACATTCGATGATCAAAAGTATAGCCATTAATAATTTTTCCCCTCTTGGAAGACCTTTACAGCGGCCTTTGTGGCATTGATTTGTTGTTGAAGTTGATGCCTTCAGAAGATTGACCAGCGCTTGAACATTTCCTAGAGCGCTTTCCCCCTTGAGGTTTTCCCCCCTGCGCGTGCGGGCTTGTGTAGAATGAATATGGCGACTGATCATGCCCAAGGATGAGGGGGAAGGATTATAGCGAATTGGGTTTGGCGAATGATTATGGCAAAGGATTATGGCGAATGGTGAGCGCCCACACTCAAGTCAAGAGCATGCCCATGCTCAATTCGCCAAACACCAAACACTTCTCCCAATTCCCCCGTCTCCCCCCCCCCACCTGTGAGCGTGGGCGATATGGTTGCCATGAGCAGCAACCCGGCGGCGGCGGTGGCAAGCGATCTGAGCGCCTCTGATGAGCCCGTGGTGAGGGCCCCCTTCAGCAGCCCCGTGTCGTCCGTGAGGCGCCTCACCACCTCGCCCACACTCCCACTGTCGTACAACGCCATGTCCTGGTGGCGTATGGGGTATGGCGTGGGGACGGTTCCACGGCGACAACATGACAACATGAGGAGAGGGGGCGGGAGCGGGGGGGAAGGGGTGGGGAGGAGGGAGGAGGATATCAGAAGGCAGACTGGTGCTGGAGAAGGGAGAATATCCCAGATGGCTAAGGCAGTAAGAGCAATGCATGGGGAACCTCCTTCCAAAAGTAATTTCTTATTCGAGTTACAATCTACTTAAACTTGTCCTGCTTTATCTTACCTGCCATACCGGAGAGTACCATACCTGGGAGCACCATACCTGGGAGCACCATACCTGGGAGCACCATACCTGGGAGCACCATACCTGGGAGCACCATACCTGGGAGCACCGTACCTGGGAGTACCTGGGCGAGCAGGCATCGGAAGAGGTTGGTCTTGATGCGAGCTGCCACTCGCTCACTGGCGGACGAGAAGAGAAACGCACGCAGCATGGTGCCCACCGCACTAGAGACGGATGCGGGTGGGGTATATGGGAGCATATGGGAGCACATCGGGGCACATCGGGACACACCAGGACCCATCGGGGCACGTCAGGGCACATTGGGGAGAGTGGGGAAGACACATAACGGCTCGGAGAGGACGAATGGATGGGGAGGTGGAAGCGTCAAATGTTGAAGCCCAAGTGGGAGATGAGAGGCATGGGAGCGAGGGCAAGGTGGGGACAGAGGGGGAGAGTGCGAAGCCCAAGTGAGAGATGAGAGGTAGAGATCCAGGGGGAAACGAGAGGGAGGAGGAACTGGTAAGACCAAGTAGCAGAGCAGGCCAGAGTGCCACAGCAGGCTTCAGTGCAGCATGGCAGCGCAGCATCGGAGCATGGTACCCGAGCACAACGGAGGCGGCCATGAGGAAGACGGTCTCTGTGAGCTGCGCCAGGAACGCCCTCCATGTCTCCTCGCTGCCCCTGCTCGCCCCACTCACCAGCGCCACCACCCGCCCCGCATAGTGCGACTGGCAGCGAGGGGCGAGCAGGGGGGGAGGGGGGGAGGGACGGGGGGTACAGAAGGGGGGAAGTGAAGGGGTGCTGAAACAGACGAGGCAGGAGATAGAGCAGGTAGGGTACGGGGGAGCCTATAATTCGCTGTGGCAGCAAGTTGCACAGGACACCAATTGCAGTGGAGTACGGGGGACAAATGCCAGAGACGGACGTGAAAGAGAGAGTGCGGTAGCAGAGCAGCACAGCCATAAGAAGGTGGTTCAAGTGTGAGCAGGCATGACTCGTGAGCGCACCAGAGCCAGTGTGGCGAGGGAGGAGACGAGGAGAGGCAGCAAGGCAGCGAGGAGCAGCGGCCACTCCTCTCGAGCCTGTATGGGGATGGGTGAGGGGGAGAAGAAAGCGAGGGGGTGCTAGAAAGGTGAGAGGGAGAGGGAAGGTGAGGGTCTTAAATGGAGGGAGGGATAAAGCGGGTTGAGAACCGGGCATGGAATTAACATGTTGTGGACGATGATTGGCAGGAAAGAACATGAGAAGAGAACAAGCAGAGAAGGTGGAGAGGTAGGGTGACAACTCACGATGGATGGCAACTCACGATGGATGGCAACTCACGATGGTAGGGCAACTCACGATGGTAGGGCAACTCACGATGGTAGGGAAACTCACGATGGTAGGGCAACTCACGATGGTAGGGCAACTCACGATGGTAGGGCAACTCACGATGGTAGGGCAACTCACGATGGTAGGGCAACTCACGATGGTAGGGCAACTCACGATGGTAGGGCAACTCACAATGGTAGGGCAACTCACGATGGTAGGGCAACTCACGATGGTAGGGCAACTCACGATGGTAGGGCAACTCACGATGGTAGGGAAACTCACGATGGTAGGGCAACTCACGATGGTAAGGCAACTCACGATGGTAGGGCAAATCACGATGGTAGGGCAACTCACGATGGTAGGGCAACTCACGATGGTAGGGCAACTCACGATGGTAGGGCAACTCACGATGGTAGGGCAACTCACGATGGTAGGGCAACTCACGATGGTAGGGCAACTCACGATGGTAGGGCAACTCACGATGGTAGGGCAACTCACGATGGTAGGGCAACTCACGATGGTAGGGAAACTCACGATGGTAGGGCAACTCACGATGGTAGGGCAACTCACGATGGTAGGGCAACTCACGATGGTAGGGCAACTCACGATGGTAGGGCAACTCATGATGGTAGGGCAACTCACGATGGTAGGGCAACTCATGATGGTAGGGCAACTCACAATGGTAGGGCAACTCACAATGGTAGGGCAACTCACGATGGTAGGGCAACTCACGATGGTAGGGCAACTCACGATGGTAGGGCAACTCACGATGGTAGGGGAACTCACGATGGTAGGGCAACTCACGATGGTAGGGCAACTCACGATGGTAGGGCAACTCACGATGGTAGGGCAACTCACGATGGTAGGGCAACTCACGATGGTAGGGCAACTCACGATGGTAGGGCAACTCACAATGGTAGGGCAACTCACGATGGTAGGGCAACTCACGATGGTAGGGCAACTCACGATGGTAGGGCAACTCACGATGGTAGGGGAACTCACGATGGTAGGGCAACTCACGATGGTAGGGGAACTCACGAGTGACATCATTCGGAGGAGCAATGCCGTGGGCTGGGGAGGAGGGAAATGAGGGAGAAGGGTGAATGGGGGAGGAAGAGATGGATAGTGGTCTGTGATGGAGGTGAGGGGAGGGGAGGAGAGGGGAGGGGTGAATCAGGCAAATGAAACGCAAAAAATCATGGAAAGAGGGAAGCTGATGGAGGTGGGACAGAAGGAGGAGGAGCGGGGAGAGCAGTGCATTGACGGCACTGTGGCTCAAACGCGAATGCACATGGCAAGTAACGCACAAGATGGGTACGCACACACATGCCCGCGTGCATACACACACATACATAGGCTCAATACCATATTAAAAAGGCAATCATTCCCATGCATAGGCATTTAGTCACTACCTTCTGAGGTGCTGCACGGAGAAATGGAGAGCTGATCGCATCTCCTTCCTCCACCCTTCCCTCCACACGCCCCACGTCGCCCCTCCTCTGACCAGCCCGGCCTTGTCCATCCACACTCGCGTGCTGCTGCTGCTCTTGCTCTTGAAATCGCTCCTGTTCTCTCTCTCGCTCTCGCTCTCTCGACAGTAGAGGTGTGCGCTCTGATGCCTGCGGGGGCGAGGAAGCAAGTGCGAACGGCGGCGCGGCTGCTGCTGCTACTGTTGCTGTTCTTGCTGCTGCTGAGTCTTCTATCGTTGTCGCTCTTGCTGCAGCATATGACGGTGCTGGTGGTGCGGATACAGGGGCAGCTGCTGACGCGTATGCCCTTCTGCCCCCGGCTAGCGTGTGCAGGGGCTGCGCACGAGGGACAGTGGGGGGACGAGAGGTGGAGGGGACGCCGAGAGAGGGATGACGGGAGAGCGAGGAGGTGGCCGAGGACGAGGAGGAGGAGGAGGAAGAGGAGGAAGAGGAGGAAGAGGAGGCATTGAGTGAGGCGTATAGGGATGGAAGGATGGAAGTGAGGTCCGCAGGGAGAAGGGTAGGGGAGGCGGGGAAGGAGGAGGGGGAGAAGGAGAGTGTGGGGAGAATGGAGTTGCTTCTGCCAGCGCCAAACAACGCAGTGGCGAGTGAGGGTGAGAAGGTGCTGACAGCAGCAACAGCCAGACTCGACGGAAAGGCCGCAAGGCTGCTCATGATACTGCCACTGGTCCCCCCCCTGCTGCTACTGCTGCTGCTGGAACTGGCAGCTACTGTCCTGCTGCTGCTGCCGTGGGTGCTGCTGCTGATGGTTGTGCTGGTGGCCGTGGTGCGGGTGGCATTGTTTCTGCTGGTGCGCTGGTGGCTGCTACTGGGTGCAGCACTGCCATCAGCTGCAGTGGGTGATGGAACACTGGGGCCGGCAGCGGGAGCAGCAGCAGGAGCAGCAGGGGGGCCAGCAGGGGGGGCAGCAGGGGGAGCGGCAGAGGGAGCAGCAGTCGGGGTGGTGGTGGCGCTGGCAGTTGTGGTGGTGGAGAACAGCTGCCTCACCGCTGTACTTGGCGGCCTCTGATTGGATGGCAGGGGATAGGGATAGGAAGCAATTACAGGAAGCGAAGACAGGGAGCATTGAATGGTCCGAGAAAGTGAGGCAGACGGGAAGAATGATCCAGGCGGGGATCGGGGAGGAACGAGTCAACGAAAAGTCAGTATGATTGATCCATAGAAGGTAGCGAGAGGGCGACGAGGAGGGATGCGGCTAAGGATGGACGGCACTGCACTGGCCAGGTCGGGATGGGAAACACAGTCCGCACTGCTTCGGCCGAGAAGAAAACCACCCGAGAAGAAGGTCTTGTGCACCGAGCACGAGCTCAGCAAGGATTGGTTCTGTGGGTTACTAATATCCGATTCCACTGCTTCCCTCCTTCCCTCCCTCCCCGCACCTCTTCCTCCCCCCCCCCACCCCCCACCTGAAACGTGCGGTATCCAGGCGACGTGACAAGACCCGCGGATCCGGCAGCAGGCGAGCCTTGCTGCAGCAAAAACGGCGTCGCCTCGCCCGGTGGGCTCGCCATGTCAGCAGCTCAGAGCGGCTGACGACATGCAGGATGGTGAGGACTTTAGAGCTTTGTCTGGCAAGGACGTCATGCTAGTCGCATTATAAGGAAATCGACGGTGTTCTCTCAGCCTATTCATGATAGAAACTACCAGGTAATCAGGTTAGGCGCAGCTGAGTTGCGGTTCAGTTGATCCTGGTCTGGCAAAGGGATTGCCGCGTCTCGGACCAGTTCTCCTCTCTCCCGCCAAATATCACGATTGCTTCGTGCGCGATCAATTGAATGTAGCCAACTTCGCTGCCTCCTGACTCTTTCAAAAAATCGCATACAGTACATTTATCCAATAAGGTGCAATATCACAAATGTTTATGATGTATCCTACAAACTACTTTACTCAATTTGAAATCTCTCTAACATTGCGTGAAAGTGCATGGTAATCTGAATGCAATGACTCTGCAGAAACCCCCTGAAATTCTCCATGTGGTCTTCCATTGTGCACCGTAGCATCTTCTTGTATGCTATTGCTCCACTCACTTCTATGGATTGATCTCAAACTAATACCATAGCATCATCTATGCCATTGTTCCGGCTACCACCTTCCAAAGCCCCACAAGCATAGTGTTTTATGTGCATATATCTAACACATTTTATGCTTGAATATCAAAGTGATGCTTGACACAATCAGTCTATGCTAAACCTCTTAGTACAGAGGTCACAAAGCCAAGCAGCTGCCGATGCACATAAACGTCCTACAGCAGCAAATAAAAGCTTTCAACAAGCTCCAGCCCGGAGCACAGATCAATGTCGGATGCCAAACTATCCAACCAGGCTGACCCACTTGCTCCCTCTAGGTCCCTCTCCTTCATCCCCTCCGCACTCATCCGCCCTTGCACCACTTCTCCCCCCTCCACTGCTCCTCCCTCCACCATTGCAACTTCGCCAGACACAAAAGAGCAGCTCTCTGCACAGCATTTACTGCCCCTCCTCCTGCTGCCACAGCTGATGTTGGTGCAGCCTCCCTGCTGCTGTTGCTGCTCCCACAACTCACAACTACTGTTGCCCCCTACCTGCGAGCAAGGAAGCCCCCCATCCGTGTCATCATCACAGCCCTGCATTCCATCTGCTGCGCTCCCTCTGCCGCTGCCTCTGCCACTGCCACTGCCAGATTCACTGCCGCTGGCCCTGAAACCATCACCATCGCCATCGCTTTCCGACAGCTCAATTCTCTCCCATATGTCCTCCCTCCTACCTGCCTCGTGCCACTCCTGCTGCTCCCCTCGCCTCTCCACCTCCCCTCTACCTGCCACCACTGCCCCTTTGTCTTGAACCATGGCTGCGTTTCCACTCCACTCCACCCCTCTCCCTTCCACTGCACCGCTCGCCACCCCACTTGTCTGTTTCCAAGGCTCAGGACCAAAGCCTTCTGACAGGGCGTGTAGCACGGGCGGCTCAACGCATGCCTGTATTGCATCGCCCTGTAATGGGGACGGCGACAGCCTGGACTTGGTGGTGAGGCCTGCACCCGCTGTTGGGTCAGGGGAGGGCTGGGGGCGTGACTGGGGGAAGGAGAATGGATCGCGGGGAGAGGAGAACGGGGAGCGGAGGAGGGAGAGAAGCGTCGTGGGCTCTGGATAGAAGGTGTTGGTAGAAGTAGTATGGGGGGGAGGAGGAAGAGGAGGAAGAGGAGGAGAGGAGGCGCCTGTTGAGGCAGTTCTGCAATCCTCAACTTCTCCACTGCTGCTGCAGTTGCTGCTGTTGGTGGCATTGCTGCTGGTGGCACCGGTGCTTGCAGCAATAGTGCTCACAGTGGTGCCGCACTGGCACTCTCCTTCATCGCTGCTGTCACTGCGTTGCTGCCCACATCCCTGCTCCACCCTGCCCCTCCCTCCACTCAACCCTTCCCCACCAGTGGTGCCTTCATCCCTCCCATCGTACGTCTCACACCCCCCGCTCCCCCCCCTCGCCCCTCTAACCCACGGGTGCATGACCACCTGCTGTGCGGTGGGTCTGTCCTCCGGCCTCCTCCTCAGCATCCACGCCACCAGCTCCTTCGCATCCTCGCTCACTCCCTCCCACTCCTCCCCACACATCCTCCTCCAAACACCCTTCCTCTCGCCCCTCCCCTCACCCCTCCCCTTGCCACCCCTCTCCCTCTCCCTCTTTCCCTCGTCTACCCCCATCCCTCCATCCCCCCTCTCCCCCCTCTCCCCCTCCTCGCCCTCCTCCTCCCCTTCCAGCGACCCCACCTCAATGGCTCTCAGGATCTCCGCATCCGTCTTGCCATAGTACGGCACATGGCCGGAGAGCATCAGGTACAGCACCACGCCCAGGCTCCATATATCCGCGGGGAAGCCGTACCACCCGCTGGGCACCTCCGGGGCGAGATAGTAGGGGCTGCCGGCTAGCCCCTTGACTAGTTGCCCGGGGGGCAGGAACACCGACAGCCCGAAATCGGCGAGCTTTACTCGGATTGCGGGGGAGAGGAGGGACTGGAGAGGGGAGGCGGCGGAGGGTGGTGGTGGTGGTGCGGGAGTGGGGGGAGGGGGTGAGGGGGAAGATAAGGGGGTTGCGCACTTCCGCGCCTGCGCCTCCTCCTCCTGCTCCTCCTTGCCACTTGTATCTTCCAGTTCCGTAGGTGAGACGTGCGCAGGGTTGGCGGTGGGAAAGGACGCGGCAGAAGTGGCGGATGCGGCGGACGAGGTAAAAGAGGTGGGTGGGGAGAACGACGAGGACGAGGAGGAGGAGGAGGCGGGGGAGGAGGGGGAGGGGGAGGGGAGGGGCGGTCCACGGGCGGTAGCAGGAGCAGGTGGGGGGTTAGGAGATGGGTGGTCGAGTTGGAGCAGGATGTTTTCGGGCTTGAGGTCGCGGTGCAGCACGCCCAGCTCATGGCAGTGATGCACCGCCGCTGCCACCTGATGGGGGAACGCAGAGGGGGAGCACGGGGGACACGGGTGTGAGGGGTGAAGGGGAGAATGGGGGAGACGTGAGGGGACGAGTGAAGGAGGGGCGACAGGGATGCGACGAGATGGAATGGCGTGAGGTGGCGTGAGGTGGCGTGGGAGCGGACCAGTGAGAGAGACAGTGCCAGCGAGAGAGACAGTGCCAGTGGATCAAAGAAGAGGGGTGCACTTCGCGCAAGGAGGTCGCGCGCACCTGCGCCATGACATGTCGGGCCTCGTCTTCCGAGAGGCGACCGCGCGTCACCACGGCGTCGAACAGTTCGCCCCCCGCGCACAGGTCCATGATCAGGTGCACCGCCACCTCGTCCTCCACCACGCCGTGCAGCCGCACGCACCCGCCCCCCGCTTCCCCGCCCCCCGCTCCCCCATCCCCCGCTCCCTCCCCTCTCTCAGCGCACTTGTCTCCTCCACCACGTTTCGCCCCAGTGTCGCCCTTTCCGCCGCCGTTCCGCCTGCGCCCATCGTCTGTCGGCCCCCCGCCACCCCCGCCCACGACGCACATGACGGCCACTTCTCGCCGCACGTCCTCCCTGTCCTCCCTGCTACCAACAAGGGGGCCAGGCGAAGGGGAGAGGTGGGTGGGGGAGGGGGGGAGGGGCGCAAGTGGGGGAAGATTGGTTTGTGGGGCACAAGGGGGCCAGGCGAACGCAAGTGGGCCCACACTCACACGCAAGTGCTCACTCCCTAAGTGCTCACACGCAAGTGTGAGTGTGGGTCGCAAGTGTTTCCATTGATTCGACCTTTCATTGCAGCCAATCCCGTACCGGGCCTTCGTCGGGAGGTCTATACACCCGAGTATTCGTTTAAATAGCACATATTAAAGTCGCATATTTGGTTCCAACTACCCCAAGTTTGGGCCACATTTGTAATGTCGCACAGAGAGCGAGTCCCGTCGAACGTGGGTTTCTCAGGGAAGCGACTGCATAGCGTTACAGTCACCACGCAGATCAAACAATCGCTGCTGCCCCAAGCGAAACCGACGATTTAAACGAATACTTGGGTGTACAGGCACAGACTGCTGGGCGCACCAACCACTCCAAACCCTCCCCAGCCCCACCCAACCGTACCAGTATCGGAGCTTCGCCTTGTCAATCGACTTGCACGCCAGCAGCCGCCCCGTGCGCCTCTCCCGGCACACGCGCGCGCACCCGAAGTGCCCGCTGCCCAGCCGCTCCCCCACCTCGTACTCCTCCTCCAGCCGAGCCGTCTCCTCCGCCAGCACGCGGTACCTATCAGCTGCCGCCGCCACGTGTCCGCCCACGAACGCCGGCCGGCCGCTCGCTGCGTTTGCTGCCACCGCCGCTGCTGCTTTTGCTGCTGCTGCCGCTGAACGCGACGGGAAGGACGGCGAGGAGGAGAAGGAGGAGGAGGGCGCGGAAGACGCTGACGACGCGCAGTCGTCTCTCGTTAGCTTCGCCTGAGTCACCTCTCCTATTTCTGCTCCCCGGTCCGACCCAAGGTCTTGCTCCCTCGCCTCTTCCTCTCTCCTCCGCCCTGTCTCGTCCTCGTCCCCCGTATCGCCGAACAGCAGCCGCCCGACAGGCCTCCCCCACTTCCGCCCATTGCTGCCACCAACGGCCTTGGTCTCACCGAACAGAAATCCAGTAGACTCCCCTTCCCCCGCGCTTCCCCCCCAGATGTCCCCCCAGGTTCGCCCCCCCCCCGCGCGCCTCCCAGCCGCCGCTGTGCCGGGACCGCCCGCGTCATGCGGCGTGAGAACCGGAGGGGTGAGCAGAAGCGGCTCGGGGGGATGGAGGGCGCGGGGGTGGAGACTCGGGGACTGGGACTGGGACTGGGATTGAGATTGAACGAAAACGCCGTTGCTTGGAGTGCGGTTGCGGGAAGAGGAGGCGGAGGGGGGGGAGGAGATGGGCGGGGAGGAGGCGCCGCAGGTGAAGGGGGAGAAGAGGAGCGGGCGGAAGGGAGCGGAGAGGTTGGGGGAGAAGAAAGAGACGGGCGGGGAGAAGGTGGGGGTTTGGGGAGACGGCGGCGTGAGCGGCGAGAAAGGGTCCACGTCAGCATCGAGATTGCCGGGGTCCTTCGGGCTCGCGAAGGGGGTTTTCACAAGTGCTGCCTCTTCTTGCGACGCTTTCGACGATTCTTTGTCAGGCGACGCTTTTCCCTGGAGACGCGACGAGTGGGAGTCGAATCCCACGGCTCGGGGCTGCTGCGATCCGACGTTAATCGACGCGGGCAGAGGCCAGAGCGTCTGGTCCGCCGGGCAATGCGGCGGGCTGGGGAGACCAGTGTAACGGCGCTTCGTGCGCACGGAGGAGAGGAGCGCGTCTTTAAAGACCGGGTGGTATGTGGCGACATCCTCGGGGCGCACTCCGAAGGTCATGTTGAGCCAGTCCTCTGCGCTCCGCAGCAGCATTGACTCGGAGATTAGGAGGCCCATGAGTGATGCCTAAGGTGATTTTGGTATAGCTCCGCAACAACAGCGAATACGGGAGGGTCTAACATGCGCTGCCACGATATGCGGATCTGGAGACGGAGAAATCTGGCAGAGTGTGGCGAACCCGAGGAATCGGCTAAGACGGGGTGAATTCCTGTGATCCTAGCTTCCGCATGGAATCTCGAATCATGATGGAGGGAAACAGTACCTACACAGATAGGACAGGTGACAAAAAGAAACCATGGCCCTGCTTGCAGTTGGCGGTGCGTCAAGGGGATTGATGACGAGGCGGAACACGAGCAGAACTGAAATCCGAAGCCGCGGCGCGCATCGAATTTGTTTCATCGAGGCGCGCTCATAGCTGGCTCAGGCTGGTCTCTGTGATGGACGGAACGAAAGGTAGTGCGTGTGAGAGGGCAGGATGGCGTCGCATGCAGGCGCGAGGTTTCGCGAGTGGCCGTGAAGTGAAATGTGATTTCTTTTCGCTAGCGCGCCGCCTGCAACACTCTGTCAGCTGATAATAGCGCGGCCACTCTAATGATGCCGCGTGGATGGGTAGAAATTGGTGCCCTCATGCGCTCTGTTCAGGTTTCAGAGACTGGGGCTCTCTGTCGCGGGAAATCCGTCCAACACGCTAAAGGACTTTTCCAGAAGCTGAAACTGTTACGCCAAGCCTATACTTTCATGCTAAACTGTTATGCTGAATGCAATGCAATGCAACTACTCTTACACAAAAATGTCGAGATAAGTCGTCATTGTGATGCCACAAAGCGAAGTTATGACACAATTCATTCTCATAAGTTTATTGCTGATAGGAATTCTTGTGAAAATAAGGGTGTGATACATGTACGTCCCTCGATGATCGAATTGGTACCATTCAGCGCATGATGAAGGTCTTGGAACCAGTGGTGGTGGGAGTTCTGGAGCATGAGGGCACAACGACACACAGTAACTTGGTGAGAAGATCGCATGAGGGACATACTAGGACGGGATGGGGGGAGTTGAGCCTGGTTTAGAACATTGTCTACTAAAACAGTAGTACTATTGTGCATGGCAAGCTGTGTAAAACTATTTGGTAGAGTGGGGAGAGAAGGGGATAGGAGAGTGCTCGGCTGAGAAACAGAGAGCAAGCATACGAGTGAACGAGAGAGCGCGAGAGAGGGAGAGATAAACGAGAGTGAGTGAGGGAGGGAGCGAGCTTACTTGTAAGACAGATCAATATCGAGGAAGCGGTTGCACTCCTTATTGGGAGCAATGGAGACATGGCCGCTGATGACGTCATCCTGGTGTACGGGGTACATCTCTCCCACATAGAGCACTGTCTGATGGCGGCAGCACACACAGGCGAGAGAAGGGGGAGTTCCGTGTGAGGGAGGAATGGACGGGGGAGAGAGATGAGGAGAGATGAGGAGAGATGAGGAGAGATGAGGAGCGATGAGGAGAGATGAGGAGAGATGAGGAGAGATGAGGAGATGCGGAAATAGGTGTCAGGGGGCATGGGAGGAGAGTTCGGTAAGGTTGGCACCTGCATCCAATGTGTTGGCGGGTCCTCCGGTGCCGTGGAGAGCACCACACTGTCCGTCACCATCGCATCTGCAGTCTCACCCGCCCCACCTTCCCCACCCACCCCACATGCCCCGGCCGTCCCAGCCGCTGCCGCTGCTGCCGCCACAGCAGCACCGTCAATCTCAGTAACAGCAGCAGCAGGAGTGGCAGCAGCAGGAGAGGCGGCGGGTGGTTGAGCATGGTTGTGCGAAGGGAGTGTGGTGGGATGGTCGTTGAACTCCACCGAGAACCAGAAGGCAAAGCCGGTGAGCGGCGCTGCTCACACAAGGGATGGGGGGGAGGTGGGGCGGGGGTAGGGAAGTAGGGAGGAAGGAGAGAGAAAGGAGAGGCAACGCAATGAGGAAGTCAGTCCTGAGAGTACTCCAACGAACACATGCGCGGTCAAAAGGACGCACAACAATCAGTCACATCCACTCACACACCACCACGCACTCACACACTACCACCCACTCACACACCACCACGCACTCGCACAATAACACCCACTCACACACTATCATGGACTTGGAGGAGAAATCAGCCTGAACAAGTTGCAGGTCCTCCTCTGTGACCGTCGCACAGTCTATGCGCTTCACCTGGTTGGCGCCCGCCACAACCATGCATGCATGCATGCACACACATGCGCAATGGAAGGAATGGCAATGCACACACACACACACACACACACACACGCACACGCACACCCACACGCACACGCACACGCACACGCACACACACACACACGCACACACACACACACACACACACACACACACACACACACACACACACACACACACACACAATGAGAAACACATGCAGAGACAAAAGCGCACGCGTGCGCACACAGCAGGGAGAGCAGAACAATTGCGCGTTTGAGTAAACCCTCTGAAGGTCGCATCAATCAGTAAACCCTCACCACTCATCCCATGGAAACCCTCAGCCCTCGCTGCCGTTACTGCCCCTGTGCACCCCGTGCACCCCGTCGTGCACCCCGTCGTGCACCCCGTCGTGCACCCCGTCGTGCACCCCGTCGTGCACCCCGTGCACCCTGTGCATGCAGGTGTCTCACCACAGCGGGGTCCCCCAGCACGTGCTCCGCAGTGATGCTCTCCACACACGGGTCCGAGAAGTAGCACCGCTTCGCCAGGGGCACCAACGCGGACACTGGGGGGGGAAGAGGAGAGGTGGGAGAAGGGAGAGGTGGGAGGGACGGAAGGGGCAGAGGGAGCAGCGTAGTTCCAAGTCATCTCTCTACACACGGGTCCGAGAAGTAGCACCGCTTCGCCGGCGGCACCAGCACCGACACTGGGGTGTGGGGTTGGGGAAGTGCGGGGAGGTAGGGGGGCGGGGGAGGAGGAGCAGTGAGATGCAGCAAGAGGAGGGCAGTCGAAGGGGAAGAGAGGGGAGAGCAGCGCACAGGGCAAGGCGGAGAAGTGGAAGAGAGGAGGATGTAATGGCGGAGCTTCGGGCTTCAGACACCGGTTGTACTGGCGACAATTCAGGTGTACGATTCAGGTGTACGGGCACAACTTGTTCTTAGTCGATCACCACAATGGGTACGGCGATTCAGGTGAGCTGTCCAATAACACCTGACTGTCATTCAGTGCATAGGATCCACTGAGACCCCTAACCCAACGTGGTCCCAGTACTGAATGACATGCTCTCTATCCCTTTCCTGATCGGAGCAGTGGGTTGCAAAACAGGGGGTTGGGTGGCGTGGGTGGGGTGCAAAACAGGGGGTTGTTGTGCGGTGCTGAATGTTGTGCGTAGAGTCACTAAGCACTTGGAGACTCACTGTCTATGCCGTGCACATCGCGCCAGAACGCCGTGCCGTCTTCGAACCTGTCTTCACACGACACAGGCGCAATGAACAGCTGCACCGCACCGCACCGCACAGGGAACAACACAACAGCAGGCACGGACGTATGGGGGAAGGGTGGGAGGCAGGTCCGGGTTGTGAATAGGGAGAAGTCGCCAAATGAACAGCTTTGCAAGATGGGGGTGGGATTAGAGATGTAGCAACGACCGGAGGTCATGGTAGAGTATGTTAATACAGCAAAGAGAGGCATGACATGACATAGCATGGCATGGCATGGCATGGTATGGCGGGTGGCATGGCATGGCATGGGGTGGTGCGTGACGTACATACGGTGGCATGCGATGGCAGGATGAGGCCTCCTGGCTTCAACAGGCGATCCCTAGCCGTTATGACAGCAGGCAGCATTGTCTGAGTGAGATGGGTAAGGGGCAGGGAGGGAGGAAGAATGAGGTAGGGGAGAGAGAGAGTGGGGGAAGTGGAACGAGAGGGGTAGGTAGGGCCGGGAGAGGAATGAAGATGAACACAAGTGACAGAATAGCACAAGAGGGATAGGGGTGGAAACAGAGGGAGGGAGGGAGGGAAGGAGGGAGCAAGGGCGAGGGTGGTAACGGGGCAATGGTAACATTAATTCACGTGACGTATAGAGCACCACTTAGGCGCCATGGCTTTACGTGGCAGTGGCTTGAAATATTTGAAGTAGCAGAAATTTGCTTGCAGTAAAAAAATCCTTTTGTATAAAAAAGTGGTGGTAACGGGGGCATGGTTTCATGTGACGGCAAAAAATTACCTCGTAGAGCAGCATGTACCCCATCCATTCCGATACAAGCACATCCGCCTTCTCCTCTAGCTCCACCTCCTGATAGAGTCACACACAGCCAGGCAGACGGAGGAAGAGTGAGGGGGCGGAGTAGAGGCAGGCATACGTGCTGGCATGAGGGAGGGAGCGACTGAGAGGAACCGACTGGGTGCTCCGCGCCCCTACCGGCCCCGCCCCTGGCCCCCCTCTCACCTCCACTCTCTTATGAAGGACTGTGATGACGTCAGCCAGCCCATTGGCCTGCACCACCTGCTGTGCCTGATAGTGGTAGGAGGGAAGACAGTGCCAGAGAGGGGTGGTGGGAGGGTGGTTGCGAGAGAGAGAGAGAGAGAAGGGAGGTTGGCGAAAGGAAGGGGAAAAGGAGGGCACAGGGAGTGAACATGGGCGATAGACGTGAGGGGGAAAGGCGGTGCGTGGGGAAGAGAAAGGAGGCGGCGAGAAGCGCGAGAAAGGGAATGAGGCATAGTGGGTGGGAATGGCGTACATGGATGGCGATGTCGCTGGCGTCAATGGCATACACCTGAGGGCGAGCCCGGGGCGGAGAGGGGGCGACGGAAGAAAGCGGGGAAGGGGAAAGAAGAGGGCACATGAGAAAAGACGAAGAGAGAGTGGTAAGCATGTGTGGTGTGAGTTTGGCCATGCGAAGCAGGTAGAGTCCGCCATGCCAAACCACCTGCCCGCCTGCCTGCCCCTGCCTGCCCGTCCGCCTGCGTGCGTGCGTGCGTGCCTGTGCCATGCCTACATCAACCCGCGGCCCATGACCACCATGCGTTCTGCATCCATCCTTTCCTCTTTCCCTTTACCCATCCTTCCTATTCTCAGTCACTCCCTCCTACCCGCACCTTCCTACGTCCCCCTGCGTGCTCCTCCCCACTCCCACCTGCGCGCACCTCCCCATTCCCCCCTGCGCGCACCCCCCCCGCTCCCCCCTGCGCGGAGATCACCTTCCGGGCGCCGGCCCGCGCGGCGAAGATGCTGAGGATGCCCGTGCCGCACCCCACGTCCACCACCACCTTGCCGCGGATGCGCTCCGCGTGCCGCATCAGCGCGTCCCGGTACGCGCACGTGCGCTCCTCGTCCTGCGCGGGCGGGGGGTTGCGGGGTTGGGGGGCATGAGGGGGGGGGAGACAGGGGGAGGAAGGGGGAGACGAGTTGAGTAGGGTAAGAGAAGGGGGAGAGAGGTGGAGGAGTCAAATGCGGGGACTCTCGGATAGGGAGAAAGAGTATACTCTCAGATCCACGTCAGATCCAGCTCCACCTTGATCACACAGGTAAAGCATGCGCGCATGCAAGTATCATCATGGCCATAGATATTGACTGTCACGCGGAATGCAGGAGACGAAGGAACGAAGGCGAAAAGAGCAAGGCGTGGCATCAGGGTGCAGGGTTTGGGTTCAGAGGTTCGGGGTTTAACTCGGCGCACGAAGCGGTGTGAATTACGCCGTTGGAATCTCAGGCTCAAACAGGTAGTCTCAACGCGAAAATAATTGTCAAGTGTGTCCATGGCGACGCAATCGCTTGACTATGGCCAATACACGACGCCTGTACACGCTTGTCCAGTGGCAAACTCCCTGGCAATAATCTGACGCCCACCTGAATCATCTCCTGGTGAATTCCCAGGTTCGCGTAGCTATCGAAATAAAGCTTCTCCGTATCAGCCGCTAGCGAGCTCCCAGCCGCTACGTTACCACTAGCACCCTCCCCCGCAAGGGACGGGTTGGCAACGCGGGACGCATCTCTCTCGGCCCAGCCTCGTCCGCGTCCTCTGCTCCCCGTACGCAGCGCACGGAAGGTAGCCATGGATGTTCTAACGCGAAGTCAACTTCCTACGGTGAGATGGAAGGAACCACAAGGCTGCTTGGATGGATGCTGGTCTGCTGCTGCAGCTCTGCCAAGTTGTGCAACCAGCTGTACTGGCAACAAAAGCGCTTACAGACCACCATTTTGATGTGGGCATCCTTATGCAGGCTAGGCTGTTTGAGATAACTTTAGTCAACTATTATGGCCATTAGATTATAGGCATCAAATCGCTGGATATTATAATATGTTCAAATCCCGCTTCTCAATTCACCCAACATTTGGACAGATCTGGAAGTTGCGGACACATCATTAAACCTAGAAATGTATGTGGTTATATGACAAAGTGATTTGCTTTAGTACTTCCCTTGCAACGGGGTTGTTGTAGGAGCATGTATGAACAAGGTCTTGATTGCAATAGTAAGTGTCAACATCAACAGAGAAAGTCTATTCAGGTTCAGGTGTCTTCATTTTTGTCGTTTGTATTAACGATTATTAGGACGAAATTTTATGAGAAAACGGAATACCATAAAAATAAAACCCTTAGCGAACCCGCATGCCGATCTGGATGGGTTAACCCTAACCTCGCGGACCGGTTCCCGTGTTTAGGGTTGATGCCCCCCAATTTCTTTGTCAGTGCACACTGGGTATTAGTTTTGTTTTCCCTGCCCCGACAGATCACTTCGTAGTCTAGCCTAGTCTTTTTGATTTCATTTTCCATTACAGCCCAGCTCGCGGACAGGTCACTAGTGCGTCATCATTTCACCAGCAGGTTGGCATTTCACCACTGGAAACCGCTTACTGTACCAGCAGCATTTCGAGAATGGACACCTGAATTGCCCCTACCCACTGCTCTGAATGTACTCGGCCAATATCGTTCAAACTCAAATTATGCCCCGAACGCTGTTCAGGCGTGATCCCTTTTGACTTTTGTGATACTGTTACAGCAGAGCTTTGGCCTGGCTCGTCACCACCCCAACCACCCCTTCCCTGGTGACGCGGCTGTGCTATGCTTGGCTGGCGGGTCAACAGCACGAATGCTGCAGTTCCGCCACTTGCGACGAAATCAGATTCGTTCAACGAATTTGTCGTCTGGTCAGAAACAGGCGGACAAAAAATGTCACACCTCGTTCTCGACCTTTGCACAAGCAGCGCAGGCTCAAAACGCGCAACACAAATAATAAGGAAACCCCTTTTCGTGGTCTCACGGAAAGGGCTAAATGGAACGAAAATTTTGAGACTTTATTGAGTGGTTTCGTTAACCAACCACACGTTTTTACGAAAGCAAAAAAGACCCCCTTGACAAAATCATTTTCGGAATGTGCAGTTGTTAATGGTGATTGAGAGAAAGAGGGTCGTGTTTTCATATTCAGGACGGACCTGTTCGTGTCACGCGGGAAGCCTGAATACTTGCATGATTGGTTCTAAAAAAATAGAAAATGCCTCGAATGCTATTGACACGAGGATTAGAATAGGACCTTCATCTTAAGACAGACTAGATGAAAGTGTTTGCACAGTACACGTGCCTGCGTACAGCTTGCCGATTGTCCAACTGGCGATATTTAATTGGTCGTTGGGTCGCCATCTCGATTGCGACCCCAGTTTATTGCGACTGAGTAGCATACATGGCGGTATTGGATTTCGCGAAATTAATCTGTGACTTTCGTCCAGCCACTCTCAAATTGCAAGGAAACTCGGCAGAAATTTCATTGGCAGACGGGGACACTTTGCGACGTTGACCGAACGCACTACAGCCGCACTCCGTACGTTCGGAGTATAGGGTGTTGAATCCTACCGAATTATGGACGGTAGGATATTATCTGGACAAAAATGTCAATGACTTAATGGCATATCCGCTGTAGCACAGTCGCATCACCAGAGAAGGGGTGGTTGGGTTGGTGGCGAGCCAGGCCAAAGCTCTGCTGTAACAGTGTCACAAAAGTCAAAGGGATTACGCCTGAATACTTTTCGGGGCATAGTTTGAGTGCGAACGATAATGGCCGCCAACAGTTGGCATGCGTGTTATTTCGGTGTCCTGAGCTGCTGCCACATGGATGCTTAGGTGCCATGTGTTGTCTTTGCAGAGCGCTGGTTGGTCAGCCGCTTATACTGCATTTTTTTTAGCCAATAGCGAATCCTCTTGCAAAATTCTTCATCCACGAACGATTCACTCCCCGTCATCTCTGACGTCTTCTTGGGCGTCAAAGCACCATGTCAGCAAAGATAGCTCCTCCGCCTTCCGCCCATCCGGCAAACGAACGAACCGCCGCCACCTTGTGAGGTGGTGGGCACGAACTTTCATCGCTGCTCAATTCCATCGGACGGCAGCGAACAATCATGCGACGCTGAGGCGTCGGACAAAGTCGTCAAGCACAATCGCATTCGAGGGGTTTCTAGGGGTTTTCGTGTTTCCTGCGAGGACTTGCCTGCGACTGCACACTCTGAGTCAATCGCGGTTCGGATGAAGATAAGGCGAAGGGAGAGTGACTTGACGACTGGCGGCGGTGTGGCGTGGTGTGGCGCTTGGGTTGGGGGGGGGGGGGGGGGGTGTGCTGGAAGAGCTGGGCAAGGGCCCTTGGGAGGTTTCAGCTCAAATTAGATCCGTTGAGCTCTTGAAGGCCAAATCTTCTTGGGAATCCCACTTTGTTTTGCAAGCCACTCTTTGCAACCAAGCCACTTCTTGACCAGAGGAAGGCAACCAAGCCATACTGGTATTTCTGGACTGTGTTTGAAGGCACCACTGTTATACCAGTTTCCTAATAGCCACTCGAGAGGGAGGTCTAGCACTTCGTCTGTTCTAGTCACCTAATAGCACCGTTCACCCCTAGCATTTTGAGATGGCGACAAAGTCGAGCCGTCCGACATGGATGCGAGTCATTCTGATCGCAGTAGACGGTAGCGAGGCCAGCAAGAAAGCCATGAGTTACTCGATAGACAACATTTTCGATTCGAAGACGGACTACGTCATCATCATGTTCGTCAGGCCCAAGTTTGACGGTAATTCTCTTATCGCAATACTTTTACGTAGAGAAGCCATGTGCGGTTCATCCACGTTATCCTTGATTGTCCCTTGAGTTATCGTTCGTCACTTCCAGGAGAAAATGCTTACGTGCTTATTTCAAACATTGCGGCCTTAGGTTCCTTGAACAACATATTTCTCCTTTGTCAGGAGCTGCTCTTGGCATGTCTACATTTCTCTGTGACATGGTGTCCATTTTGTCGATTCTTATGACATACTCATTCTGTCAGCTACGTTTCTGGCTCCTTACCTTCCCCCGTTTCAGCTTCCAGCGCGGAATTTCAACGGTCCGAGTCGAGCATTGCGGCCAAGGCAGGAGATTTACTCGACGAGGCGTCGGCGGAGGTGAAGGCGGCTCACCCGGGCATTCAGGTGGAGTCTATGCTGGGCGAGGGAGACCCGCGAGACGTTATCTGCAACCGCGCCAGCGAGGACTTTGTCGACTTCATCATCGTCGGAAGCCAGGGCAAGACTGCTCTTACGGTACGAGACAGCCTGTTCACTAAAATCTGTGTCCCTACTTGTGGGTGTTCGCCGGTGCACGTACGTGTGTCCCGCGTTTGGTCCCCGGCCTCTCGCGTGCTACTGTTCTCCGGGTCTACGTCTGGCATTTGAAAGGCAGGCGTGGTTTTCGAGGAACGGCAAGTGTAAGGGTTGTGTCGTGCTTCGACATTGAGAGAACAAAAACTTTTGGCGAATGGAATTGCTCGTCACAATCGCGCCATCCTACTGGTTCCATTCCGTACACGCCATTTCTGGCCCTGCTCCAACCTCTTGCTCAACCATTGCTCCCTTCCTGTATCCCTGTCACCGGCATCTTTACCCCTCGCACTCGACACCTTCTCTTCCTTTCCTTACTCTCGTCGTTCAGCTCCGTGCCTCCTTTTCTCTGTCCTTTCATTTCTCCCGGCTCGTCCCCTCCTCTCCACCTTTCTCGTCAACTCTGCTTAAAACTGCACCGTAAGAGAGTGACGGTTGTAGGAGAAAAACAAGGGACCGGGAAATGAAAACGAGAAGAGGTCAAAGAATATAATTAATCTTCTCAGCTCGACAATGAAGCTAATGATGCTGCAATTCCGCTCCCATACGTGCCCCCTTTCAGAAAGCAATGATGGGAAGTGTGTCTCAGCACCTGCTGCACAATGCACCATGCCCTGTGCTGGTGTACCCATCATCTGGAACTGATGCTGTCAAGCGCAGCACATCTGCATGGGGTGGTGCTCTGAAAATGCTCAAAGGCGTTGCGTCTTCTGTTTCTTCTGTTACCTCATCAGTTGCTTCTGTGAGCTTGGGGCCTGGTTCTTCCAAGGGTCAATAGAGATTCAATGCCACATTGGAACTTTTAGTTATCATGCAGCATATCATAATCAGGGTAAATTGTGAGGAATGGTAGGATTATGCCTATGAAGTTATGAAGTTAGGTTCTTAGAAAGTGGGTACTTTGCCTAGTAGTGTAATATGCTGTGAACTACATTGAAAAAGAACCAACTAAATCTTGACTATTTGTGCCTGTTAGCCTCTGCTATTTGAAAGTGCGGAGTACCAACTTATAGAGAGACCTTTCACTGGTTCGTCAGATCGCGGCTGATGATAGGGCGATCGATGGCAGGGGCCAGCTTCCCGCCGGTACCCTGAAATTAGCGCGAAGCGACTGACATGCCAGACCCAGCCAGTAGGGAGTGAGGGGAGGGATTCCCGAATGTCTGGATTTCTGTTCTGCGAGCGAGTGCCTGAATTGCTGAGTCTCGGACTCAGATTTCCTTTCTCCAAAGCGATTCCCAAGGCGCCATCAAGCCAATTCACTCCCCCAATTTGATTCCTGGAAACAAATCCCGAGGACTTGCTTGAGTCCCTGTTCCCAAAATATCAGGATTCCCTCTATTCCTAGATGCTGTTTGGGCTAACTAGTCGTTATCGGTCGAGGCACTCTAGTGAGTCGTTATCAGTCTTTGTTTTCTATTGATTGAAAGTCGGTGTCTCCCTAAGCAGCTAAGCAGCTGAAGTGACGCAGACACATTCAAGCTTTCGCGATTCAGGCGTTGTTCTCCACTGCATTCCCCCAGAAATTCCATACGGTAATGGCACAAGCCGCCATGACACAGCCGTTGGATCCTAATGCCGAAAAGGCTATTGACGAACACCAGGACATCACCGAGAAGGGCCCATCCGAACCTCAAGTCTCTGATCCCGTGGCACCATCGGGTAACGACGCAACTAGGATAGCAGGCAACGGCGAGCTCCCATCCAACCCCTCCTCCTCCTCCTCCTCCTCCTCCTCCTCCTCCTCCACCGCCACTTTACCAATCAAGCCGATGCGCGTCCCGGTCGTAGCAAGCCCGCCAGTCTCCCACCCGTCTCACCGCGAGAGCGCAACACGGCAGAGCATTGGCAAGCCTTCTCGCGGCAGAATGAGTCCTCAGGCTCAGGCGTCCCCGCAGCCGACGTGGTTCCCGCGGACGAAGCTCGAGCCGTACCTCACGCGGAGACTGCGCGAGCTGCAGGTGCGAACCCCCTACCGAGGATCAAGTAGCTTGTCCTTGTCCGTCTTCGCCATCCTCGTCCGTCTTCGCCATCCTTGTCGGTCTTCGCCGTCCTTGTCCGTAAATCGTAAATCCATCTACGCTGGGCGTTCTTCTTGTGCCCTGAACGTCATTCCCGTCGCCCGTCTGCGTCTTGTCGTCCTCCTCCCTTGCAGCTGCTGCGTGCGAGAGAAATGGTTTCCAGTTGTTAAGTGCTTCAGAATCTCGCAACCTATCGTCCCTAATGACTCACTCCCCCCTGCATTCCTATCCTCCCACTGACCACTGATGGTCGTCTGGTCACGGCAGGAGGAGGTGGGACCGCAGCCGCCGTTGGAGCAGCTGCTCATTCCCAGCAAGCTGGGTCGGCTGGAGCGGGAGAAGCAGGAGGCGGCTATGGCGGCCAAGCGAGCCTCGCAGCGACGCCAGGTGGCGCTCGTGGAAGCTTCGTGGTGCCGCATACTCGACGCAGCCGGGTAGGAGGCCTTACCTGTTTCCGTTTTTGCCGCTCGTAACTCTACTCCCTCACCCCTGCGTTCTACTTATACTCGATTGAATTCGATCATTCGTACGATCGCCATTCTATTCCCATGCTCCAATACTAAGAAACCATTCGTTCTTTTCTGTGTCCTTGTGTGCCAACTCCAATACCCCATTCTCCGCCAACACCCCGACGGCAGCATCCCGTCTTTCGCGGCGCTCGAGGTGGCGCAGCAAGCGGAGGAGGAGGCGCACGAGGCTGTGCTGGAAGCCGCCAGGCTCGGCGTTGTTCTCGATCACGCCGCTGCCAGCAGCAGGAGCCGAAGCGGCAGTCCCCGTGCAGCCGCTGCCGCCGCCGCCGCCGCCGCAGCCGCTTCGGGCTCGGCCTTCTCGGCCGCCGCCGCCGCAGCAGCCGCCGCTGCCAGCGCCGCGGACGATGAGCTGATGGCGGCGTCCGCGCTTGCCGGCGCGGCTAGCTCTCGCGACGTGATTCTGACGTCAGTGTCGACGGCGCAGGCGGTGGAGAAGGAGGTGGTGGTGGCGGTGATGAAAGCGCTGTCCCGCGTGGGGAACATCCGAGCCGAGGATGGCATGGTTGACTTCGTTGACTGGGAGGTGAAGGAGGGGGAGGAGGAGGAGAGGGAGGAGGAGAAGGAGGGGGAGAAGGAGAAGGAGAAGGAGGAAGGGAAAGGGGAGGTGTTGGGCCAGGAGCATAGTCATGTTGAGGCCGAGAAGGGTGACGAAGGAGGCGAAACGGGAGAGAATGGAAAGGAGTCAGGCGAGGAGATGGGTACGGGTACGGAAGAAGGGGAAGGAGAAGTCGTAGAGAGAGAGGCAGGCGAGCTGGGTCTGAATTCAGGGAAGGGGGAAGTGGAATCTCACGGGAAGGGTTCCCAGGAACATGTGATATCTGAAGTACAGGCGACCGAGGCTAGTTCGGAAGCACAAGACGCTATGATGGCGGCAGCAGCTGCAACGGCAGAGCGGGGCGTAGCAGCGGAAGGGCCGACTGCAGAAGCGGCAGCGGAAGAAGGGGGGACAGTCGCAGGGGCAGGGGCAGCGGGAGCGGCAGCGGAAGCGCACGGGGAGGAAGATGCGGGGGAGGCGGAGGGGAAGGAGGACGAGATGGACGTTCCCGCGGTGATCGCGGAGCGCGTACTTGCGCTCAACCGCAGCCATCGCACGGCGCTCGCCGCCATTGTGGCCTCGCGCGGAATGGTCAACGGGCTGCTGCAGGGGCTGCGGAACGGCCGCCGCCAGTCCTTCTCCGCCTCCGCCTCCCGCCGCCAGTCGCTCGCCGCGCTCTCCCAGCCTGGCGGAACGGGTGACGCGGGGTTGGCGCAAGCGGGGGCCGCGAGCGGATTGGGGCGAGGGGGACAGGCGGAGCGGAGTGCTGAGCAGCTTAAGGAGGCGGGAGGTGGCGGAGCAAGTGGGGCGGAAGCGGGGACTAGTGGCGGCAGTGGTGATCTTGGGAGCATTTTCGTAAAGAAGCTGTCACGACTGGAGAGGGAGAAGGCTGCCGCAGCAGAGGAGAGGAAGAGGGAGGAGGAGGAGAGGCGGAAGGCCAAGGCGGAGAAGAAGGGCGGGGAGAGTGTGAGTGGAGTGAACGTGGGGTGGGGAGGCGAGGGGCTGGGCAGCGGCACGAAGCACGTGCCCCGGATGGAAAGGGAGCTGGCTGCAGCACGAGAGGCAGAGAGAAAGGCGCGAGGGGGAGGTGTGGGTGCTGCTGCACCTGGTGCTGGTGGTGGCAGTGGCGGTGGTGGGAGCAGAGTGGGGAGGAGAGAGAGGGTGGAGGTGGGCTCTGTCCCCTCCCTGGAGTCTATGCTCGTGAAAGGCAAGAACAGGCTGCAGCGAGAGAAGGAGGAAGCGGCAGCTGCTGTGAAAGAGGCTGGGGGGTCAACTGGTGCGGACAGTACAAGCAGGGGAGGGCCGAGCGGGAAAGGAGTGGGGAGGAGGGAGAGGGTGGAGGTGGGGTCGGTGCCAGGGCTCGACAGTATGCTGGCGGTGAAGCATAAGAGCAAGCTGGAGCGAGAGATGGAGGAGGAGAGGAAGCGGTGGGGGGAGACCCAGGGCGGCAGCAGCAGTGCGGTAGGAGCAAGTGGGGGGCGTGGGGGTGGGGCAGGAAGTAGGCAGAATGGAGGGAGGAGGGAGAGGGTGGAGGAGGGGTCGGTGCCAGGGCTGGGGGAGATGCTGGTGAAGCACAAGCACCGGCTGGAGAGGGCGAAGGAGGAGGCAGCCGCGTGGGGTAGAGGCGCAGGTGCGGGAGAGGGTGGGGACGGAGAGAGTGGGGGTGCACGTGCAGGAGGTGGGAGTGGTGCGGTGGAGGATGCTGGGTGGGGTGGGTGCGGGCTGGCTGATGTGCTGAAGAAGCCAGTGGCGCAGGGGGATGCAGGAAAGGGAGGGGTCGGTGGTACCGAGGGTGACACTGCTGCTGAGGGTACACCGGACGGAAGTGGGAAGGGTGGGGTGGATGAAGGCGAGAATGAGAAGGGGAGTGTCGACAGCAGCAGCAGAGAGAGTGGTGGTAATGATACTGGGGTGGAGAATGGGCATTCTGAGCAGAAGCAGCAGCAGCAGCAGCTGCAGGGCGCAGGGCTGGGAGAGGGAGCAGTGAGGAAGATGTCTAGTCTGGAGCGGGAGCAGATGGAGGCACGTGCGCTGAGGGAGTGTGTGGGCGAGGCGGGCAACGGGGGGGGTGGCGTGAGGGGCAGCAGCAGTGCGGGCAAGGCTGGTGGTGGCAGGGCGGAGGACGCATGGGGAGGCGTGGGGCTGGGCGACACTCTGAAGAAACACGTCTCGAAGATGGAACAGGCTAAGGTATGTGCGATGTGTGATGGGGGATGGGGGATGGGGGATGGGGGACGTGGACAGGGGGAAGCAGGGGCGGTGTAATATGGACTGGAAGGTAGAAGAAACTCCCTTTTATTCGCTGCTAGTCTTGGCCCATTCCATCATATGAGGTTGCAGGCTCGTGCTCGTAATGAGAATTGTGTTGGTGGTGGTGGTGTCTGTGTGCATTGCTCGCATGCATGCGTGGTTTGAATGAGATGTGCAGATGGCGTGGGAGAAGGCAGAAGCAGCAGCGCGTGAGAAGGCACTGAACTAGTGGGAAGGCGTGGCTGTAGCGTTAAGGCATTGATTGCTGCCGTGACAGCTGGACTGGACGGATCCATAACTCCACCTTCCAGCTGGACTGAACGGTTGACCACCCTCCACACTGTCATCAGGCTACTGTTCTTGCTGCAACTCCTCCGAACCGTCCTCCTCTCCCCCACCTACGTACTGCAGTCCCAATCTGCTCTTTGCTGTGGGGTTTTAACACCCACCCCTCACCCCACTCCACCTCCCCCTTCCCTCGCCTCACTCCATCCCTGAGCTACACACTTTTTCATCCTGCATCCTCTATATCCCTCCCCACAATGTAGGTGTAGGTGTACTTTTTCCGACTCTTAAACAGATGTAGGTGTTGAGAAAGCTCGCTACCTAATGCCATCAGATCCGGCTCTAGTTCCAGTGCTTTGACAAAGTACCTTTGTAACTTGTATCTGTTGGATTTCACATTTGAGAGATTGAACCAGGAAAACCAGTTGTAAGTAAGATACAGATCAGGGACAGAACATGCGCACAAACTATACTTGGCAAAGTAAGATTACAAACATGGCCATGGTACCTCATGTTGAGTCGCATGCTTACACGTCTGGTTCCATGGCGTTTGTGAGCGGGTCTAGTCAACGTCTAGTCCAGAGACAAGGCATGAAAAGCCATCATATGTACTCTTGTGGCATGATTGGCGCTCCATGATCGCCTTGCCGGGCTGGTGCCTGGCTGAGTTCGCATGGGTGAATGGGTCAGCGGGTGAATCGGTCAGCGGGTGAAGCGGTCAGCGGGTGACCCGGTCAGCAGGTGAACTGGTCAGCGGGTGAACGGGTCAGCGGGTGAAAGGGTCAGCGGGTGAATGGGTCAGCGGGTGAAAGGGTCAGTGGGTCAACGGGTCAGCGGGTTAACGGGTCAGCCGGTCAACGGGTCAGCGGGTGAAGGTGAATGGGTCGGCGGGTGAACAGGTCAGCGGGTGAAGCGGTCAGCAGATGAATCGGTCAGCGGGTGAATCGGTCAGTGGGTGAACGGGTCAGCGGGTGAATGGGTCAGCGGGTGAAAGGGTCAGCGGGTCAACGGGTCAGCGGGTGAAGGTGAATGGGTCGGCGGGTGAACGGGTTAGCGGGTAAAGCGGTCAGCGGGTGAATCGGTCAGCGTGTGAACGGGTCAGCGGGTGAACGGGAGCGGGTGAACGGGTCAGTGGGTGAATGGGTCAGCGGGTGAACGGTGTTAGCTTATACCTTCCTCATTCCGGGTGAATAGGTCAGCGGGTGAACGGGTCCGTGGGCGAATCGGTCGGCGGATGAATCGGTCGGCGGGTGAATCCGTTGGCGGGTGAATCGGTCAGCGGGTGAACGGGTCAGCGGGTGAACGGTGTTAGCTTATACCTTCCTCATTCCGGGCGAATGGGTCAGCGGGTGAACGGTGTTAGCTTATACCTTCCTCATTCCGGGTGAACGGGTCAACGGGTGAAGGGGTCAGCGGGTGAAGGGGTCAGCGGGTGAAGGGGTCAGCGGGTGAAGGGGTCAGCGGGTGAAGGGGTCAGCGGGTGAAGGGGTCAGCGGGTGAAGGGGTCAGCGGGTGAAGGGGTCAGCGGGTGAAGGGGTCAGCGGGTCAACGGGTCAGCCGGTGAACGGTGTTAGGTTATACCATCCTCATTCTATTAGCCTACATCGTTTCATTGTCTTAGGTATTCATAAGCACCTCACTTGGTTGTATACACCCAAGTTGGAGGTTGGGTTCCCAAATTGGTTAGGGCTCCCAATTATTGGACCCCCAATAATCCCAACCAGGATTATTGGACCCTCCAATAATCTTGGCTAGGATTATTGGACCCCCCCCATAAGTTGGTCAACCCAACTTATTGGGATGGCCAATAATCTTGGCCACCTCCCAACCAAACCCCTCCTCCTTCTCCTCACCTATGTATGTCCCCTCTTTTTCTAATTCAATAATCACTTCAATTTCTCACATGGTTTCAGAGCTTATGGCTCACGCCTCTCCGTCGTTCGATCCCTAGCCACCTCACGCCCATCGCGCTCCTCCCCGCGCCCTCAAGCGCCCCTCCTCGCACCTTTACGCGCCCCTCCCTGCGCCCTTAAGCGCTCCTCTCCGCACCTTTAAGCGCCCCTCCCCGGGCCCTTAAGCGCCCCTCCCCGCGCCCTTAAGCGCCCCTCTCCGTGCCTTTAAGCACCCCTCCTTGCGCCTTTAAGCGCCCCTCCCCGCGCCCATAAGCGTTCCTTCCCGCGCCCTTATGCGCCCCTCCCCGCGCCCTTAAGCGCCCTTCCTCGCGCCCTGAGTCGCTGCGTTTTCGCGCGGCGCTCCTGCCGCATCTCGACACGGCACCCGGCCGCTTCTCAACACGGCCCTCCCGCCACATTTCGACACGCCTTCCACGCCGCACTCCGTCGCCTCCTCCCCCCTCCGTGCAGTCCCGGTGCCCGTGCCTAACAAGCCCGATTTGCCCGCTGACCTCTGTGCCGGCGCGCACCGCACGCAAATGCCCACAGCGACCGATCGTCGCCATCCGCGCCGGCCGTCGCCTTTCGCGTCGGCGCCCTCCAAAGGCTTCGCGTCTTAAGAGTCGCGCTCTGCGCACCCGTCCTCTTCCCCTCCTCCCCTCCTCCTCCCCTTCCCCCCTCCCCCCCCCCCTCCTCTTCCCTCCTCAGCAGCAACAGCCGCCTCCTCACCCAACCTCCAGCACCAGCACCAACAGCCACCTCTTACCTCCCCCTCCCACTCACCCTCACCTCTTCAGTAGCAGCAGCAGCAGCAGTCGCACCATGGCCACACAACCACTTGCCGTCTGCATCTCTACTTTCGACGTCCTCGAGCTCATTGACGACGCCGTCCCTGTCAATTGGGCCACCTTCTCCTAGAGCCTCACCAACGTCCTTGGATCTGCGATCATCAACGACTACTGCTTGCTCGACATCCTCCTCGACACTAACGCCGGGAAGTCCCTAGCGCACCCTGCCGATGTCTCTCGTGAACCTCCAGCCGCACCTCCCGCTCCCACGGGACCAGCCCCCACCAAGCCCTATCCACTGGTCTACACCGACGATCCTGATCGCTGGGCCCGCGTGCAGCTCCACTTTGACAAGGACTTGGCGGAATACACTCTCTTCCAGCATGCTTATGACGCCGCAAAGGCCGCCTACGCCTCTGCCAACACACTGCTTCAGCAGCACAAGGAGGCCACGGCTAAGTATGCCGACGACTTCCGTGAGTACCGTCGTCGTCGCTTTGCCTGGATTATCGCCATCCACAAATGCCTCGCTATTCTTTCTGCATGCGTTCCTTCCTTTCTCAAACGTGAAATCACCCCCTCCTCCTCTCCCATGTTTTGGAAAGAGTTGTGCGCCACCTACGACCTCCAGGACACCAACTCTCTCCTTGCGTTCCACCGCGCTTTCCTCGACATCAACCTCGATTCCTGCCCCAATGCCCTCTCCTTCACGCATCGCCTCCTCACCACTGCCAGACTCCTTGCTGATCGCTGCCCTCCTCTTCCCGACTCCCTCATCGTCTGTCGCCTCCTCAACGGCCTCACGCCAATGTACAACTCCTGTCGAGTCGCATTCAATGAAGTCCACGCCAACTTTCCACCCGACTCTACCACGGTAGCAGCTTGGATTCTGAAGACTGAAGTTGAGCTCCTCCGTCAATCTCCCTCGACGGCTCATGCTGCCCAGGCAAAAGACGGACGTGGTGCTGGCCTAAACCCTTGGACGTTGGCCGTAGTGGGGGGCACAGTGGAGGACGCGGGGGCAGTAGTGCATCCAACAGCACCGGCGGTTTCTCCCCCTGTCAGTATCTCATCCGCAACGGCTCTAACAAGGGTAAGCAATGCCTCCAACCACTCACACCAGCACCACATGCTTCAAAGCTCTCACCCCCCCTCGTTGGTCTGCCATCACACCTCCTCCCACTCCCTTTGATGTTCGCACCCTCCCCGCCTATCAGCCCTCCTCCACCTCTCTCCACCACATCCTTGCACAACACCTCTCTCCCTAGATCCTCCAGTAGGTCACACCCCTCCTTCCGTCTCCGCAGCCACAGCAGACATAGCAGCCGTAGCAGCCCCTGCAGCAACATCCACAGCAGCTCCTCCAGCAGCTGCAACAGTCTTAGCAGCCCTAGCAATCCCAGCAGTAGCCCTACCCTCCCTCTCCTGGAGCTCCGGCCTCTCCGCTCCCACTACACCTGCGCATGCCTCAACTGGACCACATGGATTTACACCATTTCCCTCTGCTGGCATTATAAACCATGTCAGCCATGCTTCTCCTGCTATTCCTCCTATGTATCCCGAATCTATTAATGAGACCTCATTCCAGTACCTCGTGTCTCACCCCACCCCTCATTCTACTGAGCTTGTCATTGACAGTGGCGCCAGTGTCACTGTCCTTCATGGCGCTGGTACCCTCACCCCCCTCCCTAACCCCTCCACCATCATTGGTGCCGATTCCACTTTCTCGGTCACCTCTCGCCACACCTCCACTCTTCCATTCCCCCTCTTCCCCTCAGTTTCAGTCACTGGCTTCCATGTCCCCTCCCTTCGCACTAACCTCATCTCCCAAGTGCACTTCAACTGGCTGGGGTCACCACAATCTACCCCGGCCACGCCACCCACTGTGATATGTTTCACTCAGCCATGGGTCACTTCATCGGCCGTGTTCCCATGTGCCCTCGCACTCGCATGTACACCCTTTACACTCCCTGTCCGTCAGCCTATCACGCTGCCTCCACCATTCCTCCTCCCCCCCCTCCTCCCCTCTTTCCTCCGCAACCTCTCCTCACCTCCCCTCCCGCCCCTCCTGCTTCCCCCCCATCTCAGTGCCATTGTCGTGATCTTACACATCCTGCTATCCTCCTCCATCACTACCTAGGTCACCCCAACTTTGCCACCCTCCACAAGGTCGTCGCCTCCGGGCTCCTTAATGGCCTTCCCCTCACTCTCCCTCCACTCCCTCCCTCCCCCGGCCCCGCCTGCACCATCTGTGTCCAGAGCAAGCTCAAGCAACTTCCTCATGAAAGTCACCCTTCATGCACCCCAGATCTCCTGGATCTTGTCCACATGGACCTCTGGGGCCCCAACCCCTCCACCACCCATCAAGGGCACCGCTAACTCCTCGTCTTGGTGGACAATCGTTCCCGGTACACCTCGGTCTCCCTCCTTCGCACGAAGGCCGAAGCACCGGCCTTTATCATCGCCTGGGCCAAGCAGACGTGCACCCACTTTGGCCGCTTCGTTCGCCGCTTCCATTCCGATGGCGGCGGTGAATTCCTCAATCACCACCTCTCTTCCTATTTCTAAACCCATGGTATCCACGACACTTACACCCTCCCTCACTCCCCTCAGCAGGATGGCGTGGCAGAGGCTCGTGTTCGAGAAGTTACAAAGTCCGCCACGTGTCTTCTCGTTCACACCTCTTGCTTGCCTTCTCTTTGGGGTTATTCCCTCCTCACAAACATATATCCCCATGCTATCCTCCCCTTCACCACCCCCACCGAGCTATGGACGTCGACAAAACCCAACATCTCCCCCCCACGCGTCTGGGGTTCCAGAGCATATGTTCTTATACAACCGGCCGACTACTCACGCTCAGCGGGAAAGCTCTCTTCCAAGAGTCTACCCTGCGTCTTTCTTAGTCACAACACCTCCTCCCCTGACTACCTATTCCTCCACCCCCTTTTAGGTCGCCTCATCCGTAGTCGGGATGCCGCCTTTGACGAATCCTCCCCGTAATACACTTCCCTTGCCTAACCCAAACCACTCACCATTCCCCCTCGCCCCCTCATCGCCTCTGACACTGTCACCCCCCCCTCATCCCCCCTCTCCCTCTTATTCCCCTACCCCCAGCATCTCCTCCCCCCAAATCTGTTCCCTCCTTGTCCTCCTCAGGTGACATCCTTGACCCGGTGCCCCCCCACCTCTCCCTCTCACTCCGCTTCCACTCCTTCCTCCCCCTTCTCCCCACCTCCCTCTCCTCCCCTCCCCCCCTCTCCTCCCCCCCCCCTCTCACCTCCTCCTCCCCCACATCCTCCTCCACCTCCCCAGGCGTTTCCTCCTCTGGGCCTTCGCCAGCGCCCTCATACTCGGTCCATGGATCCCCTCTTTGGTCCGCCCTTAGCCCCTTCATCCCCCTAGGCAACGTCCCACGCTCTAGCACCCGCCGCACCAGCTCCCGCCGCCGCACCAGTACCTGCCTCCATCGTCGTACCCGCAGCGTCAGGATCAGCAACACCAGTCTCCCGGTCAAGCAGCTGTGCAGCCGAGTATCAGAGTCCCAGTCTCGCAGCCTCCCCCATCAGCAGCGCAGCAGACTTGCAACACCACCCTCCTTTCCTCCTCCTTTCTCTCCCCTCCTCATCGAAGATTCCCATGGCGAATTTCTTCGCCTCCACCTCTTCTCCAACACTCAAGCAGTCGCCTTCAGCATGACCGACGCTCCGGTTCTTGTCTTCTCCAGTGCGCCCGTCATTTTCGAGCCAGGAGACTATCACGAAGCTATGACCTGCCCCGACTACCCTTACTAGGGCAAGGCCGTCCTTAAACTTGGGCGTGGGTGCTCTTGGGCATGGGTGCTCTTGCGCGTGGGTGCTCTTGCGCGTGGGTGCTCTTGAGCGTGGGTGCTCTTGAGCGTGGGTGATCTTGAGCGTGGGTCCTCTTGAGCGTGGGTGCTCTTGAGAGTGGTTCCTCTTTAGCGTATGTCCTCTTGAGCGTGGGTACTCTTGAGAGTGGGTGCTCTTGAGCGTGGGTGCTCTTGAGCGTGGGGGCTCTTGAGCGTGGGTTCTCGTGAGTGTGGGTTCTCTTGAGCGTGGGTGCTCTTGAGCGGGGGTGCTCTGGAGCGTGGGTGCTCTCGGGCGGGGGTGCACTGGGGCGTGGGTGCTCTCGGGCGTGGGTGCTCTGGGGCGTGGGTGCTCTCGGGCGTGGGTGCTCTCGGGCGTGGGTGCTCTCAGGCGTGGGTGCTCTGGCGCGTGGGTGCTCTCGAGCGTGGGTGCTCTGTTGCGTGGGTGCTCTCGAGTGTGGGTGCTCTCGAGCGTGGGTGCTATCGGGTGTGGGTGCTCTCGGGCGTGGGTGCTCTCGGGCGTGGGTGCTCTTGGGCGTGCTCCTAAGTGTGGGTGCTCTTGAGCGTGGGTGCTTTTTAGGATGGGTGCTCTTGAGTGTGGGTGCTATTGAGCGCGGGTGATCGTGACTGTCGGTGCTCTTGAGCGTGGTTTCTCTTGAGCATGAATACTCTTGAGCGTGGGTGCTCTAGGGCGTGGGTGCTCTTGAGTGTGGGTGCTCATGAGCATGTGTGGTCTTGAGCGTGGGTGCTCTAGAGTGCGGGTGCTCTTGACTGTGGGTGCTCTTGGGCGTGGGTGCTCTTGAGCGTAGGTGCTCTTGATTGTGGGTGGTCTTGAGGGTGGGTGCTCTGGAAGGTGGGTGCTCTTGAGCGTGGGTGCTCTTGACTGTGGGTGTTCTAGAGCATGGGTTCTCTTGGGCGTAGGTGCTCTTGACTGTGGGTGCTCTTGAGCGTGGGTGCTCTTGAGTGTGGGTGCTCTTAAACGTGGGTGCGCTTGAGCGGAGATGCTCTTGAGCGTGGGTGCTCTTGAGCTTGGGTGCTCTTGGGCGTGGGTGGTCGTGAACGTGGGCTCTCTGGAGGGTGGGCGCCCTTGAGCGTGGGTGCTCTTGTGCATGGGTGCTCATCAGCGTGGGTTCTCTTGCCTGTGGTTCTCTTGGGCGTGGGTGCTCCTGAGTGGGTGCTCTTGAGCTTGGGTGCTCTTGAGCGCGGGTGCTGTTGACTGTGGGTGCTCTTGAGCATGGGTGCTCTTGAGTGTGGGTGCTCTTGAGCGTGGGTTCTCTTCAGCGTGGGTGCTCTTGACTGTAGGTGCTCTTGAGTGAGGGCGCTCTTGAGCGTGGGTGCTCTTGTGCATAGGTGCTCTTCAGGGTGGGTTCTCTTTTCTGTGGGTGCTCTTGGGCGTGGGTGCTCATGGGCGTGGGTGCTCTTGGGCGTGGGTGCTCTTGGGCGTGGGTGCGCTTGGGCGTGGGTGCCCTTGGGCGTGGGTGCCCTTGGGCGTGGGTGCCCTTGCGCGTGGGTGCCCTTGGGCGTGGGTGCCCTTGCGCGTGGGTGCCCTTGCGCGTGGGTGCCCTTGGGCGTGGGTGCCCTTGAGCGTGGGTGCCCTTGAGCGTGGGTGCTGTGGAGGGTGGGTGCTCTGGAGGGTGGATGCTCTGGAGGGTTGGTGCTCTTGAGCGTTGGTGCTCTTGAGCTTGGGTGCTCTTGAGCGTGGGTGCTCTTGAGCGTGGGTGCTCTTGAGCGTGGGTGCCCTTGAGCGTGGGTGCCCTTGAGCGTGGGTGCCCTTGAGCGTGGGTGCCCTTGAGCGTGGGTGCTCTGGAGGGTGGGTGCTCTTGAGAGTGGGTGCTCTTGAGCGTTGGTGCTCTTGAGCGTGGGTGCCCTTGAGCGTGGGTGCTCTTGAGGGTGGGTTCTCTTGAGCGGTGCTCTGGAGGGTGGGTGCTCTTGAGGGTGGGTGCTCTTGAGCGTGGGTGCTGTTTAGCGTGGGTGCTCTTGAGCGTGGGTGCTCTTGAGCGTGGGTGCTCTTGAGCGTGGGTTCTCTTGAGCGTGGGTGCTGTTGAGCGTGGGTGCTCTTGAGAGTGGGTGTCTTGAGCGTGGGTTCTCTTGAGCGTGGGTGCTCTTGAGCGTTGGTGCTCTTGAGCGTGGGTGCTCTAGAGGGTGGGTGCTCTGGAGCGTGGGTGCTCTTGAGAGTGGGTGCTCTTGAGCGTGGGTGCTCTTGAGCATGGTTGCTCTAGAGGATGGGCGCTCTGGAGCGTGGGTGCTCTTGAGAGGGGGTGTTCTTGAGCGTGGGTGCTCTTGAGCGTGGGTGCTCTTTAACGTGGGTGATATAGGGCGTGGGTGCTTTTGGAAGTGGGTGCTCTTGAGTGAGGGTGCTCTTGAGCATGGGTGCTCTTGTGCATGGGTGCTCTTCAGCGTGGGTTCTCTTTTCTGTGGGTTCTCTTGGGCGTGGGTGCTCTGGAGGGTGGGTGCTCTTGAGCGTGGGTGCTGTTGAGCGTGGGTGCTCTAGAGTGTGGATCCCTCCCCGCTGCCCACCATGCCGCCACCCCTAAGGGGAGCACTTGCACACATTAGCGGCAGGCAGTTCTTGTTCCTTGTCCAGTTGCACAGTTCTCCAGCTAAGTGTCTTCTCTGCCACTCAGCTACGCTTCACCTTCTCACATTGCTGCACACTGACAGGTGTTGTTTGCAGGTGGAGGGGAGGGTTGTGGTGGTTATGCCAGTCCGTCCCTTCCCTCCCCGGTGCATGTACATGTACTTGTGTCTAGCTAGGCATTAATTCTTTCAGACTTCCTTTTGTGCTACCAAGTGTTCATTCGCATCTTATTTGCTTCAATGCTTTCTCTTTTGAAATCCGAGTGTAGTTATGTAATTCGTTCTGTTGTGTTCTACAATGTCATATATTTGTCACTGCTCTTGACGAGTCTCATCGGCCACTCCATCTGCGTCCGTTACTGAACTGTCCAATGAGGGGAGCGATGCTTTCGTGCGCCCTTTTGAAGGCTATTCAGGCGGTCGTTTGTCCCGCACCTGTTGACGGGGATGACTGCCATTATTGTTGTACGATGATTGGCAGACGACGAATTGTGGGGTGGTTCCGAAGCATTGTTCTGGGAGTTACCCAGCACACGACGTTCGCGAAACTGGGCCGGTGATGCTGCCGAGCCAACTGCCCCGCTATACATAGCCATGAACAGTTGGTTTTTCCGCTGATGAGGGGACCAAGCCCCAATCGCGCGGCGGGTTCTTGGTGGTGCTGGCAAGCAGGCGGCTCCATCCAATCCTTCCCGTCAAGTCAAGCGGAGTTCCAAGCATGAGCCCCGCGCTGCAATTCGCATTCTCCCCTCCCCCCTCAGCCCCCCTCTCCTCTTCCCCTTTCCCTCTTTCCCCCTCCCCATTTCCCACAGTTCATCTGCCCCCCCGCCCCGCGGTTTCCCCGATACAGGACCCACGCAATCTGGAGATGCGCAGTCCCCGCGAAACACCTCTCCCGCGGGAACATCCACATGCGCAATCTCCATGGATGTTGCCGCCGATGTGCCTCCGTCCCTCCATTCCTCCCTCCCTTCCTTTCCCTCATTCAAATCCTCCCTCTCAGCACTTCGCATGGCGATTAGCAAGGTTGGCCTATTCTAATCGCGGTTTCTCGTTTGTGGAGTTACGATGGGATCTGCCCAGCAATGACGGCAACAGCCGCGGTCGCAGCGTCCCCTGCTCTTGGGGATGAGCTGGAACGAGCCGAGGGGGAGGAGCAGCAATTCGAGGAGGAGTTAGACGAGCTCGATGCGGAGATCGAGAGACTTTTCACGGCTGATGACGAGACCGCCGCGCACTCCGCGCTCGACGGCCTCTTAGCCATCGGCTCCTCCGCGCTCCTGTCCCCGCCGCGCCCGCCCGTCGCTGATAAGGACCCCGGCGCCGCAGGTTGCGCTGGGGGAAGGGCGATCGGAGGTGACAGCGGCGCGAGTCCCGGCGCGGGTCCCGGGAAGGTCGGGAAGTTCGGGAAGGACGGGAATGGGGAGGAAGAGGCGTCGCTAGAGGACTCGTTAATTTGGGAGCTGGACGAAGGCTGTGGCGTTGACGAGGAGCGAGTAGCCGTGGTCGATGGATATTCTAAAGGTTCGGATCTGCTTCTTCCGGGGGTTGGGGAGACGGCGGACCGCTTCCCCACAGGTATTCCCGCGTGACAGAGAGCGAATGAGTCTGTGTAGGGGGACCCTCCTGTTCCGTCTTTCTCGTTCGTCAATTAGCTGGTTGTGTTTTCCGTTGTTTCCGTTTGGCTTGTTCAGGTTTCCCCCTGATCTAGTCTTCGTCTGCGGCATCGATGTGCTCGTACGTTCTGCCTAATCTGCCTTCCATTGCTCCTCTCCCCCCCCCCCCCCCCGTCGTTATTCCGTTGTTTTCCTTGTAGCGTAGAGTAAACGCACAAATCCACCCTCTTCCCGCCCTGCGCGCCCTTTTCCCCGCCCCCCCTTCCCCGCGCAGCGGCGGACGCCGCCTCTATCTTCGAGGACGAGGTGGCGGAGGTGCTCCGCGTGGCGCACCGCCAGGTGAGCGGTCTGAAGCTCGAGGCGGCATGGCTGCGCTCCGGGCTGCTAGCGCTGCAGAAGGACGTGCGCATGTTGCGGTCGGAGAACGACGCGTTGCAGGGGCAGCGCCGCCGCGCGGACCAGCGCCTGCTGCTGCTGCTGCGGGAGAAGGAGCTCGCGGAGGAGCAGCGCAGGGTGGCGGAGGAGCAGCGCCGCGAGGCGGAAGGCGCGCAGGATACGCTCCGCGGAGTGGTTTCCCGCGCGGTGGCGGAAGCGGCGGTGCTGCGGAGGCAGCTCGCGGTGTGGAAGCCGCCCGGCGGCGCTTGGGCAATGGCGGTCAAGGCGGGGACTTGGTGGGGCGCGGAGATAGGTGGAAGCGCGGTGGGCGGAAGCGTGATGGGCGGGAGCGGGTTGGCAGGGGGGAGAAGCGCAAGCCCGGGCCCGATTCAGCGCACACTCAGCAGCAACTCCCTCCGCGACAGCCTGGACGGGAGCGGCGCTCTCCCGCTCAAACTCTCTCGTGGAGGAAGCGCGCGTGCTGAGCCAGGGGGGGTAGTAGCGGCCGCAGTCGCGCATGCGACGGGATGCGTCGCAGCCGGGGATGCGTTGGAGGGTTTCGCAGGGGGGAAAGACAGCCTGCACCGCACGTCGGGAGGCGCAGGGAGCGGAAAGACTGCAGTACCCTCGCACGTTGCGGGGGCCATGGGGGGCGCGGGTTGCGCGGAAGTCCCCTGCCGTTTGGCGGAGGCGGGGCGGAGCGACAGCGGGGTGTGGGCGGAGGTGAAGCAGGTGGGCGCGGGGATGGGCCTGGCGATGGACTCTGACGTGGATGCTGACGAGGACGCGGCGCTGCTGCGCGAGGAGAACCGCCAGCTGCAGGCGCTGCTGCGCGAGTCGCAGTGCGACCTGCACGCGCTCGAGGACAACGTCGCGCGCCTCAAGCGCGTCGTCGCCGCGCAAGAGGCGGCGGTGGACGTGGCGGCGGACGCGACGGCGGACGCGGCGGCATCTAAGGCGGTTGGAAACGGGGCGACGGGGTTGGGGATGGGCGACGTGGTGGACGGGGGGGAGGAGGAATGGGGGGGAGGTGGGGATGGGGGGGATTTGGAAGGGGAGCAGGTGGGCGGATGGGAGGAGGAGATTAGGGGGGAGAGGGAGCGGCTAAGAAAAGCGTGGGAGGAGGTGGAGAGAGAGAGAGAGATTCTTATCACCTTGCAGAAGCAGCTTATATCAGGGACAGACGTTGGGCAACTGCAGGTTCACTACAAACAACACCAAAAGCAATCGCAGCAGCAGCAGCCACAGCCGCAGCAGGCGTGTGGCGACACAGCAGCAGGTGGTGGTGGTGACAGCTGTGCGCATGTTGCTTGCGGGAATAGCGGAGTGGAGACGGTGTCACAGGAAGGGCGCGGGGTGGTGGGACTAGGAGGGATGACCGCAGAGGGGGACCTAGAGGTCCCACAAAGAGGGGCCGGCCTCCTCGCCACTCAAAGTGCTGCCATGGAGGGTGATGGTAGTGCTTGGGTGATGGAGGGTGCGGCAGCAAGGTTGCTGGAGGCGACAGGTCGACGCCACAGCGCCCCAGGCGGTGCCCCTGCCCCCCCTGCTTTCACAGTCACGCTTCCAGCGTCTCCTGCTGCTGTCACTGATGGTGGAGGAGACGGAGGCGGATTCGGGCAACCGCTGGCGGATTTTGGAGCTTTTGAGGCCCATGTTCCTGTGGCTGATGTGACTGTATCGGGTGGTGTTCGTTCCACCGATGATCCTGCGGCGGGAGTGGGCGTTGATCTGGAGATGGTGCGGATTCTGGAGCTGGAGGCGCAGAGGGAGCTGCTGGGCCTGCTGCAGCTCAGCGAGGATGAGGCAGAAGCCGAAGCTGACGCTGAGGCCAGCCCCACTGCTGCGGGCGCGCAGCACGAGGCGGGGGATGCAGCGTCTGAAGGTGGGGCAGAGGAGGTGCCAGCTGAGGCAGCAGCAGCAGCAGCAGCAGCAGCAGCAGCAGCAGCACCAGCGGCGGCAGCGGTTAGTGGTAGCGCAGCAGCAGATGAGCAGAATGCTGCCGCTGCTGCTGCTTCTGCTGCCGCTACTGTTCCTGCTGGCGTGGATATCTCTGGCCGTGCCACTGGGAAAGCTGGTGTGTCTATCAGTGTGTGCAGGGATGGCTTGGAGCCACACCCTGGTGCTGCGTCACTACCATCCCCAGGCCCGTATCCACTCGCACTGTCCGGCAGAGGCGTGAGCTGGAGCACCAGTGTGGGCAGCAGCGGCAGCAATGGCGCCAGGGACAGTGCCGTGGCCACCGCTGCTAACGGCGCTTTGTCCTTTGCTGGTGCTTGCTCGCCTGCAGCGAATCCGGGCTTGCCAGGTGGACCTGCCACTGTGACGGATATGTGGACGGCGGCTGCTCGTGCGGCAACTCAGCTGAGAATATCCCTTGAAGCGGCAGGAAGCGGTAACTATGTGGTGTCGCCAGACAGTCACACTGGGAGGAGGAGCATCGGTGGGGGTAGTGATGCTGGCAGTGATGCTGGTAATGATGCTGCTGGTGATGATGAGAGTGCGGCCAGTTGTGCTCCCGCCGATGTTGGTGGGTTGATTGGTGCCACCGTTACTGTCAGCACCACCACTGCCACCACGACGACCACCACCACCAGCAGCAGCAGCAGCACTAGCCACACGGACCGCAGTTTTAGCATCACCTCGGGCAGTGTGAGCACTCCAGCCTCCTCCCTTCCCACTGCCCCCACCATCACGACCAGCAGCACCACCGCTGCCTCTTGTGCTTCCTCCTCTGTCTTATCCCGCACTCACTCCTCCATGCCACCTCTCCCTCCTGCCGTCCCTGCTACCTCACAGCACTCCTCTCCCTCACCTCCCCTCTCCCTCCACCCCCCTCACTCCTTATCCGCGCCCCCCTCCTCTCCTGCGCTTGATGCTATTTTATGCGAGAACGAGCGGCTTAGGGAGGACATGGCGGATATGGCAGTGCAGAAGAGGCAGACTGTGTCGCATTTGTCCTCGTTATTAGACGACCTGTGGCAGCAGCACAGGGGCCTGCAGCAGTGCCTGAAAGGGATGCGAGCGGCGAAGGCGATCTGTGAGGGGTGCTCTGTGTGTGAGGAGAGGCGGCAGGCTGCTAGGGCGGATGACATGCTGTGTGGATGGGGATGAAGGGGCTGCTGCCGAGGAAGGATGTGCCCGGTAGGGAGGAAGGGTTGAAGGGTGGAGGGGAGGTCATCAACGGAGCAGGTTTAGGCGAGGGATAAATTGGCAGGAAGGTGGCGAAGGGAGAGTCGAGAGGAGGGGGAGGGAACAGGATGAGGGGTGGATGGCTGGTGGAGTATGGGTGAGGTGTGGGAAAGTGAGGAGGGACGAATGGGGGTTAGAGGGTCTTGGGGGAAGAGGGAGGGTCCATGAGGACTTGAGATGGCTGTGGAAGTGAGGATGGGTAAGTGGGATTGAGATCAGAAGCGTGGGTGGATGGAGGGTTATATGGTCGGATACTTGTTGAGGGATTCTTGGAATGCATGTGCTATGTTATTTATGTGATTCGCAAATATGAACATGTTTGGTCCTAACATTTGCTTCCCCGACCTGTAGCGATATACTATAGGCGAGGCTCAGTGTGGTTTGCTGGTGTCTCAAGGGTTCCGCTGGAGTCAACAGCCGCCAAACCAAAATCTGGAGGACCAGAGCAGGGCTAATTTTTCGTTTTTGAAGACCCGGAGGAAACAGGATTCGCGCTCCTGAGGACCTTGAAAAATCAGGATTCCTTGGGAAAATCCCCTTTTTTTCAGGATGACGCCTAAGTTCAAATCTGAAATCCAGAATGTCTTTACGGATCGCCCTGCACATCAGAACAAGTTTTGGGCAACCCGAATTGTCACATACTTGAGGGACTTGGGAGTATCGAATCCGGAGAGGCAAGAGCAAGTGAGTCCAACTAACAGACCAAACTGAAACATCCACACGCAGCAGTTGAAACAATCATGACATGACACACTTGCCGCCCGCTACTCCACCAACACCATACCACCACCACACCAAGCCTCATTCGACACTTCACTCTAGCTAGCCTGCAAACTACAGAAAGTCCTGGCGAAAGAAATGCCTACGTACGAACGTTCAAGAAAAGTGCAGCCTAACAGAGGGATCGTAGGGGGGCTAAGAGGGAGGAAGGAACAAATTGCCGTGCTAGAGCTTCAAGAATCAGATGCCGCAAGTATTTTTACGCCGCCTTAAATCTCAGCCATCGTTTGAAGTCCCAGCTGTCCCATTGAAACCATCAAGAGCGGGCCTCCTCCTGCGCTGTGACATGAAAACAGCATGCACCTCCATCCAGTCCACATCGAAATCAAGCATCTTCACAGCCATAAGGTCCCCCAGGCGCACGTCAGAAAGACAAGTGCGATCCCAACTCTTGATTATGTTTTGCCTAGAAAACCCCCGCTCACACTCGACGGTGCTTAGTGGGAGCACGGCGACAGCGCGCCATAGCTTCATGATGTTCGGGTAGTACGCGCCCCAGTCCTCGTTGGCGAGCATATTGGCCAGGCTTTGCTGGAAACTCTGGCCAATGTACCGCCTCTCCAAAACTGCAGTGAAGAAGCGGATCTCGATCCTTGCCTCTTGCAAATCGAATCCTGCAAAACTCAACCTTCAATGTTTCAGTATTGCAAGTTGTGAAACAACATGTCAGCCACAAATGCATTATTAACTTATTACTAACCAGGGAGGCAGCCATGAAACAAGTCCGCTAGCTGCTGCAGCCAAACGTCGAATGAAGTCTCTCGCTCTCCTGCCCTCGACAGGTACTCACGAGGGCGGAAAAAGCGTGCCCCATCAAGGTTGCGAAGGTCACCAAGGCGGCGGTTGAGAGCTGCAATGAGCCGTCTCGCATACTCAGCACAAAGCTTCTCGCATGAAGCTTGATCGGTGCCATAGGTGCCGCCAATTGAGCGCTTATGCAGGATGATGGTGCAGGTCGTGGGCGAACCATCTTCAGCAAAGCCCTCAATCACCATCTCGCGACACTCTGCAGGACCGTGCTTGGAGAGGAAAGGGGACAGCCGAGGGCTAACACCAGCGCCAAACTGGTTGTTAGGCTCGACGTAGCGTTGTGCTAGCTGGATGTACACATCCTCCAGTCGGCGCTTGACACCCGTGATTTCAACCTGAGGATGGAATTTATGGAGAAGTTTAGCTAAAGAAATGAAGAATGAAAAAAAAAAAAAACCATAAACAACCGCAATCATCCCACCTGCCTCTCCTGGAAGTGCAGGTTAAGGGTGTTCAGCATGACAAGCACGTCTGCCATGAAGAAGAGCATAAACAAGAACTTGAAAGAGCTTCCTGTTTCGAGAAGGCTGTGATCCTCCTCGTTCCACAGCCACAGAAGAGCGGGCAGCACGTCGCAAAACCTGTTGATGGCTTCTCCTCGGGATAGCCACCGCACGTTGTACATTCCTTGTACCTCAAGCTGGGTGCGGAGAATCTCCTGCTGCAAGCGGAGGAAATTCTGGCGCCTTACATGAGACCTTCCCAGAATTTCAACTTGTGTGTCGATCGGGTTGAAGTCAGGCATCCGGGATGCTGCATCCTTGGCAGCTAGTGCCTCCCTGTGAAGTGTAGAAAACAATGTAATGAGACATTAAATGAGGCTTCCAATGACTTTCAAATACATATAGGTTGTAAGTGGAAAGGCTATTTAAGTGCTCCTATTTCCAGCAAGTATAGTATTAGCTTTCGGTCACCTGTGGGCGATGCAATGTGTTGAAACAAGCCATGGGCAGGTCTGTCGCAAGCGTGCCACCAGCCCCGCCTGCTGTCCGGTCATCACCGAAGCCCCGTCGGTGGAGATCCCAACCAGCTTGTCTAGCGGGATGCTGCATGACTCCAAGAAGGATGTGAGAGCCGTGAGGAGGGACTCGGCATCTGCCCTCTCCACTGACAGCAAAGCGAGAAACTGTGTGACAACCTGTCGGTCCCTCTCATACGACATGTAAACAATCATGTGTTTACCGTGCGCACGGTCCGTGGATTCATCAAGAGAAAGCCCATACCATGGACTCTCCCTGATGTAGCGCAATTGCTTGTCCTGAAGATGCTGTGCCAACGCTGTTGTGAACTCATTCATGGCATACCTGCCATGTACACATCAGATGCAAGAGGTGTAAACCTGCATGTTAAGTTTACGATAAAAAAATGGCACAACAAACAAGGACATGCTTCACTCATTACATTAGCAAAACAACACAAGGGTGCAACAAAAAGTAGCAACTCACTGGGAAAAGTAGCGGCCGTAGGATTCTGAGCCAGCCATGTCAGGAATGCCCTCGTCCACCAAGAAGCGGACAAGAGTTGGATACAGCAGGATCGGTGCATCATTGCGGCACACAAAGCAAGCGGCATGGATACAACGAACAACGTGTCGTTTCACAGCGTCGGAGTCCGCGTACTGAGTCATGCGTCTCTGATTTCGCTCCGTGCCATCTGCCGTGTTCTTCCGTGAAACAGCCAACTGATGACCACGTGAACGCTGGTGGGAGCGGATGCTAGTCTTCTGGAAGTCCCGAGCGCCGATACCATTCCTGCCATACCGTGTGTGCCCCCCGTCGTCACCATGCTCCAAGCAAATGGTGCATTTCAAGCCATACTGGTGCGAAGGTTTGTGGTATTCGAGGCGCAGCCACTCAAAGTGGTCTCGCCATTCACGGCGGTAACGGCGGGCAATGAGTCTCTCTGCTGCGGGAATGGGGTCGCCCTGGTTATCAACGGGAGCATCATCCTCCGTGGGCTCAGGGACAGTGGTGCGGCGGCGCCTAGGCTCAGGAGGAGGTGCGAATGGAAGGATGGTCTGACGAGACCTTCTTCTAGAACCAACCTGGGAAATAGCGGCTTCATCCTCACTAGCAGATTCTGGCTCAAGAACGCCCTCCGTGAGGTTGAGAGGTTCAGTTGCTTCATCATCATCAGACATAACCTCTACTGTTGGCTCAGCTGAGGGCTCTTCACTGCCTATGTCCTTGGGGTCATCAGCGACAAACTGCAAGGGGACAACGACGGGGTCTGCTGCAGGGGTGGTGTTGTCAGCCATGGGAGGCTGCCTTCTCTCTACAGTTAGCTAACTTGAGACTTTGCTGTGCCTTTTCAAGCTGAAAGCCACCTTGCCCATGCCTAGGTTAGAGTGCACATAGCCTAACAAACCACTTCTCGCGTTGAGGCACCGTGCGGGAAAGGGTGTTGAAAGAGCGGTGAGGGCAATGCGCGCTCTCATGTTTGAGCAGGGAGCAACGCAAAGTTGGCTGGCATCGTGGCGAAATATGGTCACGTCACGATCAAATGCAACGGTGCATCGCGCTGCGTCAAATTACCGTTATGGCTTGTCATGAACGTGACTGAGCAGAATTCGCCAAAGTGTGTGTGTGTGTGTGTGTGTGTGATGCGACATACTAGAATTGCGTTGCGTTGCGACAAACCGCAGCAGGGAGGGATGGAGGGAAGGATGAATTACAGAATTCGCCAAGTGTGCTTTCTCGCGTCAGATTTGTGGCAGAGCAGCGGAGTTTGAGAGGGCACAGCATGAGAGTGCGCGCCACATTCTGTCATGTAGTTGTGCAGCTTGTTAGTGGCAGTCTGTGATTGGTCTGACTGCCTTGAACTTTGCGCCTTCCACGAGTCACGTGGGTCTGTCTGACTGCCAAGATTGCGTTGCGTTGCGTTGCGTGGCACTGAAGCGTGAGAATTCGGCCAAGGGCGCGAAAGATGGGGCCGGGGCGGGGCGGGGGGGGGGGGGGGGGGGGGTGGGGGGGGGGTGGTGGTCAACTGCTCCTCCAATTCCGGCACGGGTGATTTTCCAGACTACTCGGATGGCCAGGAGAAATTTTCGCGGAACGCGGATGGCTCAGGTGGACTCCCAAAATTGTCCGGAATCATTCAGGAGGATTTCCAGACCGAAACCCTCAAAATCCGGATTCCAGGTGAAAACATCCGGAATGTACCTGACATTCCGGATGTTTACCCTTGAACCGAGAGCCCTGGACCAGAGAGATGAAGAAATTGTCCTTGCTGGCACATCTCGATTCTTTCATGTCAGGGCGTGTCCCGCGCTTACGTTTCATTGCGTTTGGGTGAGATTCGTTTTGATTCAGAGAGTAATCATAGCGATCTAAAACGGTTTAGGGTTTTGAGCGAAAAACGTACACGCGGGACACCGCCCCAGCAACCCTCCTCTCACATCCTGCTGCATTCTGACTCCTGCCTTGCTTTTCCTGTCCCTTTGCTTGCAGCAGCCCTGAACTCCCCCGTTGTTGCTCCGCATGCAGACGCGTGTTAGCGTGACTTCGCGAGAACTCAACCACCTCCACGGGCAAGCGTGAGCGGCGTTGCAACCAGATACCACATCGTTTCGTTTCGTTTCGTTGCATTTTGTTTCGTTTCGTGCTGGCGTGCTGGACAATACGTGTTCCTCTCGCGTTACGCCGCCGTCAGATGATCCTTTTGACACCCTCACCTCAGACTCCCTCGCGCTGTCCACCGTTTCACGTGACCAAGTCTCCTCAAGAGTTCGTCGGACACGGGCCTTAGTGAAAGTCGTTGAAGAGTTCTACTAGTACCACTTTTATCTGACTAGTAAAAGTCCGTATAGCACCGTATAATACCTTGTAATCCGGTTAGAAGTACCCCTCAGTATCGCTGGTGTAGCGCACGTCACAGTAGCCTTCTGAGCCACCGTGACCGAGATGAAGCCGTCGAATTATCATGATAGAGGCAGGCAGTTCAAGCTGCGTACAACGAACCCTGGAGCGGCTGCTGCTGCCGCCGCATGTGCGACTGATGATCATGATAATCTCACCTCGGCCGCGAATCGCGCTACTACCTCGCACACTACATGTACTTGTACTAATTCAAGTACTAATAGCAGTAGCACGGGCCGCAGAGGGCCTGGGGGAGGCGAGTACCTCCGTCTCGGAGTGGACTCGGGTGGCGACACGCAGAAGAAGCACGACTCGGAGTCACATCATCATCACATGACGAGCTTTGAAACAACTACTAGAAGTAGTAATAGTAGTACCCAAGGAAGGGGTCGGCTCTTCTGCCTCCGCCGTGCAGCGAGGCCGGTGGAAGCGCCGGTCTCAACGGCAGCAGCAGTACCACCTTTAGGGGAGCAAGCGAAGACTCTAGCCCCGTTTGGTGTAAACGCAGCGCGGTCTACTATGAGTAGTAGGAATTCCGATGCAGAAACAGGCGCTGGCGGTTCCAAGAACGACCGCCACAAGAATGAGGCGCAGCTACTAGCTGTAGATAAGCCAGCGAGGGGCGGCAACGCTCCTACTAATAGTGGTACTAGTAGTAGCAGTAAGCCCGAAGGTGGTGCAGGGGCACGCTATTGGCGGGTGCTGGGGCTGGGGAAACCAGCCGCAGTCCACAATATGACGCGTCAGATAGCAGCAGCACATGTGACAGGGGGAGGAAGAGCGGCCTTCGCGGCACGCGCTGCAGACGCGGGAGCAGCAGGAGCAGAGACGGGAGCCGGCAGGACCATGGCAGCAAGAGCAGCAGGAGTAGCAGGAGCAGCAGGAGCAGCCACCCTAGGGACATCTTCTGCTGCTGGCGAGCCTCTCTCCGACTGCAACTTGCAGTCAGCAGAGCCATTGAAACAACGCGCGGAGGCAGCAGTGCTGCCAGCTGCACGTGCTGTGAGGCCTGTAGACAGACTCCAAAATCCAGCCCGCTCCAAACAACGAGGGGCGACAGAACACCGATTAGCAGCCAGAATAGCCCCAGCCGTTCCTGCATCAGCTCGAGGAGTCGCAGCAGCTGCGGCAGGTGTGGGAGCAAGAGGTCCTGCCATGCGCCAGTTGCCAATTCAGATGCAGAGGCAGGGGCAAGGGCAGAGGCGGATGCAGGGGCAGGTGTGCGCGCAGTACTCGCTGGCGGAGGTGGTGCGGGCGACGAGCGAGTGGGCAGAGAGCAGGCGCATTGGGGGGGGCAGCTTCGGGGATGTGTACAAGGGCGAGTGCCCCCACAACCCCTCCCTCATCTGGGCCGTCAAGCGCGCCAAGATCCTCACCAACGACTTCAAGTGCGAGGTCAGGGGGGGAGGAGCAGGGTGGGAGGGGGGAAGCGGGGGTGGGGAGGGCTTAAAAGTTGAGAAAAGGGGTGAGTGAGGCGAGAGAGAGGAGAGAGGCTGGTCAAGGCACATGATACTATGTAAGCCTATTGTGGTCTCCGTGCTGTAGGTAAACAGCCTAATTCGTTTCTGTCAACTGACTCGGGGCATGGCAGGTGAACGAGATGGCGACAAAGAACCACCCGAACCTGGTGCGGCTGGTGGGCTACTGCCTGGACTTCATTCCTGTGACTGAGAGGATGGAGCAGATCGTCATCTACGAGTTCATGCCCAATGACGACCTCGAGCGATGGATCGGACCCTGTGAGTTTATCTTTTGGTTGCTTGCATATGTATACCTCTCCCTTTTTCCTGTCCACTCTATCTTTCTCTCTTCCTGTTCCCGCCATTCCTTGTTCAACTTCTCTGCCTCCTCAAGTCGCCTCTCCACCTCATTCTCTTGCCACCCCCTCAGCCGTGGCACATCCCCTGTCGATCCAGCAGCGGCTAGAGATTCTCATTGGTGTGGCCCGTGGCTTGGAGTACCTTCATGAGTTTGGCATTGTGCATCGCGACATCAAGCCTGCCAACATCCTCCTTGATGACAAAATGAAGGTTAGATTCATACGATTTTCGCCAATCCAACACGTGCGTTCTGCAATTATGATAATACTTTGGTCCTCCCCTTGACTCCTGTGGCAGGCTAAGGTTGCTGATTTTGGATTGGTGAGACATGGGGAGGGCACAACAGTAGGAGCCACACGAGTGATGGGAACCCCGGGTTACGTGGACCCAGCCTACTACAAGTCACAAAAGGCCACTCCCTTAGCTGATGTGCACAGGTGTGGACAAGGTTTCAATTGCCTACTGGTGTTTCATCCCTCCTTATTATGCATCACCTTAAATTGCTCACCATCACTGCCATTTTCTTTCGCCATGCCCTCTCAGCTTTGGAGTGGTGATGCTGACAGTGCTAACAGCACGGAAAGCCATCTGCAACATAGAGTCAGACCAGGTCAACCTCAAGACGTGGGCGGCTGCTCTCGTCGCATCTAATAACGTGGCAGCATTCAAGGACCCTCACCTAGAAGCACCTGATAGCATGGTGTTGAGAATGGCTCGCCTTACCATTTGTTGCACTGCCTAGCCGACTGTGTGCCGCCCCTCCATGAGCCGAGTGCTGGCAGATCTGGTGGTCATCAAGGATGAGTTTCTGGGTGTCGAGACCAACAGGATGGCAGAGCGCATTGACAGAGAACTAGACGACTCGATGCCGCAAGACTTTGATGGGGAGCTAGCCCGCATTGCAAGCATGAAGTCCCATAGTGGAATGTAATGTTGTCGATGACTTCATTTCTTGTAGTTTTTTACTAAAAAGTTCCTTATCGGCTGACGTGACCGTATCGGGTGGTATTAGTTCTGCTGGTGGTGTTACCGTATTCCCCTGGATACAGTACCCGCCGGGATTAAGCTCCCACGGGTACCTTGAGCAGGTATGGGTGTTTAATTAAGCTGGATCTAGATAACTGTTAGGATAACAAAATGACTAGAAATAGGAGAGAACTGTTCAAATTATATAAGTTATAATTTAATATAGGCTTGGTAGGTTGTTACTGAACCTTTCTGTAGGGGGTACAAACCCCTCCTTGTACTCCCCTCTCTTCTAATCCAACTCTCTTTTCTCTCCACAACTTTCCTAGCACCTAAAACCTCTCGCCATTCTCATGGCTCCTCCTAGCTCCTAGCTAAACCTTGTGCCATTCTATGGCTTCCTAGCTAAGCTAGTCTTTTGACATGGTATCAGAGCAGTTCGTTCCGTGTGGGCCTGCTCCTCGCGTTTCCGCTGCGTGCTCGTTTCTCTCTCTATCTCGCGCTGCCATGGCGGCCGCGTCAAGCTGCTGTGGCCGCGTCGTCGTGCCGCGGCGCCGCCGTCGACGTCCATGGCGCCCGCGTCCAGCTGCTGTGGCCGCGCCGTCGTGCCGCAGCTCCGCCGTCGCGTCAAGATGCTGTCGCGACGTGACGGCGCCGTCACGCTGCCGCGGCGTCTACGCGACAGCGCGCGGTCGGCGTAACGGCGACGTCGTGCTGCCGTCGCAACGTCGACGCCCCGCTGCGGCATCGACGCCGCTCCATGACGGCGTCGTCGGGCTGCAGCCGGCCGCGTGACGCTTGTGGCGCCGCTAGACCGGCCGCCCGCATGTCAGCCTGTGGCGCCCCCCCCCCCCCACCCCCCTCCTTCCCCTGTGCCCTCTTCCATTCCGCAGACGACGGCTGACTCCCGCCGGCCGTCCCACCGTCGCGGGGCCTGGCCACGTCACCGAGAGGTGCGGGTGCCGCCGCCGCTGCCGCTGTTGTCGAAGCCGCAGCCGCCGCCGCTGTCGCCGCTTGCGTCGGGGCCACGCAGCCGCACGCCGCCGCCGCCGCCGCCGCTGTCGACACTGCCGCCGCTGCTGCCGTCGCCGCCGCAGCCCCTGCGGTCGACGTCGCCGCCTCACGCACCGTGGGTCGACCGACCTAGAGTCGCTGTCACTGTGGCTGGAATGGGGGTGCTAGGTTAGGGGGTGTGGGTGTGTGTGGGCATGTGACTACCAAGCCTAGGGGGTGTGTTCAAATTATATAAGTTATAATTTAATATAGGCTTGGTAGGTTGTTACTGAACCTTTCTGTAGGGGGTACAAACCCCTCCTTGTACTCCCCTCTCTTCTAATCCAACTCTCTTTTCTCTCCACAACTTTCCTAGCACCTAAAACCTCTCGCCATTCTCATGGCTCCTCCTAGCTCCTAGCTAAACCTTGTGCCATTCTATGGCTTCCTAGCTAAGCTAGTCTTTTGACAAGAACAAGGGAGATATGAGGTTGGAGTTGTACCCCCAAAGAACACAAGCCTATCTAGCCTAAAACTTCTACATACAAACAGATGTATATGTTGACACACCCCCTATGCTAGATAAGGGGCAGTGCTGAGCAAGGAACACGAAGCTCAGGGTAGCACTACTAGTCCAACCTCTGAGGCAGTCAGAAAGGTATATATAAAGAGAGGTACACAATCAAGGTCCTAGCAAGTGTGTAGCTACAGGAACTAGACCACGCTGGAAACAGTGCCTCTGATAATCTTTAGGCGCAAGCGCCTTAGTAAAGGTATCAGATGTATTGCATAGGAGGCCAAGTGTACTACGCGGGCCTGGCGACGCTGCTGTAGCTCGCGCAGGAGGAAGTACCGTAGCTGGATGTGCGTCGCTCTGCCCTCAAGTCGAGGCTCCTGACACAGAAGGATCATGGCCCTGTTGTCAGCGTACAGAACCGGGGCAGAGCTAGGCCGCTCACTTAAGTCGGTGAGCAAGAAGGTCAGCCAGCGGAGCTCCTGTGTAGCCATGGCACCGGCGTAGATCTCAGCCTCACAACTAGATTGAGCAACAAACGAGGAGCGAGTGGACCTCCACGAGATGGCACCCGAACCAAGGCTAAAACAGTAGCCCTGGGAGGACCTGAGGGTCTCAGCGTCGTCTGCCCAAGAAGTGTCTGTGTGCCCAGTAAGGACCACTGGCCTGCGTCCTCCCAGCACTAGCCCCATGCCCAATGTACTTTCTAGATGACGCAAAACCCTCTTAGCGGCCGACTTGTGATGTAGTCGGTATCTGCCTGGCGTCACAAAGCAAGCCAGGATGCTGACAAGGTATGCAAGATCTGGACGAGTGCAAGTCATCAAGTATATGAGGCAACCCACCAACTCAACGTAAGGACCACTGGGCTCTGCTGACTCCTCAGGAACCGGAGCTGAGAGCTCGTGGTCTACTGGTAGAGGTGTGGGTTGTGCGGATGAGAACTGAAGACCGAACCTCTGAAGGACCTGACGCGCCAAGTGTGACTGCGTGAGAGTGATGGTGCGCGTTGCTCTGTCCTTTGAGATCTGCCGGCCAAGGTAGTGACGCAACTCTTCTAGGTCAGTGCAGGTTTGTCATTTCAGCAGCTCGACCTTCACGGAGTCCAGTGCGTCTCTGTCTGCACTAGCAAAGACCACGTCGTCTACGTAGACTAGGAAGTAGAACGGGGTCTGGCAAAAAAGAACGAAGAGAGAAGGGCCTGCAGACGACGGGAAGAACTGCAGGTCAGCCAACGTGGCACGCAGTGTGTCGTGCCACTTGCGCGACACCTGCCGCAAGCCGTAAACCGGGCGCCGGAGGAGCCACTAGCTCCCAGGACGGAAGTTACTGGTGAAGCCCTGCGGACGGCGCAGATAGACCTGCTTGTGTAGACTGCCCTGAAGAAAAGCAGTCGAGAAGTCGACGGAATGACGCTCGTAGTCACGCTGTGCTGCTACGTATAGCAGCGCCCGAAGAGTAGTCATCTTCGGGGTCGGGGCGAAAGTCTGAAAGAATTCCATTCCCTCGTGCTGACTGAAGCCTCTAGCCACGTAGCGCGCCTTGAACACAGGCGGCTCTCTAGAGCTTCTCCTTGAAGTGTCACCGACCATGGACTACGTTCACCCCAGGTGGGGGAATTGCGTCGATGTAGGTGTCAATGGATTTCCAAGATGTCATCTCCTGCTCCATGGCAGCTATCCACTGAGATGCCCAGGGTCCCGAGTTCGCCTCAGCGTAAGTGCGAGGGATCGGGATATCAAAGGCGTCTGGGTCACCCTCAAGGATTAGCAGCATGGAACAGAGATGGGGAGCAGCCTCAAGCAGGAAAGCAAGCTCATACTGCCGGTCCTCTATGACGTCATTGCCAAGGGTAGGAGCACCCCAAACGGAGGGAGGATGGACAGGGTCAGAGACCAGAACGGTGACGTAGTCAAGGTGGCGGGTAGAGGCGAAGTCAGCGACAGCAGGGACAAGAGCATCAAGACTCGACACTGGAAAAGACGGGTCAGTAACGAGGGAGGCGAGGATCCAAGGAACAAGAGGACGAGCGGCACGAAGGTATTCAGACAGAGGAGGCGGAGCGATGACAAGCGAGGACGAAGGAGGCGACGGGAGGAGGGGAGGACGAGACGCGTGGGAACGAAGCAACATAGGGTGGGAATGCTGAACAGGAGAGATAGGACGAGCACGAGAGGGACAGCGAGATCAGACGTGAGACGGAGGCATCTGGTCAAGAGAGAGAGGAGAAGACATAAGAGGGAAACGAGGGGGAAGATGAGCCGGAGACGAGTTCGGTGGAGGGAGTACAGGGCCGTAGACAGGAAGACAAGGAGGGGGCGGGGGAGGTGCAGGCGAGCAGTCAGGGGAGGGAAGGCAGAGCAGTCGAATGGCGGACATCGGCGGAGACTGCTGCTGATGCTGCTGCTCAACGCCAACACCTGGACCGCTAGCTCCACTTCAACACCCACAGAACGAGCACCCCTAGAACGAGAACCCTCTCCAGCACTGGCACCACCCCCAGGCCCGTCGAGACAAGACACAAAAAGAACCCCAAGACTAGCACCCTCCTCAAAGCCAGCACCCCCATAGTCCACGAACGGCTGCTGCTGCTGCGGCGGCGTCGGCTGCTGCTGCGGCGGCTGCCACAACGGCTACTGCAGCGGCGACTAGGACAGCGGCGCCTACGACAGCGGAGGAGGAGACACCGGGGGGGAGGCAAGTAGTGAGAACTGCGCCACGGGGCCACCAGAGTTAGCCGACTCCTCGACCGGGACAGCTGAGGAGGGGAGTGACGTGAGACACACTAGACGGAGCGGGACGAGGAGGTAAGGGAGCAGGAGCTACCGGGGGAGTGGGGACCAGAAACAAGGGCGGGGAAACCGAGAGACCTCGGTGGGGAAAGCGGTTGTAGAAGAAGACAGACTCGCCAAAAGTGACGTTACGCGAGTAAAGGAAGCGCTGAGATGGCGGGTGGTAAAAGTGCCAGTCAGACGAGTCAAGGGGGAAACCGAGGAAGACACAGGAGACGGTGCGAGCAGTAAGCTTGTTTGTGCCCGTGGCACGAACGTGAGCGAGGCCGCCCCAGACGTGGAACGCAGACGCATCACTAGGGAACCCAGTCCAGAGAAGGATCGGTGAAATGTGCAGCCACTTGGAGCGCGGCCACAGGTTAAGCTGGTGAGCAGCGTAGCGAGCTACGAACGACCACAGAAAATGGGGTGCACCGGCATGAATCATGGAGGTACGAGCCACCTCCATGACCAAACCGATGCGTCGCTCAGCGACCCCATTCTGCTGCGGGGAGTCCGGTAGGGTGTAAGACTGGGTAATGCCCTCCGCACCACAAAACTGTCCAAGCCGACCGGAGGCGAACTCAATGCCACTGTCAGAGTGGAGACACAACACAGGGAGACCGCGGTGTAGACGCGCAGCTATGAACCACGGGATAAGAACATCAAGCGCGTCGGCCTTCCGCTCCAAGGAGAACACCGTGGAGTAGCGCGTGTAGTCGTCGGTGAGCACGAGAAAG